ACATACTTGTTGGTGTCGTCCGCGCTTGGGAGGGTAGGAGTGGCCGCTTCGGCCGGGGTGGTAATGGTGTGAAGGGCCTCATCAGCCAGGATTTGGACCCCACTGGAGATTGAGGCAAATGCCTCTGATTCAACGGTCTCAGCATGACTTTTATCGGTCGTCAGGTACTCAACCCCGCTAACGGGGGAAAGGCGCTCAGCTTCGTCGCGCGGGACGTCGGTCGGCACGGTCGCGACGCGGTGGGCCCGTTCAGTCGGAGGAGCCACGCCAGCAGCTCGGTACTCCGCGGTCGATGGATATTCCCCAATCGGTCTCATTGTCCGATACTGGGTGGTGGGCTGCGAAGGGCCCGGGGGCTTCTTCTGAAGCTTCCGTCGTTGCGCGGGTTTGGAAGAGCCCTGACGGCGTTCGGACTGAGTGGACCCCGTAGGGGCAGGCGGAAGGGGCCTGGTAGGGTTAGTGCCACGCGCTCCATGCCCTAACTTCTTGGGATCAACGTACTGTGCAGCAGCTGCATCTTGCTTCTCCTTTGCTGCCTTCTCGGATTCGGCTATTTGAAAAAGTCAGTGTTTGTTCTCATCTTGGAAGTGAGTGAAAAAAAAGTGTGGGGTAATCTCTCAGTTTCACCTGAAAGATGCAACATCTCGTTATCCCCCATCCCAGAAGTGATCAGTGGCCAGATCAGTGAGATAGACAGAGCAAGTGTCATTCACATGAAAGTGAGCAAAAGAGTGTAGTTGTTTCAATAACATAAGGAACTTAATATGTGGGGAAAGGGGGAAGGGAGTATGGTATCTCATCCACTCCAGGGCTTAGTGAACCAAATGACATAGCACGTCCGGTCTCAAAAGTGACTAGATCAATGGCAAGACAATTCATGACATGGGAGGAGTGGCATGGAAAGGCTACTTATATTTGCCGGAGAAATGTGCAGGCCAAGAGGTAGATGAGGTGGTGCACCTCAGTCACAACGGGAGCAGGACATGCTGACATGGGGATAGGACAGGGACAGCATGATACAGAGGAGCATTATATGGGGTGATCTTCCACCGCGACATTCGCGTCACATATGTGATTGGATACCAGGGGAGGAGACTGGGGTAGACGGAGGATCACCACTTACTCTTCTTGTTGAGAAGACGCTTTGAGACGCGACGCACAGTAGCACGCACGGTATCCATTTTTAACGATGAAAGTAACGAAATGGATGGAACGTGGAGAAGAAGAGAGAAGAAAAGAACAAGAAGATGGGAGATGTGGGAGGTAAATAAATACTCTGCGACAATTGGGGGGGGGGGGGGCTCCCTTTTGGGNTCTACGAAGAGTGCAAACGGGCCCAATAGAATAGGCAGTTGTCCAGCTGACATGTCACGTATTGACCTCGATACCCCGTGCCACCAGGGTGTCTCCTTTGAGCATGCCTACAGAGAACAATAGCTTTTATATTGATCTATTCACCTACTGACTCGTTGAGGACACGAGTCTGTCTGTGTATAACACTTCAATAGCTGCTTAGCCTTAGCTCTATTGGACTTAATCTGGCCGTGTAGACAATCCATCAGGTACCTATGCAAGTAGACAGACTCTATATTGACCATTGGAGATGAATATAGATTGATCATTGTATGCAAGTCTCATGGCGAGATGGTTCTAGGATATGATATACTCTCCAGATACCCCAAAGCCGTGGTTCCGTTGTATCTATGGGAACTCACCAGTCAGCATGAATGGGATGGAGATCCTGGTCATATTGCTGTACCCAGACTTTACGCAGACTAGCAAGTTGCGAGAGACTGGTTCCCTGCGATTGCCAGCCAGTAGACAAACATCATCTAGATAGCTTAGGATAGTGTTCCACCATTGCATACTCCGAAAGAAAGCCACGGAAAACCCGCCTACAGACATTTGAACATCGCCTTTTTGCCGAGAAGTCGACGTTGAACTGCACATGTATCTAGTTTTGATCTTCCCCCCCAGCAACAACCTGCCTTGGATAAACCACAGATTAAGATCTCGCATGAACAAGAGTATACGCAATGAATAGGGAACTACAATGGCTACTGTCTCAATAGAACGTCTCCATGTAGATTTACAATATACCCGAGTACAGACTGGCAACGTCTTGATTTGGTCCATGGAGTCTGCTCCAATTGCTACATACAAGACAGACAGACCTCCAAGGAAAAGCACAAGAAGATCTCCCAGCGTCAAGCTCGTCGATAAAGTATATACCGAGGTTTCCAAAAATTGGTTGGCATTGCCAGCCCTGTCGCATGTCATTGGAAAAATCAAGTGTTTCTCTTTTGTTTTTGGATAGATTTCGTATGACCTGCAGTGAGGCTCGTCATTGGATATCTGTTTTGCATTCAGATTGGACAAATAGTCCTACACTATATCAAAGTGTATTGCATGAAAATGATGACCAGGAGAAATTTTTTGAGAGCGTGGACTCATATTTACTCTTCACCGGCGGTGGTCTTGGTCTTCTTCTTGCTCTTGTTCTTCTTGTTACCAGTAGAGCGGGCAAGGGGCTGCTCAAGGATCTTGAGGATCTCCTCATCCTCGAGCTTCTTGTCAGACTTGATCTGCTCGACATCGACGGGCTTGGCAGCAGCGAGCTTGGTGAGACCGTTCTTGGTGATGGCTGCGAGTGGGGTTAGCTTATGGGACCAAATTATCTCGGCGGAAATTCAACGGTACTTACCAACAGTGGTCAGCAGACGAGAGACGGGGGAACCGTCAGTCTCGCCAGCGGGCTCGTACTGGCGCAGGACACCGCCACGGACACACTCAACAACACCGACCTTGGCGGCCTTCTCGTCATCAAGCTGGCGCAAGCTGAAGGGGAAAGTGCCGAACTTCTTGACAACCTCAGACAGAGTCTGGCGGGAGCTGGGGCGCTTCAGGCCGTAAGTGGTGGTGGTACGGCGGTGGAGGGTAGCACGGTGGTCGAGGTTCTTGACCTTGCCGGATCCGAGACTGAGGCCAACCTCAACACCCCAGACTTCGCCGACCTCAGGAACACCGTCACCGCGGACACCGTTACCGGGGGAGAGAATGATCTTCTTCTCGCCCTCGATCTCGTTGCGGCCGAACATCCAGCTGGTGGTGTTCTCAACGACAGTGCAGTCGTAGGTCTTGGCGATCTTCTCGAGCAGAGAAGACATGTAAGCCTGAGTAGGGGCCTTCTGGGCCGCGGCCTTCTTCTTCTCCTCATCAGTACCCTGAGCCAACAGACCCTGGGGAATCATGAGGCGCAGGAGGACCTCGTTGGCGTAGTGGGTAGCGAGAATGAGATCAGCCTCACGGCCGGTAACAACCTCCTTGGGGGAGTCCTTCTTGGGGACGACCACCATGTCACAAACGATGGTTCCGAATCCATCGATCTGAGCACCAAGCTGGACCTTGACGAGCTCGCCAGCCTTCAGAGTGATCTCGGCCTCGGCGGCGTCGGACGACAAAGGAGTGTAGGGAGTCACATAGGAGCTAGGGGAGACAGTAGTGGGGTGGGAGATACCTTAATTTACATATTACGATCAGTTCATGTGGTTTTTCTGCCACCAACGGGCTGGAGAGGGGGGGTGGACCAACCCTTGGCAATCTTCTTGCCCTTGTAGACCTTGGCAACTTCCTCGTCGAGGAGCTTGTCACCCTTCTGACAGATCTCGACGATCTTCTCTCCCTCCACGCAAAGAGCTACTTAGATGTTAGATAAAGTGAGACAGTTGGAAGTTCTTGCGCAACATACCGGCAACAGCCTCAAGGACGTTGTGAGAAATTTGCGCAGCGGTCTTGTACTTGGTCAAGGTATCGGGGTTGTTGAGGGTGTAATCTAGAAAGAATCGCATAATTAGTCATGGTCTATGAACCGAATATATTTTCTTTGTTGTGATGAGTGCCAGCGAGCTCATAGCCCATATTGGGCTCAGTGCCCACAAACGTCAGAGCTTTCCATGAAGTTTACATACCAACCTCGGGTGCTTTGTCTTCCGCCATTGTAAAGTGAATTGAGCTCGTGGAGCTTTAAGAAACAAGTAAATGCAAGTGGGTTCGAAAAAAGGGTTCGGATTGTAAATCCGTGTGAAGCTAGAGGAGAGGACTGGATCGAGATCGAGTCGTGTGCAGAGCGTCGAGAGGGCGTTTAGCGTTGGTGGGGTTGGGTGGTGGTCGCCTGATGTTTCAGGCCTATTACCTAGGGCTTTGCCGAAGACGTCATGGCAATCTCTCCCTTGACTTCATACTGAGCTACGTCGTTGATTCGAGTCAAGCAAACATCTCATCTACAGTATAACTAGCTATATATAGTGTGTATTTTGTTATATAGATCCTAAATATCTACTCTCATACCCCGGATTCCGCCACAACCCAGGTTCGCTCAGACCTCCAGTCTACTCCAATCCCCCGCGTAACTTCTCCTCACCTGACCGGTGTTTCCCCCTCTTCTACACCTCTAGGAAGTACATCGATGTAACCGGGCTTTTTATCCTACAAAATTTCTGACCCTTGCTATCGGAGGGTCATCAACAACCCTGGCATGGAGCCCCAAAAAGACCTTGATTTTAGTACAATTGGAGACTCGAATATGCAATTAGATAGATGTATTCGATATGTTCAATCCCCGTCTGTCAATATATATTTCATTCATTAAAAGACTCGAGAAGATGAATCCAGCCTATATCAGGAGGATAGCGGAGGGCTATTTTTTGGACACTGTCCGCCAACTGTAGAATACCCATGAAAAGCACTGGTACATTTCTACATACAGGACAGCTTGCAATAGATAAAAAACAGCCGTAACATAGCTACATTGGTACATCGGTACATCGGACATACGTAACCTCTAGGACTGTGACTGAAGGTGGGCCATGTTACTGTGGCTTGCCTCTGGGCATAGTGGTAACCTGGTGCAGCATCCCCCTCAATTGTTGTAAACCCACGATGTCCATGAATATATTTACACCATTATTGGTAGTTTGATTCACTGATTTTCATTCCACACTATGAGTTCTACAAAACTTCCCATCCGAGTATTGACACACAATATCCGATATGCAACCTCATCCCCCTTAAAGGCGAACAGCCCTGGGCTGAACGCAAACAATTGCTGTTGAATGAATTTGAATACGAAACTCGTCATTGTGGAGAAACATTCATCTGTCTACAAGAGGTTCTGAACAATCAACTTGGTGATATTCTGGCTGGATTGAATCAGGACGCAGAGCCCGAAGAGCCAGAATGGGAGTATATCGGCGTTGGTAGAGATGATGGTCACGAGGCTGGGGAATATTCTCCTATCATCTACAGACCATCAGTCTGGGAGGTACTGCACTGGGAGACAGTGTGGCTATCCGAGACACAGGAAACGCCGTCCAAGAACTGGGATGCAGCCTCCATCCGCATTGTCACCATTGGTGTCTTCACTCATCGAGGTAGTCAGAACACGGTCCTTGCCATGAACACCCATCTTGATGATCAGGGATCGCAGTCTCGTCTTGAGGCTGCATATATCATTACCGGAAAAATTTCCGAATATAGCCAGAACAAATTCGCAAAGCTCATCTCGGGCACTTTCTTGGCCGGTGATTTCAACAGCGAAGAGAACCAGGAAGCTTACCAAGAATTGACAAAAAGCTTGCTTGATGCATACAAAGAAGTTGACAACTCGAGGCGATATGGTAACCACATTACTTGGACTGGATTTGGGTATGAGGATGAGCCAGCCTCGCGTATTGACTATGTTCTGGTGAGACCCGCCGGGACTCACGGCCAGAGGTTGGCAGTCATTGGCTATGCAGTGCTAGGGAATCGGTTCGACGATGGTGTTTTGTGCTCGGATCACCGTGCTGTTATTGTGGACTTGACACTCACATAGTTCAATGTTAGACCTCGGGATACCCGTGGACCCTGGAGGATACATTATGTAACACACACGTGAGTCACATGACAGTAAGTAAAATTGGTAAACGGGGTCATAGATTGACTGGTGTCCGTAGATGAGCATTGGGAATAACCTCAAAATATCTTAAAAGTAGACTTATTACCTTAATCTATAATTCCTTTATGGTTGTTGGGCATTTAGAGTGAATGGCGCGTTTCTTTGCTTTATGATCTTAGACGGGTGCGGACACTTGTAACGGATACCCTCCCTCCTTCTCCTTTGCCTCTTTCACCATCACCGGCTTTAAAAAAACACAACTGCCACCAACTCCCCCCAGTTTGAAAGAATCTTCCAGGGAAGAATCAAGTCGATTGGGATCATCGCAATCGATTGACGAAGAAGGTCAGCTGACTTGGCCCCAACCGATCCGGAGCGGATTCTGCGCTGGAACTCCCGACTGGTCCATTCAAGGAACATCGGCAAGAGCTCTCTCCCCCTTCGGCCCTGGTATGTTCGATATTACTTCCCATTTGGATTTCCTGTCCATAATTTTCATATGCTGTCCCCATACAATCCGTTGCACGCCCTTCGCTGGTGACTTGTGGCGTGTTCGGGACATGCGCCCATTGCGACACGTCCATCCATCAAGCTCATCCCCCTAGGTGACATTGGATACACGGTCGCGACGGTGATGGATAGTGTAATCTACTATCTGAAAGCACCCGCTAATAATGATTTGATCGTATGAACAGGTTCCATCCCATAATGCTACGGTAACCGATCCGAATCTATCCCTGTCGCGTTGAGAGCCACTCCGAGCTTCGAAGACTATACGAGTGGCGTCATACGTTCGTTTCGCATCAAATAGACCATCCACAATGCCATCCCCTGAAGTGACGGGTGGCTCGCTGCCCTCAGAGCAATCATTCGGGGACCTTCAGTCAGGTGCCCAGAACAGCTCTGGCGCGTCGGACACAGGGGACCAAGGACCAGACAGTATCGACCTTGGGACAAGCCGATCAACAAATGGTCACACGCCAGACACAATTGCAGAGGGGAAGCAAAGCGCAAAGGCTATGCTAGCTGCTTCCGGGATGTCAGCTTCCTCGGAACCTAGCAGTGAGGGTTCCAATGGCACGCCCCATTCAAATGGGACGCATGGTTCCGCAAGAAAGAGATCTCGTGATGGATCTGCTCTCCAATCCACAGAGGTCTCCGGGGCCATGGCAGTACGCGCCCGCGAAACGCCACTGGATAAGATTCTCCTGGAGCAATACGTTGATCGCGAATTCCAGCACTCGGCCGCAGCTGCCTGGCAAAATCCGAGTCAGGAATTACAAAAGAATAAGCGAGCGGAACGCGACTTTTATTTGACAGTACGACGCGAAAATCAGTTAAACCCAGCTGCATTGTATGGTGTGGGCTATGAGGGATTTGGAAACCCTCGCACCGACCTTCGCAATCAACACCCTCAACTTCTCTACCCAACTCATCGACGCCGGCCCGGAAATAGAAAGACGCGAGAGCTACGCATTTCACGACGTGACGCAAAGACGCAAAACGAACAGATGGAGGATCTGGTCCCTATACGCTTGGACATTGATTGGGAAAAGGTCAAGATCCGCGATACTTTCACGTGGAACCTTCACGATCGTGTTGTGTCTCCGGACTTGTTTGCGGAAAAGCTGGTTGAAGATATGGGTCTCGCGGTAGAGAGCTCGGTCCCTTTGACGAGAATGATCTCCCAGAGCATTCAGGAGCAGGTGATAGACTATTACCCGCATCTTCACATAAACGAAGACCCTCTTGATCCTCAATTACCCTATACCGCGTACAAAAACGACGAGATGCGCATTTCGGTCAAGCTCAACATTACCATTGGTCAACACACCCTCATCGACCAGTTCGAGTGGGATATCAATGATCCCAATAATTCTCCCGAAGATTTCGCATTATGCATGACGGATGACTTATCCCTCTCTGGTGAATTCACTACCGCCATCGCCCATTCAATCCGCGAACAGTCCCAACTCTTCACCAAATCCTTGTACATTGTCGCTCACCCATTCGATGGCCGTCCAATTGAGGACCCCGACCTTCACACCTCATTCCTCCCCACCCCTGTGGCTTCTGCCTTCCGACCATATCAATCCGCCAAAGAGCATACGCCATATCTTTATGAGCTGAATGAGGCAGATCTTGAACGTACTGAAATCTCAATATCTCGAGAGCAACGTCGCCAAAAACGGTCAATCAATCGTCGTGGTGGCCCTGCTTTGCCAGATCTCAAGGACCGTCAACGCACAATCCGCACCATGATTGTTTCCTCTGTGATACCAAACTCAGTGGGCTCCATGGATGAAAGCAATGTGATCAAGCGTACCGGATCCGGCCGTCGTCGTGGCATGACTGGAAACCGGGGTGATGATGATTCAGATGAGTTTGATAGCGACGACTCCTCTGTTGGCTCTCCTGCAATTGGGCCCAACCTCGCACAGGGCACTGCTCGTACTAGAGGCATGAGAGGCGCGGCATCTGCAGCCCATGCGGCGCTTCGCGCTAGCCTTGGACAATCTGCAACCCCTGAACCGGTGTACCACGAGCCCCGAGTCTCGGCCCGAAGACAGCAATACCGAGAAGAGAGCGTGGATGACCCTGATAAGTTGATAGTGAGATTCAAGATTTCGCGTGACAAGCTAGTCGATCTGAGGAACGGAAGACGCATTGCCTCCCTCCAACCCAGCGCAGGACAAGCATCACGCACGATGGCACCTCCGTCCGATAAACAGTCCCGACTTCACCCTCCCCCGCGACCCCAACAAACCGGTGCTGTTGATGCACCGAACCCTCCGCAGCCTGGTGTCTCTGGCGTGAGTAGATTTTAACCCCAGTTTTTGGCCTCTGGCTGACCCTGTGTCTATGCAGCCCCCACCACCCAACTGGCTGGCAGCCGGTCTCAGCAAGTTGAAACAGTCTCACCCGAACGATTCCTTTGAAGGTGTGATGCGTTATTCCGCTGTCGATACTGAAACCCTGGCCCCCGTGGCGAACCCCAACAACCTCCAGGCTGGACAAAATATCAAATACCAATACCTCCCCCGTATTCGTTGCCACGACTGCCCCGGAAAGCTGTACACCCCCGGCCCGGGCATGACGGTGGACAACTTTGAAGTCCATCTCCGCAACCGGCAGCACAAGGAGCGGGTCGAGGAGCGCCTCACAAAATCTAGTGGCAGTGGTGCCAACCCCGATGGCGGAAGTGCGAGTGCCAGTCCTAGGATCCCCGCGAGCGCAAGTCCAGCTCTCGGGACTGCCACAGTCCCTGGAACACATGCCTCTCCCTCTCCAGCCGGTGGATCTCAGCCATAGTCAATTTCGTTCATGAAGTGATGACAATGGCGTCCTGTGTGATTACTTCCACTTTCTCTTTCAGATCGCTTATATTCTTTTACACATTTGATCAATTCAATTCATCTACTTCTTCTCCATACTCACGAAGTCTCTCCCACTCCACTCGTGCCAGTCTTGCATAGGTTTTGGTTTCTCAGTCCTGGAAGCGATCTATCTTTATCCTTTCTGTTGGCGCTCAATGTTTCTCTGGGGTATTTGTTGTTTCTTCTTGCTTACCTGGACCATGTGTAATAGCAGTTTGAGAGACCGTTTGAGCTTTAGTAAATATATTTTTTTTCTCATGGAATAATGTAGTAGGAGTGCCTACAGCATAGAATAGACCTCAGACATAGGTAGTGATGTAGTAATGTGCAACTGCCTCAGATCTCCCTGATCCATCTCTCTTTCTCTTTCTCCTGTCTTTATTTCAATTCTCAATCCATCGTCTTTCCTTCCATCAACTACACCATTACCATCTTTTCTTCTATCTCTTTCAGCCATGCCCTCGCTCATCGAGCTCCCTGATGAGTTGTCCCTAATAATAGTGGTTGCAGTCACATGCCATCGTCCGCATGGGACCATCATCCCTTACCCTTGCTTTTACCGGCGAAATGCCCGTCTCTTTTACGGCAAATTTACAGCGCGATGAGACTAGACAGAGCGAATTCATGATCAAGACTCTGACAGCCGTGATAACGATGCTATATTCCAACACTATTGTATGTCTTGCGTCATATTACAGGCTCGTCCTTTCCTATTTTAGTTTATAATCCGATTTTATAGGACACGGAAGAACTTCACCTCCAACCCATCCACTGAAATCAATATCAATATATCTCTCAATAAAGCCTTTCAATCTCTTCCTTATCCGTTGTGCTGATAGGTAAGTTTGGTCTCCTTGTTGGTATCTTTCTGCTCTCTTTCTGGCATGTTGTCTGGAGGCAATTCACATTCCCACCAACAAGAAGGGAGGAAATGAAGCTGCTACATCTAACAGAGGGGCAAGACAGCGGGGCTGCACAACCTACTTAGCCTAGATATCATGTGGCATATCCTCGGGCATCCTCGTTGTGTTCTCCCTGGCCATCAAGACCATTCACCCGCTCTTCTGCTGGGCACGCCACAGAACTGTCGCGCATATCACTTGTTGCTGTTTAAGATCGGCAGGAAACAACATGCTAACCTATGATGCAATCTGAACTGACTCTTTTCGACATTTATTCAGCCACAATGCCCATGCACTCTGGCGAAAATAAGGGAGAGCGAGCTGATCCGCCTGGCCAGAGAGAGAGGAAGCCCGTCATGCTTTGAAATTGGACCGCGCTTGGGTGTTCAACCTTAGGCGGCGGTTCTCTTATGCTGGGCCTTTTTGATGTCCTCGAACACGTTTTATCCCCCATCGCCTGTAGGTTCCCTACACTGATTGATGCGAAGAGAATGGGTACTAAAACGAATCGTCCTATAGCGCGCCTTACGCCGGTCTTACCAGGTGAATTCTGTCGCCGAGACGCACCGCATTATGGAACGAGATTACCGTCATGGTAAGTTCTGTTTTGATGCTTTTTCCCCTGGCTGTCGCAGATGGCTGACGAGCTTGTCCGTTTAGCCTGGTATCACCCTTGGATCCAACTTGGGCGAGCGCTGAGCTGGACTATCGAGTTTCAATAGGTTGGGATTGGGTGGATGCTCTTGGATCAAATATCAACGGAAAAATATCTCATTGGCACTGCTGAACCACCCGCGAGGGTTGGAAATGCGTCTACGTTTGAGGAAGACTGTACCACTCTGGGAATCAGTATGGATAAGTATGGATATGAGTGGCATACAAGACTGCACGATTACGGCCTAGTGTTTGGGTTACTTGTGTATTTCCTGCGCACAGCTTCATGTCTCCGACAAACTCCATAGAATGTTCCAATCAAATTCACCTACGAAATAAAATAAGTATTTTGAAACAAAGTTCAATTCATTTACAGATAGAAAGCATACATCTGACGGGAATACGCAAAGAGACAGACATTCGTGAGAGCTCAGGCACAAGGCCGATGCAAACTTCAAGAAGAAAAAAAAAAGGCAGATGGGGTATACATCTCGGACCATCACTGACTGCAAGGAAACAGGACATATGAGGACGAGATAGTGAAACCATAAAGAAAATAACATGGGAATCAGGATATGAATATGAATATCGACGGGGAACGATTCCGCGCAGTAATCGCACAACTTGTTTGGATCTGAGAACAGCAATAAGATCGCTACTAGACGTCTATGTCCCCAAGATCTTAACTGAGGACTCATAAATAAATGACCATTGAAAGCGTGTGTCTTGGACGAAATGAGAGACATGGCCCGTATGTGAACACACGGCTGGACGGGACCATGTTATGTCCCATGTAACCCCGAAGAGGTTCCTATCCACGACGGGAAGAGCGTCGCGAAGGCAAGCTTGCCTCGGGCTTCTTTGCCTCTGGCTTCTTGACATCGCTCTTTGTAGCAGCGGCTCTTCCGCCTCGCTTCTTTGCAGGAGGCGGCGTGGGTTCCTTCTCACTGACCTCGGGCTCATCAATCTCAGAGAGTTCTTCATCGTCATCTGTTGCTTGAATTTCTTCGTTCTCGCTTTCCTCCGCGTCATCTTCGCCGTCGTCCTTTTCTTTAGGTTCATCCCACTCTGCCATCTCCATGTCGGCATCGTCGCTATCATTGTCGATATAACTGACTTCCGGCTTCGCGGTGCCTCGGACGCTGCGTCTGCGAGATGAAGCAGGCGTGGTGGCTGCAGCGCCTCCGTCGGAAGACCAGCCGTCGTCGTTCTTTGATTTCCGTTTCGGCTTGGCTGCTGCACTGATTGATGATGTGGACTTGCGGGCGGGACGAGAAGACTTTTCCTTGCGTGCCTTTTTGGCCACGGAGGTTTTACCGTTCGCATCAAGAGAGGGTTTTCGCTTCTTGCTTGATCCACCCTGCGAAGCGTGGGTGGAGTTACTTCTGGGCTTCATTGCGATTCGGACGACACGATCTAACAAATCATCCAACTCATCTGGAAGGAAGTTCTTGTCGGCGACATCTTGGGCTTCGCGGTGACTGCTCATGGAGGTGAAGAGGGAGCTGGGGACGCCCATCTTTCCAGGGTAGGTTTGCAAGATGTTGGTTGCGCCGGCCGCACCGCCAAACTTGTGTTGTTGGGAGTAGACATCTGCGAAGCGGCGAATAGTTGCTTGGGCCAGATCAGATAGAGTATGGAGGCGGGTGGAGATCTCATCTGATTTGGTGATGCCATCGCGGAATTGCTTGACGCGCTGTCCGACGTGGAAAATTAATGACATGTTGTGTTCATTGGCAACTGCGGAGAGGTAGAAAAGGATGTATTGAGAGAAGTCGGTCAGGTCACCGAGTTTTGTTGCCTCGTCCAGGTCCTCGGACGGGTAATCAGGGTGGTAGGCAAGCAAAGACAGGAGACGCGAAAAGATCAATTCCATAAAAATGGTCTGCTCCGTTCGTTTCCCACTGGCTTGCGCCTGTTGAGCGAAAAATGCCGCTCGGGACCGCAGCCATGTAAGCGTGCTCTCTTTCAGACTATGCACGGGTTCGAAAGCAAGCAAACAGGGGACAATGTACCATCGATGGCTCAGATGTGACTTTTGCACGAGTTTCTTCTTCAGGTGGTTGATGAATCCGCTTCGTACCTGCAAGAGCGGATCTTGGGCAACCAAAGCCACTGCGTTGAAATCGGACGGCGTCAGCAGACCGTCGCAGACAGTGCTGGAAGCACACAGCTTGAGTAAGGACTTGGCAGCGAGAAGGCGAAGGCGCGATTTTTGGCCTGCAGGGGTATCTTTCTTCTTAGAGATCTCGCCTTCACCGACTACTAATTTATTCAATGTTTCGTAAACAGGCTTTGCGTGGGCACGGAAGTCAGCTTCATTATCTGCTCCGTCCTTAGCCCGAAGGCGGTTGACAATGATTTTCAATGCCCATTCTTTAGCCTTGGTCTCATCATCAACGGTCTCTGACCAGTTGTATTCAGAGTCAGGTTCGGGTGTGCGATTGGTGAGCAGGATTTGGTTGATGGCAATCGAAATGATAGCATCACTTTCTTCGTCTGCTTCTCTCGGTGCAAGGAGGTTCAGCTGCGACAGAGCAGCCAGGCGAGTGAGGAATCGATCAGATCCGTACGTCCACTTCTCAACGCACTTGTGCACCAAATCTTTCGCATACATCTCTCTTCGGTCAGCAGTAGCCATCAGAATTGAGACAGCATGTTTTGCAGAATGCGGTGATGAACTGTAAAGGGCATAGTTGGCCAGAGCCTGGAGGAACTTGCGCTCTTTGGGAAGTTTAGCGGGAAGCTTTTTAGCGAAACCAGCACAAGCCTTCAAAATATCTTCAGCACTACCATCACCAGCCGAGGAAGCCTTGGGGGCTTGAGCCTCGAGGTCTTTGCACATTTCTTGGACCTGTGCCTCTAGGACTTCCGGATTTTGAGATGATATTTGCTTCAACATCTCTTGTGCAGCATTGGCCAATCCGTTCTCATCTGTTCGGGACAAACTCATGATCGCCGGGATGTGGCTCCGGTTGAAGATCAAAGACCCACAGCGATACACGAGAGGAGTTAACGTTTCCAGCAGGAGAGAGTTGTTTGCACTCTGGACTCGCCGCTGGAGTTCCTTCGTGGCCTTGACAACAGTGCGATAATCACTCACAGCAGCCATGGTGAAGCGAACCAGCTGATAGCTTCGTCGATCATGCACCTTGGCGAATTTCCACAAGTCTGTCGATGCGCGCGAGGCATCTGGGAAGGTTTTCGATAATGACTCAATGATCTTGGACAATTGTGTTTTAATCTGTTCCTCGTCCTTGTCGACAACACCACCATTGTACTTCTCACAGGCCTCTAGGTAAAGTGTCACTGCCGATCTCATCGACAATTGACGGGCTAACATAACGAAAAAGACTCGCCTCGCCTTTTCATCCAACCCTCGGAGCAGGGTAAGAATTCGGCGAACGCGAATCTTGTCAACATCCGTCTCTTGCTCGGGTTCAGATGCCTGGCTATCCTTCTGCTTCTGTGATTGGTTCGAGCTGCCTCGAGAAAGTTTTGCTTTGATAGGGGGATAAGGAAGCGGTAGAAGCGTCTCAAACAAGACGCGGTCGATCAGAATATGGATTTCTTGATCATTGGTGTAAAATGCATCAAATATCTTGGATGGTGCATCTTTGAGAAGAGACACGACTGGCTCCGTATTTTCCTCGATGTCACCAGCAGCCACTGCCCACATGCGAGCCAAGATCTTCATGGCATGTTCACGCACATGCGGCTTGCGATCCTTCACTCGCTCGGCAAGAATAGCAAGAACCGAGTCTGGTGATGAACAACCACCATCCACACTTAGCTTGTGGACGATTTGGGAAAGCCCAAATTGCCCAACAGTATCCACTGCAGCTACACGAACCTTCTCATCAACGTCGCGGAGCATCGAGGCTAGATTTCTAACAAGACTGTGTTCTTCGCTTTCGTGTAGGCCAGAACCTCCGGCTGAAGTTAGAAGGATTCGCCCCACAACTGTGACCCAGGCAGCACGGACTGAGGGTGTCTTGTCAAGACGACGGCTCAAGAAGGCTTCATAGGCCGAATTGTGGACTTGAGAGAAAGGCTTGGGGGATACGGGAGTCAGCAAAACATTGGGCTGGGGAATAGTCTTGTCATAATCCACTAGTGACACTGGCGGGTAAGTTGTCGGGTCCATGGGAGGAGGGGGTGGGGGGCCTGCAACACCGATTCCGGCTGCGAGGTCTCCGATTGTCTGGGTTGCCAATAAACGTAGGGCCACCGATTCTGCAGAGAGTTCTGCTTCAATCTGCGGAATCACATTCTGCAGGACCTCTGGACAAGCACGCCAAAGCTCCCGGATCAGACGGTGCGCCTTGCTCAATTCCTTAATGTCCTCTCCCTCCTCATCGGAATCGTCGAGATTGGGTTTCCGGGTATGCTTAGAGCCATTTGTTTGGCCAGCTGGCACGGACGCATCGATGATGACGTTGTTGAAGTACTGGCTGATGTGACTGGTCATTCGTTCCGGGCAGGCCTGACAAATAGCCTTGGCCATATTATATGCGGCCGGGTAGTCCTTCAGCAGGAGAGTATCCTGCTTGGCGTCAAGCGGTGCATCTGGTCGCTTTCCCTTCTTGTTTGGGTTGTCCAACACTCGCGGGTCGACTCGGAGGAATTGGGCGACAATAATGTCCACCACCTCGGGGGCGAGGACGAGCGATTCATCGATCACGGTGACGAGTACCCGGGTCATATCAAACTCGACATTCTTAGCCACCTCCTCACCGGTGGATGCCTTCGAAGAACCCGAAACAATGTCGAAGCAGCCCGTGAACAGCGGGACAATGAGGGAGTCAGGGTGATCGAGATCGACCATCAAAACCACACTCTTCACCTCAGCAAGAGATCCCAGGACGTAGATATGCTGGGCATTGTAGGCGTTGGACGGGTCAGCCAAAGCGGGGATAATCGAGGATACGATACATGTGAATATATCCTAATTTAGTCTCAGTCAGTACATTCCATGATCGCCTAGACAGAACACATATTTCGTGTCTCTTCAATTGCCGCACCTTCAGTTGATTGCGCGTAAATGGCGCGTCTGGGGCGCATAGTCGCAACACATCAACGATGCAGCACGTAGCCCATGCTCTGACACCCTTATCCTTGTGGGCCAGTAAGTTCCCACTGGCGAGTTCCTGAGACACCTTCCGTAGCGATTCCTTATCAATTTCCTCCTGGTCGAGTTTGCGGAGTTCCTGCGCGAGAGTCTGGAGACGTTCGAGGAGATCTGCGATGGGGATCGCGGAGCGCCCCACGCGCCATGAGAGCGGCTGGTTGAAGGACAGACTGCGAAGCCCCGAGTCTTCCTCTACCTCGGGAGGACCTGGGCGAGAGCGCGAAGGCATCGTGGATGATCGCAGTTCTCACATGGACTGGGGAGGTGGAGAGTTTCGACTCGGGAGTTTGGGTGGAGGTTGACCGCCCAGGACGCGTCGCACGGGACCGCGTCCTGCCCTACAAAGTTGGTCCTACAGGTGTCATACGGTACATTATGAGATCATTTATTTACTTGGAAAATTTGGATCTACAACTATGATATAATATCCATGTTCATATATGTACATTCTATCTGGGGCCTAGATTGGCACTGATTGGTCTTCACTTAGAAGCCTTCTTTCACAGAAGCTAAGTCCAGAGCTTCGTTAACAGACAAAGGTACCCTGCACAACAACAGACTTTGGGCAGTTCCTATGCATAACTGTGAACAGTTTTGAGGAAACGCTTTTGGTCGACAAATTATATAAAACAATGACAAAAATAATATGCAAGATTCTAACATCACTAGGTATCATTTCTACGTCCTTTTCGGCTCATAATAGTGCGGCCTTGAGGCAATAAGAGTTTGAATATCCTGTCCAGACCCCTGGCTATGTATAGCAAAGTCCATTTCACAAATTATGCCTTTCTCAGACTTTTTCTGCCGTCTATATTGGATGTATGAAACCGAGAAGGGCAAAATATCTCTATAAAAAAAGACATCTAAAAAGACCTGCTAAAAAGACCTCGCAAGGCTGTATAACCGGCCCACTATTCTTGTAAATTGTTACATTACATAGCTGTAGAGGCCCAATTCTAGAGATATTAATAATATTGATTAGAATGTCTTGGGTATAGATAAGCTATTGCCATAAAACAACAGAGTAGCTCTGCTGTATCAAAAGTGACCTGCCTTCACAGATCTGTCATCATAACAATGCAAGTAAAAAGCAAACCCCCAATTCAATCTATGTATTTTGCGCCAGAAAATGAGAGACGAGTAGATCAATCACCTAGAACTTGGGACTGAACTTGCTCATCGCGCGAATTCTGGAACCGTAGATAAAGAACAAAATGGGAATGGGGATCATAGCCAAAGTAATGAAACCCAGAACACTAGATGCCCAAGCCACACCTAGGTCCCGGTACATTTGGGTAGCGAAGAGTGGGAACGCGCCACCCATGGTTGAGCGGACAAGAGTATTCGCCGCGATAGCGGAGTTGGCGAACATCATATACACATCAATAATGTAGTTGAGACCCTGCATGAAGATAACCAGGATACCCAGACCGATAGGTACACCGGCAATGACCTGCGGCACCCAGGAGATATGTGGGCTGGAAGTCCAGCCGAACCAGAACAGACCGATCGGCAGCAACACAGAGGCGATCATCATTGGCACGAGGCGCTCTTCGGGAACGACTCTGCCATGCTTTGCAAGTTTGCGCGCGAAACGAGTCTTCGTGGTGTATATGATGAGACAGGCACCGAGGATGACGCCCATAAGAATGCCGATGAATGGGAGGGCAGCCACACCTTCGTGGGTCCAACCGCGAATTTCACCGAAAGAATACGGGTAGGCTTCGAAGAAGAGGTAGAGGATTCCGTAGACTAGGGCGAGGTAGATAGTCATGGCGAGGAGGATCGGCTCTTGCACGAGCATCTGGAAGGGTCGGAAGAGATACTTGGTAACGATATCTGACATTGTAGGCTTGTGCAGATCCAAGAAGGCATGGAGGTCCGGGTTGTTGGTTTCAGTGCGCAGACGGGCAGCTCTCCTTTGCAGGATGACTGGGCCGTAGGTCTCGGGAACGACGAAGAAAGCAATTATACCGAAGAAGGAGGATGCAATTAAGGTGATCCATGCGGTCCAACGCCAGCCGAGGTGTGAATCTGTGATAAATCCGCCGCTGAAGAGTATTAGTTTCTGGACGGTGCTTTGGGGGATGTCTTTCAAGGGAGTTTTGAAAAGGCAATCTGGGTACTCACACAATTGGGCCAAGAACAGGTCCCATGAAAGTAGATACGCTGAAGAGAGCGATGGCCACTGCGCGGTCGACGGGGTTCCAAATATCAGCCAAGGCACCGCCAACGACGGCTAGAGGAGAGCAGCCAAAGAGACCCATGAGAAATCGGCAGACGAGAATGGTTTCGAGGTTCGTTGCGACAGCCACGGGGATCTGGAAGATGGCGAAGATGGCGTAGCCTGAGAACAATGGGATGCGACGACCGTATAGCTCACTCAGCGGTGCCCAGCACAGCGGGCCTAGAGCGAAACCAAAAACAACCAGACTAGTGCCGAGAATCATTACTTCAGTTGATACATTGAACTCCTTCGCAGTAACCAGGGTCGCAGTCGAAAAGACACTGGATGCAAAGGTGATCCATACGGTCATGGAGGACATGGTCAGTGTGATGACCCATTTGCGCAAATTAGTGTAGTTCTGAGGGTGCTCGGGGTCATCTGTGCCATCCCAGTCGACAAGGTTGGGATCTGTGTTGGAGTTATCGGGCTTTTTTGGGGCGTCGACGACCGCTTTCTCGACATCTGTTTCGCTCTTGTCGTGATCATTGTTGGTGACACCCTCCTCGATGGAAGTGTGTTCCATACTGAGGCGAGGTGTGGTTGTATTTGAATCAAATGGTTGGGGACTCATGATTAGTCTAAATACCTATGGAATAGGTAGGTGAATGTGCAAGACTGCCCAGGTGTGATATGGGAGAAAACAATGGGAAAGAACGTCTCGAGACTGGGGCCATATGATCACCGCCGTAATATAAGGAACATCGCAAATGTTCCAGAAGGGAGCGGACACGGAGATAAAACATCAAAGCTTTGTAAAAAAAAGGCCGTGGAGACCAAGCTCATTCGCTATGGAATACATGTCGGCCGTTCGCACCTCCACTATATCCGTAGTTGCACTTAATCGCCGAGACATGGATCCCCTGAGGACTTAACGAAACGGGCAATTCTAGCTCCACGTCAGCCCAATAAGAGCCATCTTTCAATGTCATATATGCGCCTGATCAACTTGTCTTGATACGTATGTCCATGCTACCCAAATGATCAAATCATCTTGATATTGTATGCACATCCATGTCACCATGTGGATGTCCATGTGGCGATGGGACCGCTATATTACAATCAAAGATTAGAAAGAAAAAAGCTAGAACCCATAGGCTCCATAGGCTCCACGGGCTCCATGGGCTCCATGGGCTCCATGAAAGGTTAGCCAATGGGCCAGTCAAAGCACGCAAAAGCACGAAATGTCCAGTTCTAACCGAACGTTCGCGCTCGGCTTCAGCTAAGCACCGAGAAAAGTGGAGATCCCGGCTTAGGGCCGAGACCTGAAATGCCGATGACTCAACCCAACATACAACATACTTATATCTCGGCCACTGATCATAGCGATCGTCCGAGCCTCGTATTTGATATTCATTTTGATATATATTATTCCAGGCTTTGTTGTCATCATCTCTCATAAGCAAGTACGGAGTAATCTTGGAAGATCAGCGTAAATATACCAGTTCTTACTCCTAAGTACAGCCGGCTATTATTTTTGCCATAGAGCGAATACGATGACAAGAGATACCTATACATCTAAATAGCACATAATTGTGATTTGCAATATTGAGCAGTCAAGAAAAGGAAATGCCACTCATTGTACAAAAGCAAACTCACAATACGATGAACCCTACAAGAACACTGATGAACGTAAGAGATTTCTCCACCTGTATTGGCTATTATGGCACATTGTATGTGGGCAAAAACAGGAAGAAACGATTCGAAGAGGAAACCCCATGAAAGCCCAGCAATCAGGCCCGCATCTCCACCCACGCGAAACGATCTATTCATAAGCGAATTCGGGCGTAGAAACCCGGGCATGGCTGAACTAAGGAAAAACAAGTCATATCACCTCAAAGCAAAAGAAGCGTTTAATCGTAGAGGCTGTCGTCATTGCCGGCTTCGCCGAAGGTATCGTTCTCCTGGACTTCGCCAGCAGAGGGGAAGCGGAAGAAGCTGCCACCTCCGGTGTTCTTCAAGCTCTGGGCGAAGGCCTCGTAGCGGCGGATCTCGACGTCGCTGACGGAGCGGCGAGCGGACTTCATAGCCTCCTCGAAGTGAGCACGAGTAAGCTCGGGCACGGGGTCCTCCACTTCTTCCTCCTCATCTCCCATTGTGATGTCCTCGCCGGCAGCCTCGCGCTCCTTTTGGCGGTCGATGTCGGCGGAGATGGCCTGCTTAATGGCGAGCTTGACGGCACGCTGTGTCACGAAGCCAAGATCGGCACCGGAGAAGCCGTGGGTCTTGCTGGCAATGAAAGCAATGTCGACATCACCAGCGACAGGAGTCTTGCGAAGCTGGGCCTTAAGGATACCCTCGCGAGACTCCTGGTCAGGCAGGGGAACGTAGACCAGGGTGTCAAGACGACCAGGACGGACCAGAGCGGCGTCGAGCTGCTCGGGACGGTTGGTAGCACCAATGACGAATACGTTCTTCTTAGAAGTCATACCGTCCATCTCAGTAAGAAGTTGGTTGACAACACGGTCGGAGGCACCACCGGCATCACCGACGGAACCACCACGAGACTTGGCAATGGAGTCCAGTTCATCAAGGAAGACGACACAAGGAGCAGCAGCACGAGCCTTGTCGAAGATGTCACGGATGTTGCTCTCGGACTCACCGAACCACATGCTCAGAAGCTCAGGGCCCTTGACGGAGATAAAGTTGGCAGCACACTCGTTGGCAACAGCCTTGGCCAACATGGTCTTACCAGTACCGGGAGGACCATAGAACAGCACACCACGAGAAGGTGAGAGACCAAACTTCTGGAACATCTCGGGGTGGTCCACGGGGTACTGGACGCTCTCGACAAGCTCGCGCTTGACCTCCTCGAGACCACCAATGTCGTCCCAGCGAACGTTAGGAACTTCGACCACAGCAACCTCGCGGAGAGCGGAGGGGTTGGAGACACCCAGGGCAAAGCGGAAGTTCTCCATGGTGACACCAAGAGCCTCAAGAACCTCGGCATCGATAGTGTCCTCATCGAGATCGATGAGATCCATCTTCTCACGAATCTGCTGCATAGCAGCCTCAGAGCAGAGGGAAGCAAGATCAGAACCAACGTAACCGTGGGTCTCGGCGGCAATGGTCTCCAGATCGACATCCTCGCCAAGCTTCATGTTCTTGGTGTGGATCTGCATGATCTCAAGACGGCCAGTTGGGTCGGGGATACCAATGTCGACCTCACGATCGAAACGGCCGAAACGACGAAGAGCGGGATCAATGGAGTTGGGACGGTTGGTAGCGGCCATGACCACAACGTTGGAACGGGCCTTCATACCGTCCATGAGGGTGAGCAGCTGGGAAACGACACGGCGCTCGACCTCACCGTTGGTCTTATCACGCTTGGGGGCAATGGAGTCGATCTCATCAATGAAGATAATAGCGGGGGAGTTCTTCTCGGCCTCCTCGAAGGCCTTGCGGAGGTTGGACTCGGATTCACCAGCCATCTTCGACATGATCTCAGGACCGTTGATCAGGAAGAAGAAAGCACCAGTCTCGTTGGCAACAGCACGGGCCATCAGGGTCTTACCGGTACCGGGAGGACCGTACATGAGGATACCACGAGGCGGCTTAATACCAATAGACTTGAAGAGCTGAGGATGACGGAGAGGCAACTCGACCAATTCACGAATCTGAGCCATCTGCTTGCGGCATCCACCAATATCGTCGTAGCCAACCTCGTTGAGGTTGCCCTCCTCATCCTCTCGTTGGATGGGCTCACCCTCGCAGTGAATAATTGTGTCCTGGGCAACAATGCCGTATTCGGGAGGGTCGACCTCCACAACTTTAAATTCGATTTGTCTCATACCACCTCGTACTGTGAACAGGTCACCCTGTCGGACTGGTCGGTAGGCCTCGCGGAAGTAGGGAGCAAGGTAGACGTCGAAGAGAGAGCCGGTCAGGCCCTCAATGGTATCAGCGATGGGGAGGACAGCAATGCGCTTGGCCTAGATCACGGAGATAGAATTAGTCAGTAGATCATGGTAAAATGACGTAGAAATACCCAACTTACATATTTGATATCGGGGCAAGGGTGCACAGTGATCATATCGCCGTGCTTGACACGAAGATTGTGACGCACAACACGGTTGATGCGGGCGCTTCCATCATCGAGATCGTCATCGGCCAGGACGATCAGCACAGTGTCCTTGCGCTTCTTGCCCTTCACGAGGACTGTATCACCACGGAAAAGCTGGAGAGTCTCCATGGTATTGTTCGAGAGAGCAATCACCGAGTTATCATCGTTAACGGCATCGGTCACACTGCACGAAAACTGTTAGCTCCTTGCTCCCAACAGATATCTCTTATCAGTTACTCACATCAAGGAGTTGGGCTTCTTCTTCTTCTTCAAGATAGCGGTGGAGGTATCGAGTTCCTGCATTTTTCGTCAGTTTCGAGGCTTTTGTGAGCTGTCCCGTAGCCTATGCTTACCTCCTTCTTCTCAGCGCCCGAGGCGTCCCTGGAGTCCGGTTAGCATACTGAATAATCAAAGATGTCTTAAATAAAACGTACTGCAGGTGGACCCTCTTCTTGTCGTGCGTGTGATCCGGCTCGGAAGACATGATGGCCGTAAATGAGGCTGTGACGTTGATGGAAGCAAGCTTGAGTGAACAAAGGTGTCCAGTGCCCAAAAACAGGCGGAGCGAGACACGGATTTAAATGGGAGCGAGAAATGAAAACAGAAAATAAAAAAGAACCGATGGATCAGAATCGAGAGCGAATCTGACGACGGTAAAGTGGAGATAGAGGTAGGTAACAGGAATGATGGCGTTGAGCTTCCTACCTCTGCTCTTAGAACTGATGATGATGACTTAAGCCCGGCGCTTATGTCATCGCGTTGTCCGCCACAACGAAGCGCATGGAACTCAGTCGATTGGGAGCCTTGATGCCTGGGGCAACAGCTGATAGTTGCTACAGTAAACAATTAGTTAACAATGGTTACCAAGGTCCTTCAAATAATACATTTAGCCGATAGAACCCTGAAATGATTCGCTTAAAACTACAGCAATTATAAATGGCAAACTTGTAGCAACGCCACGGTGCACTTCCTTCAATATTAGAGAAATTCCAACTCTGGGTGACTGAACGAAGACAAGTCCTCGGATGGAGACATATCTGACCCATGCGAATTTAAATGATGGGGAAAGGTCATACGTCCAGAGGGAAATGATGTCTTTAGCAAAGGCTTAGACCGAAGGAATCGCCAACACTGCTATAGCCATTGGAGCAAACATGTCAGGTCTATCCAAAATTCTGAAAAAAAAACTGGTGTAAACCTAGAAAAAACAAAGCCAATAGCAACCCATGAGCGCTGTCAACATCAGGTATATATGCAAGTAAAAGGAGATTTGTACAAATAAGAAGAAAGGAAAAGGCCAAGGACCACCATACGCTCCAATATCTATGCTTTAAGATGTGCGGTTCCAGCCCAGCAGTCATGGAGACTCCAAGCCCCGGCACCGAAGCTGATAAGCCCGATCAGGCTGTCAGGAATACCGATGCCTTTCTCGACACACCAGTGCAGACACAAGGGTGCCCAGATGACGTTGTTCACCATGCTCTTTCGCCAACCCCGGATCTCCAAACGCAGCGCCTCGCTATCTTCAGCCTTGGTATCTTTAGTCTCGACCGTGCCGGCAGCCGCTCGCTGTGCAGCTAATCGCCGTCTGCGCAGCACACTCTGGCGCCAGAGCACGAAGAACTGGAAGAAGATGTGTCCGAACCATCCACGAGTACTCCAAATATCCCATTTGGCAACGCCTCCGTATTTGTCCACAAAGCGCTTCGAGACAACTCCCTTAGAAGCAAGGTAGCCTACGTTTTCAAGAAGCTGGTAGATCACGTTCGAGATGACCTGCAGCACAGTCAGGGCGTGAAGTATGGGATCAGCTGGCGGCGATTTGAGAGTTTCAGCTCCCCAGATCCACAAAGGGAGCAGCCCAAACAGGCGCAAGTTGTATCTCGTCTCCGATGCGAGGGAGGAAAGGGCCGCGAATTTCGAATTTGACGACGCGGGAGTGAGGTTCTTGGTGGGTACACGACCTTTCAGTCGTGCAAGTATACCCAGCCTTGTTTGCAAAGCTATCCAGGGCGCTGACGCAGTGAGGTGATGGAGCATGGAGGCGACATAGTTAACAGTTGCTAGTACTCGCTCTTGCCCGTCTGCTTCCGAGAGTAGTCTATGGGAGCGGTCAGTAATATTCTTGATCCGTGTCGCGCGCCGAGCTCTCGCCCTAGGATATCAAAATCGAAAGGGCCCTTACAGATCCAGCCGGCGGATTGTCACATCGGTCGTTATCAAGGCGGCCAGCAGTTGTCGCTTCGCGCATGAGCTCCCGGCGGGTGCTTTCCCCGCCTGAATATCGGTCGCCTCGCCTGGAGGGTGTTCAGAGTCGGACATTGTGTATGATGAACATGAGAAAACGAGAAATAAAATGTACTTGAGGTTGGGTGGAATCGCACAAGCGGAACCGAGGCTCGGAACTTAAGGAAGTTCGATCTAATCTCCGAGGTGTTATCCCCCAGCATTTTAGTCATCGCCTAACCTCCCTACCAACATTGTATACATACTTCGACTATATTCATATGCTGTATCCCTTTTTTTTCTCTCATAGTTATCTTGCTAGTTTGTATTATAATATACATAATTTTTTACATAAGCAGGTCACGCAAACGAAGTACTACGACCCGCTCACCCCAGAAATGGTGTATCTACTCAGTTTTATCTATCTGAGCGCACAGAATACCCAATTTAATATCATTTACTCCGTACATACAGAGTACATGGTTTACATCTTTCTAATGTTTTTTTACTATTACTTAGAATCATGCTTAGAGATTCTTCATTTTGAGGGATAATCCCCGACTCTCACATGTGGAATCCGAGTTCCACCCCCCTTCATCCTTCTCTCACATGCCGCTCACCTCTTCCTCATCCGCCACTTCATCTGCGCCTCACTTCCGCCTCACCTCACCCCCACCTCTTCCTCACCCCGGCTTCATCCCCCCCTCACCCTCCCCCATGAATGTAGCAAGGCAAGTGAAAGATATACATATACTCTGGGCGGCCTGCTCCCCTGGGTAGCACCTCCACCCCGTATCATCATCATCATCATCATCGCCGCCTGCATCCTCGTTTGCAGATCCACCACCGTTTATACATCACGGCTGGTACGACAGCCGGCATTTCCGTAACAACGAGCAAAGAACTCAAACCACGGATCGTTGACAACGATTGAGCCTCGTAGGTGCCTTCTGCCCTAAAGTTCATTGTTGTCATAATGCCTGGCCGTGTGGTATGGGCTGTTGCCCTCGTGCGAGTGGACAGAGCTGGCTGCGCGGGTTTGTATTTGTGGACTTGGAAGGCATAGCCGATCCATGTACATGCTGGGGATCATACGGCAACTGCAAAAGGTCCAACGCGGGCAATTCATCTGCGTGCTGAGGATTGTGGTCTTCGACATTTTGTTGCTTGTTCCTCATCTGGCGGGCGGCGAGCAGATTGTCAACTTGTCTGAGCATCGAGTGATGATCTTCGATATTTTGGTAGATGTCCCTAGCCTACTGGCTGGCGAGCGCATTGTCATGTTGTCTGAGCATCCGTCGCTGACGGTATCTATCGACTTGGCGACTGGCGAATTCACGAACCCGCTGACGGAACCCAAGTCCACCGTGGCGACCGGCGAATCCGGCATTTTGCCGAACAAGACCAAGGCCACCACGGCGACTGGCAGATTCATGGTTGTTGTGATGGCGCAATCGGAGGTATCGTCGAATGTTACCAACAAGACCTGTGCCCTCATTGGGGCTTACGTCAACTGCGGATTCATCGCTCTCGGTGGCGACGAGCGATTCCACTAATTTTAGACTATCACTGGATACGCCGTATCCGTCAGTGATGTCTCGGGGCTCTTGTGACTCGGCTCGGAGAGCAGAAGGCTCAGTCGACTCCATGTTGGAGTGGGGCAAAGGCATGAGTAGTGTCGTGTCGGGGTGTCTCGTCCCCGACAGAGGTGGGATTATTGCGAATGAGAAAGAAAATGTGATGATGATGTCTCACCGTGTTGCCTGAAGGACTACACGCCGGAGAGAGAAAAGATGCTTGGGACTTCCGCCACTGACTGGGGTTGGTGAAGTACGTTGCTATGCTTGGATGTGAACAGTGTCACGCTGGTGTGCTGCCAAAAGCTTGCACACAAGGAAAAGACTTGATACTTTGGCCAGCAGCCGGAGATATGCAGATGTGATGAAAACTGATAACGAAGAAGGTATTCAATCAAATCAATGGCAGAGAACTGATGAAATGGCAGAGAACAGATGAAATGATGAAGGGAGAGCGTGTAGAGCTCAGATTCTAGGATGCTTGAGGTGCGCTACCGTTTGATCGATTACATCGTCGCTGACTCGTTCGCCGGTTATAGACAAGCTCGACAGTCTTGTTTTGCCCGACGATGACCCCGACGACGATAATCCTGACGGCCTGCGATACCACGCGGTCATTCAAAGCTTCCCATGTAACCATTTCTCTCGCGACCCATTCTGTTCAAACGGCACGGAGTGCAGTTGTATTGCAGTTGTATTGAGGGAAGGGTTTTATTTTTTTGGCCCATTATATGTTTGATATTAGAATCACTAACCCTGTGCATGGTCCGGGCCGGTTGCTGCTCGCTAATCTATCTATACATTTAACTGAGGTCTGGAACAAGACACAAGCTATAACGAGCTTGAGTGGCAAAAGGGCTTGCTTTATGTCTGTTAACTATGCAGGAATACGGTGATTCTCCTGTATTACTTTGCCTCCGGAGCCCTTTCTACTGAAAGAAAAAGAAAATGGACTCGTGGGCTGGATGTGATTCTCGGACTAATTAACTATAGTTAGTTAGAATGTAGTAGTTATATGTTGCACTCCATAACTAGTTAGCTACAGGATATGTACGCCGTACACTACAAACGATCTGAATCGACAAGCCCCACATCTCTACATCGCATGTATGTAATTTGTACTCCGTAATTCATTTAGTCTTGAGTAACCGACACCAATCACGCAATTCATCACAAAAACATGGGAAATGAGACAATTCGCAAGTCTACGTAGAGGTAAGCAGTGTCCCGTGACCATTGAAGCCCTGGGCATTGCTCCAAAAACAACAGACTGTAAAACTTTCCAGACTGATCGTTGGGATCCATTTGAAAATACTAATTCTATATATAAAATTCTATATACAAAATTATACGACATAAATGACAGGGGTTGAAAGCCCGTCAAAGCCCCCCGGATTCAACCAAAAGCCGTCGGGGGGTTCCGATGTGCTCCGCCAATGGATCTCGCCGGGGATCCATCTGCCGACTATTCGTATAGCCGTCTCCATTTCCTGGATATAATCTTCCGACAGAATTTATTTAATCGGAGATATATTCAACAGAGGTGGGAAGATATATTTGTTGTGAGTTATAATAAAGCCTCGGCTGTCCTTCCATCCTATCCCAGCCACCCTCGGGCCAACATAAACAAACAAGACACCTCCCCCCCGGGTCTCACCCCCCATCGTCTTCCCAATTTCTCCACTTGGCACCTTATCATCCATTACATATTAATCCTATTCAATTATTAACTTTTACTAGGAGCGTGTCTAATCTGAAGAGCCTTCCTGATCCCTCCTGATCCTTCCTGAATCCTGTCCTCCCTCAACCCCCTCCAATCATCACAATGTCCGTCAAGTTCCAAGAGGAGACCATCCGCACCGTCACGGGCGGCGGCAAGGCCGAAGACCTCGTGCACCGCGTCGGTGAGCGATTGACCGGTGGAAATACAGCCGCTGGGTATCTTCAGGTATGCAGCGACCCCCCCTCCTCCAATAATATCGAACCGACACTGATCCGGGGAATGGATCGTCGATAGGCCTACCTCCTCCAGCTCCAGAAGAACCCTCTGCGCACGAAGATGCTCACCTCCGGTGTGCTCTCCGGTCTGCAGGAACTGCTGGCTTCGTGGATCGCTCACGATGTCGGCAAGCACGGCCACTACTTCAGCTCGCGCATCCCCAAGATGTCGCTGTACGGAATGTTCATCAGCGCCCCCCTCGGCCACTTCCTTATTGGCATCTTGCAGAAGATCTTCGCCGGCCGCACAAGTCTCAAGGCCAAGATTCTCCAGATCCTCGTTAGCAATCTGATCGTATGTTGTCGTCGCCGCGATCACCTGACTTGAGCTCTGCTAATATACCCCCGTTTCCCCAGATCTCCCCCATCCAGAACAGCGTCTACCTGACCTCCATGGCTATCATCGCCGGTGCGCGCACCATCCACCAGGTTCGCGCTACCGTTAGGGCTGGCTTCATGCCCGTCATGAAGGTCAGCTGGATCACCTCGCCCCTGTGCTTGGCCTTCGCTCAGAAGTTCCTCCCCGAGCACACCTGGGTGCCCTTCTTCAACATTGTTGGATTCTTCATTGGAACCTACGTCAACACCCACACCAAGAAGAAGCGTCTGGAAGCCCTCCGGAAGGTATGATACAACAGTCCGAATTGCGACAATTGCGACCTAAGTGCTAACGACTCGACAGCGTTACGACCAGCGTCGCGACCCCGGTTACGAGAAGCGCGACTTCCCTTAAATGGGCCGAGTCCGCAATTGATTACATACAAACCCGAAAGACGCATTGAAGACCTATGTGTGTCGTCTCTTTCGGCTCGTTTGCAGTCACCGATTTATCTTTTTTCCCTTTGTTTATTATTCTCCGGTGTTGATCTAAATCCATGTACACACCCCCCGTGCATCTTGACCCGCAGATATCTTCCCCCTGATGTTATCACTCAATCTCATGACGAATGGCTTTATATCTCTGTTTTATTTCAATTCCACCCCTTGAAGATCGTTATTATATATTTTTTCTTTCCATTTGAGCTAGTCGCGCTATTGCTTTTACCCCTGCCCATCTATACTTCTATACATACGCAAGTCGGGATAGATAAAACCGAAAGAAATGCAACTGCCCTTTACATAAAACGGGCACAACGTGGCCATCGTTAATTCGATCGTAACTATGAAAGATCTGAGACACATGAAGGGTGTCAGTAGATAATAGTGGGTAAGGTACATAGACATGGATTTCGAAGAGTAAATAGTCATGCCACACAACCCATGACCCAACCCATCCGGAAACGAGAAGAAATAAATCCCTCATATCCGAACTCCACGAATAAACCAGAGGCCGCCTTACTCAACCTCCATCTCCGATCCCTTCCCCCTCTTAGCCTGCACCCAAGCAACAAAGTCATCCAGCGCACCAGGCCAAGCCCCATCAGGACTCCACCAGCCCATCTCCTCATCCTCGAGACTCTTGCGCATAAACACCTCAACCTGCTCCCACAGATCCTTATTAACAGGTTTCTTCCCACGCTCTTCAAGGAATTCAATCCACCAATCCAGCCAAGGCGTTGTCGCCGTGTTCCACGCCACACCGCCGTGGTCAGTCGTGAAGAAGAGACGCCACTGCTCGGCGGCGATTTCGAATTGCAGGTTGCGCTGTCCTTGCATTCGTGAGAGTGGGAATGCGTATCTGTAGACTCGTCGGAAGGTGTGTGGTTCTTGAGGGATTCGTTCCCGGAGGAGCTTGGCGTGAGCTTGCATTTTTGGCATGGTGTCGCAGCTTGTGGGTTGTTAGATTGGATAGACGTGGTATTGGGGATGGTTTGAGTCTGGGTCGAAGGGAAGGGGGTTTTCGTTAACGAAGTTGCACTTACAGAACTCTCAGCCATCCTTCCATCCATCCTTCGCGGGTGAACTCGCCCATCGATGGTGATTGGAGTAGCTCGGCGATGGCTAGGCAGGTTACTTCGTCCAGCTCGACTTTCAGATCCCCGAGGAAATCTATTGCTCGGGTGATACCGATGGTATCTGGGCTGTCGACTGGGTCATCTGTGGGAATGTGAGTATTTCAGATGCAAAATCATCAGTCAAGGATGGGTAAGTACCTCGGTAGCTTTCGAAGGTCTTTGTAAGTTCTGAGGTTATGACTGCGGAAGTGCCAGCCGCAGCGGCGAAGAAACTATTTCAGCGAGAGCGTTAGCACTGGGGTGTTTCAAGCGGGGACCATGTATGATTTGGCTGGGGGTGGTTGGATATATTATCATGGGGCTAGGGAATGGCCAGCACTTCTTCTTTGTCTTCTTCACTCGAGGCATTTGGGATGATGAATGATGTGATGATAGATCAATAATTCCTCCAAGTGAGACTTCGACAAGCCTTGCAAAGAGAAGAGCGGATGTTGAAGCTTTGATGCCCTAGCTATCTGCTGGCATCTTGCATGTCCAGGTAGGGGTTGGGTTGGAGACAAATCACAGAGAACTCAAAAAGACACGAAAGTTCGGTCCAAGTGTGATGACAAGCACTTACGAATCAAGCGCTGGAGGTAAACTCCAACCACATGCTTTAAGGAACTATATCAGAAAGTTAGTCCTTTGATCCACGTGACCGGACATAAGCGCCTGAAGATATTGAAGCAAACCACATCGGGGCAAACATATCGGGAAAGCAGTGCACGTTACTCACTTTAATAGCAACAGAGTCTTTTGTCCGTGTACAGCTGACAAACTCAGCGATTTGGTGTTTCTGGGTGGTTGTGTATGGTGGCATGGTGGGGGTTGGCAGTATTTGTGCCCACTACGCATGTAAGAAATGCAAGAAGTGGTGGAGACACACTGGGGGGATTGAAAGCGCGGGGCGTGTATTGTTAGTATGGGACAAACTTTGTTTGCCTTGGGAGATACGAGAAACACCAGGGCTACGAGGTCTGTAGTGAGTTATCGTCCCGTGCCTTTCCAAGGTTGGATGGATCTGATGGCATCGTGCTGACTCAGCATGTCTCCCAAAAAGTCCTATATCAACCTTGGAACTACCACCTGGGCTATACATCCAAGGATAGACTTAGCATGACTATTGATTTTAATTATATTAGACATGGATTTGTGTGTATTCAGAGTATGTATTTTCGTATAGTAACCATTACAGAGAAGTTGTTGGTCAACATTTGCCATCAATTCATCACATTAGAAGCAATGAGCACAGGATTCGATGGTAAAAAGTACAGTCAACTTTTGTAAGATCAAATAGATCAGGTAAAACTCCCAAACGCCTTTTGCGAGGTGCAAAAATGTAAGATTCAGTGTCATGTCGAATTTGCTTAGGTTGTGAACAAAGTATCCTCCTAATATAGGCGTTAGCATTTTGGTCCTCGAGAATTTGAAGATATATCCAACTCACCTCTCTAAGGTACTCTCCTGCGTCGGCCTGTTTGTTTGTGTTAGCCAAAGTAAGTCAGAACCCAGAGCTAAGTTGCACCTACCTGACGATGGACCGCGATACTGGTAGGGTCCAATTTTGCGATCTGCGCAGATGACCTTGCTGTAACTCCGAATCCCAAGGGCACATCGTTGGAGTCCAAAATGATAACACCTGCATTTTCTGGCAGGTCTTCTGAGAAACGAGCCACATGGGCTTTTAGAACTGAACCGCCGTAGAGCAGAGGCTAAAACTTGTTAGCAAGGTACAGCAGATTATGTCAGAAGTTGGAATAAGCTTACCATCACTCCGTTTGCTTTAATCCAGACCTGTTACGGAGACATAGAGTTAGCATTATGCATTGGTGTAATGCTTATATTGTTATGCGTACCTTGTACCGGGCGTGTTGCGCCAGGAGATCCAGAGCTGTCAGGTTGATGCGGAACTTGCCCGTCTGTTGGAATATTAGCATCACTGCTCAAAATAACAATAGAGGCAATGTCACGGACTTTAGTAAACTTCCCGACCATAGTGCCAATGCTCAAGAGAGTTTCGCGGGGGAATGAAACGCTCAGGTTGGCGATCTCCTTGTTCACGTAGTAAACCCGGGATCCCTGCAAGCGGAAAACACTCATAGATCCATCTTCAGCCGGGGTGATAAGGGAATTGAGACTGCGGCCGGTATAGGAAGCTAGCTTCGTGAAGAGCGTCCGTGTTTCTTCCTGAAGGAGGCATGAGTTAGTCAAAGCAGTCAATGGCCGTCACACCAGAACGTACTTCTGTGAGGGATCTCATATTGTCGGATACGAAGCTGAAAATATGGCAAAAGGTTCGAGTAGCAGCGAGCTTGTATTGTCGGGAAGTGAGAAACAAGAAAAAAACCAAAGTCGGGCAATATCTCACCGCCAAGAAACGGACCTGAAATTTATAGCGACGGAATGGACTTGAAGAGCCAATCAGAGCAATAATTGTCTTTCCGCCTAGAATTTTCGGGACCGCCTTTTCACTCTCAAGATCTTTTTTACTATTCTCCGCAAATTCCACCGTCAATCCCCCATATCTTCAATTACAAAATGGCGCGTGGTCCAGAGGTGAAGCGCAGGCGATTGAGTCCTCCAGCGGATGTTGAGGACTCCTCATCGCGCTCCAAAGCCGACCAAGAGTGGGATGTTGAGCAAGACTACGAACGCCGCCCACGCAAAAACGCCAAGAAAGCCGGCGAGAACGCACGATTGCCAATCAAAACTTCGGAAGGCTTTGTCCAGGCCGAAGTACAGCCTGAAGATCAGGGAGAGGAAACCGACAGCTTCCTGGGTACCGATGATGATGAGGAGGATGGATCCGAGGGCGAGGAGGAAGAACCCGAGGAAGAAGCACCCAAGATTCCGGTGAAGGTACAAATCTTGCAGGCAAAGGAAGAGCTAGCAAAGATGGCAACCCTTATCAACGAGGATCCCGAGGAGCACATCTCTCTGTTCAAGACAATGGCCGAGATGGTGTCGAAGAAATCCACACCTATCACAGTTAAGAAGCTAGCTCTGGCCTCACAGGCGGCTCTCTACAAGGATGTCATCCCTGGATACCGCATTCGCCCGTTGAGTGAAGAGGATCAGACTGGCAGGGTATCAAAAGAAGTGCGCAAGCTCCGAGATTTCGAACAGTCCCTTGTGTCAGGATATCGAGCCTATGTCCAGAAGCTTGCTACGCTCATAAAGCCGGCTAAAGCAGATGGCCCCACAGACGCTGGACTGAGGAGCTTCGCGATTTCGATGGCTTGCACTATGCTCTTGGCCGTGCCACACTTCAACTTCCGCAGCGAGCTTCTGAAGATCTTGGTCAACCGCCTTGCACGGAGACAGCTTGATGCCGACTATGTCAAGTGCCGTGAAACCATGGAGGATGTCTTCGCCAAAGATGACGATGGAACCGTTTCCCTCGAAGCTGTCCGTCTGCTCGCAAAGATGTTGAAGGCCAGAGACTTCCACATCCACCCCAGTGTCTTGGACACATTCCTCCATCTTCGTTTGCTCGGTGAGTTCCACTTGAAGGCGTCTCGAGACCGCGTGGACCGGGAAGAAGAAGAAGAAACCCCAAAAGGAAAGAAGCAAAAGCAAAAGCGCGAGTTCCGCACGAAGCGAGAGCGCAAGGTCCAGAAGGAGCGGAAGGAAGTCGAGAAGGATATGCGACAAGCAGACGCAGTGGTATCGCACGAACAGAGAGACAAGAACCAGGCCGAAACACTAAAGCTTGTGTTCGGACTCTATTTCCGCATTCTCAAGCTCCGCATTCCCTCACTGATGGGCCCTGTGCTTGAGGGTCTGGCCAAATATGCCCACCTTATTAACCAGGACTTCTTTGGTGATTTGCTCGAGGCCCTGAAAGACCTTATCAACCACGCTGAGCGCGAGGAGATGGGCGTGGAAGGCGACCAGGAAGTCGTCAACGAGGAAGATTCCGAAGACGAAGACAATGTCACAATTGCCGAAAGCGCAGCCCGGGACGCCCGCCGAAGGACGCTGCTCTGCACCGTCACTGCCTTCGCCCTTCTAGAAGGCCAAGAAGCCAGCAAAGCAGCCGCAGGCCTCCACCTCGACCTGAACTTCTTCATCAAGCACCTTTACCGATCCCTCTACTCCCTCTCCATGAACCCAGACGTCGAGTTCAACCCCGACACAGCCCTCCGCCTCCCCGACCCCAACTCCTCCGCAGAAGGCAAACAACTCACCGAGTCCCGCTCCAAGAACAAGGTCAACTTCCAGACCCCGATGGTCCTCCTCCTCCGCTGCTTGCAGCCAACCCTGCTATCCCGCGCACACGGCAACCCGCCCCCAAGCCGACTTGCCAGTTTCTCAAAGCGTCTCATGACGACTTCTCTCCAGTTGCCGGAGAAGTCTGCTCTTGCGACGCTTACGCTCATGAACCAGGTTGCGAAATATCACGGTCGTCGTATCTCTTCACTCTGGCATACGGAGGAGCGCAAGGGTGATGGTGTGTTCAATGCTTCTGCTGCTGATATTGAAGCTACCAATGTCTTTGCTGGTACGGTGTGGGAGGGTGAGCTGTTGCGTCTGCATTACTGTCCCCAGGTGCGAGAGTCGGCGGTCGAGATTGAAAAGATGATGATTTCCTCTTCTAAGTAAATACTGTTTTGAATAATTTTACATGCACATTCAGCTACGATCTACTCTTGGGAAATTGTAATCAAACATCTTCTTTGACATGCTAATATACAACAACAAAATTTTACATGGCCCCCCGAGTCCTCCAAATCTAACAAAGAGGTGAGACTTCGTTTTTTTTTTTTTTTCTTTTTTTTCTTTCTGGGGTACTTTTTTTTGCGGGGTTTTTTGTTTTATTTTTTATTTTTGTTTTTCTGTTTTTTTTGTAGTTGTATCTTTTTGAGACATGGACTTGCGCCGCTTACTTGCGGGCCTCGTCCTTGCGAGTCTCAGTTGGGGAACCGGGGCCCGAAGGCTCCTCGGTCCGGAGGATAGCGGCCGCCGGGATGCCCTCTGCATTTCCGGCCCTGAATTGTGCCCGGAAAAGCGGGTGAATGTTGGCGAGGGGGATGGGGGGTGCATCCCGGACAGCATCGAGTGGGAGGCGAATCCCGTGGGGAAGGGTGGGCACAGGGGGAGCCGTCTCTTCCTCTGTGGTGGAGGTCTCCTTCGCAACAGTAGACCCGATGGATGCGTTGGAGGACTTCTTCGAGCTCCTTTTCTTGGATCGACGAGGAATCGAGCTCGGCTTCACGGTGGAAGACCCTGGTGGAGTGATCGTTGCCGATCCACTTGCCGATGCCGATGCTGGCGGAGTAGCTGATGCGGGAGGAGTGGTCTTTGGTGGTGGAGCGGTCTTTGGTGGCGAGGCACTCTTTGCTGGAGCAGGGGCATTTGCTGGAGCAGGGGCATTTGCTGGAGCAGGGCCCTTTGCTGGAGTAGCGGCTTGTGCTGTCGGAGTTGCTGCAGACCCGGAGGCAACAGTTCTCAAGATGCCAGTGGGTGGAACGGTATCGCGTACAGGGAAAGGGGTGGGAGGAAGAATCTTATCCACCTCATCAGAAATGTTCAGACCGTGCTCGCGTTGCAAGACTCTGAGTGCGACTTGAATGCGAATCAACATTTGTCTCAAGAAGAGAATCTGCGCTGCCTGCTCGACGGTTGTATCTCCGATGTCTTGAATATCTTCGTCGATCTCTGTGTTCTTGCGACGCTGGTAGACCACGAATGGCTCTTCGGTGTTGTCATAAATTCCAGTGAGACACATGTCGACTTTGGCACTCAGGTCATTGAAAGACGAGGTGAGTCCGTTGATTTCGAGTCGCATTTCGTGGATCTGCTCCTTGATCTCCACGACCTGCTCCTTAACCTCCTCGACCTGCTCCTTGGCTTCAGTCGCGTCAAGTTTTGCCTTGGTAAGCTCGAAGGTCACCTCGGACTGGCGCTCAAGTTGGGCATCCATTTGGTCCTGGATGTAGTCCCGGGTCATCATGACAAAGTCCTCAACTTTCTTTTCGACCTTGTCGATATTGTCGATCTTCTTTGACAGTTGCTTGAAGTCTGTCTCATATTTGTACTGGAGAGACCGGAGAGCCTCAGGAAGATCCTTGAGGGTCAAGCTGGAACGATGAGTGGAAGGACTGACACCGGTAGAACTGGCACCGGTAGCGCGCTCTAAAGGACTGAGGCTGGGACGGCGCATGCCATCCTTTCTGAAGATGGGTGTACGAGGGCTGGGTGTGTGCGGGTCGTATCTGGTGGAGGGAGACACTGGGAGTGGCTTGTTGTTGCCCTCCGGAACATTGGGACTGTCAGCCATCTTGGGTGGAGATGGTGGGGCAGAAGAAGAGCGAGGTTTGAGTTCGCTGATGGCGATGTTGCCAGGTCGGTTCTTCAGGATGGAGGCGGGGATGGGGGGAACAGGGGGGATGGAAGAAGAACGGAGAGACGAACGGAGGGAAGAACGGAGGGAAGGACGAGAAAGGTGGGAGGGAGGGGGAGCAGAGACGTTTGTTTTGCGTTGGGAGAACGCGTTGCGCTTGTCATGTGAAGCGGGCAACGGGTCCAACGACTGCACACTACTCTCTGAAACACTCGTCGAAGGCACGCCAACCCTAGGGTTGGTCGACTTGTCAGGCACAGGCACTGGGACTGCAGTGACAGTCACGTCAGAACGGGGAGATGCCAGTGGGTTGCACATCTCGGGCTCTTCAAAGTGTACCTGCTGGGAGAGGTTGCTGCGCCGAGAACGAGACGAGTTCGCAGAGGAGGAGGGTGTCTCAGGCCGGCCAGTACGGCCGCGCGGACCTTCCGAATCGGTATCTATAAGAATCTCCAGTGTCAGTGACCCATCCCAACCCTTATTGATTTGAAGTGAACTAGAAGTGAAAGCCATCAATTGACTATGTGAGATCAAAGTGATAGACATCTCTCATGTTTTTGAGTATATCTCTTTCTATTCTTTCTTTCGAAGCATATCCTATGAGCAAAGAACAATTGCTTTGCCCACAGAACCTGCTTCTATAGAAAGGACTGCCATAGGAAGAGGGTTGCTTGCACAGAGGCAAGTAATTGATCCCAAGGAACCAATCCCAATGCCAAAGAAAGAGATTTAATTCCAAAGAACCAATTCCAATGCTAGAGAAAGACTGATTCAAAAGAATCGTGCCCAATTCTCTAGCAAAGACCCCAATTCCCAGGAGCCAAGCCGAGGTCCGATTCCACAGGCAGAATAGCTCAAGCTCATATAGAAGAGACCTGATCCCCAGAAACCAAGTTCAATCCCATGGAGAAGGAATCTGATTCCCAAGATCTAGGCTCAAGCTCAAAGAGAACAAGAGACCTGATTCTCAGGAACCAAGCTCAATTCCATGGAAAAGGATATGATCCCCAGGCACCAGGCTCAATCTCATGGAGAAGATACCTGATTCCCAAGAGCCAGGCTCAAGCTCAAAGAGAACAAGAGACCTGATCCCCAGGCGCCAGGCTCAATCTCATGGAGAAGAAACTTGATTCCCAAGATCTAGGCTCAAGCTCAAAGGGAACAAGAGACCTGATTCTCAGGAACCAAGCTCAATACCACAGAAAGAGAGACAATCCCGAAGGAAAAGCTCAGTCTTGTGGATGAACTCGGTCGACAGTGAGGCCTGAGTCTGTCGAAACAGACACTCCATGAGATGAAAGGTGACGAAGGCTGGAGGATTGAAGGAATTATACTAACCTTGACTCTTTCTCGCCATATTCTCTGATTATCTTGAAAGCAAAGTTGTGAAAAAGATGAAAAAGATGTGAAATGGGATGGTTGGAAGAAAAAAGAGCGAGGAAAACAGACGCGTGTGGCAATAACAAGACGAAATCGAAGCCGAAGAGACAATCCTGAGGGGGGGGGGGGAGGCAACAACACCGAGCACGTGCCCAGCAATACATGATAGCAGCCATCTATATTGACCCCAATGGGAAATGACGACTGCCTGGATGCTCTTCACCGCTTATATTCCCAATATCGAAGGAACTATTAACCAAGGCCTCATCGCCCGGGCCTTCTTTGTTTCACTCTCCACACCCATCGAGTTGAACATTGAATCTATGGATGCCGGCATCACATCGGGAAAGAAAAGCAAATATATTCAGAAAGGAACGAAAAAGTCATGGATTATATACAACTTTTGGCAGCAGTTACAGACACAATGGGAACAGCAAGCGAGGTACAACCAGCCAAAGAACAAAGCAAGTCCAAAACATAGAACCAAGCGCATATGCAAAGAAACAAAGGAATTACAGGCAGGACTACAAGCAAACAGGCACAAAGAAAGTTATAAGTATAAGTTGATTCATTAAATTCATGTCATTAAGTATACTGGATACATAGCAAGTCAGACAGATCCATCAAGAGCGGCCAGCCATGCCAATACCAACATAGCATTGGAGACGACAAAAGGAAATCATAAACCATAAGAGATAATCAAAGCAAGCAAGACGCAATGGAATTCGTAAATAGAGAACAGAAACAGATAATACAGGGGAATATAGAGAGAGGAGTTGGGAGCCACCAAGAGAATTGGGTTGTGTTGTATACTTCGTATGGCCACGCGTAATTGCGTACTGCCACGGGTACTGATGCTCAAGTTCCCAGGGCTCTAGGGGGCACGTGACCAGGTCACCGACCGCCTCCGGCAGTACTGTCGGCACCGCCAACAGGGAGATCAAAGCTCATTTGTCTGCGTTCAAACAAATGAACGCCAGAGAATCGCCAGGATAGGCACAGCAAAAATTGCGGACCAAAACAAATTGCTGGTGGATAAGTCAGTACATTTGTTTGAAGGCAGATTCTGCATCATGACCACAATTCTCTCCGATAAAAGTGTAGCAAGGAAATAAAAACAATCGGCTAGAAGGCAAAGCACAGAAAACACAAGATACAGTCTAATTCGAGGCCTTTCCACGCCGGAAGGGTGAAAAGATGGCTCCAAAGAAATTCACAAAGACAGTGCGCAAGATTGCTTTGAGCCAGCTGTCAGGTGCACCATTTAGAGAAACAGCAGTCACTGACCGGTTCTGGCTCGCTGGACGAGCATCTTCATCATTATCCTTGGGCGTAAGAGTGTTTTCGGCAGCAGGCTTGGCGTCGGAAACATTTGTAGCGGGTTCGGCGGTTCCCTTGCTGGCCTCGGCGGCAGGCTGGGACTCGGGGGCACTCTCGACGGTTGCTTGTTGGGTAGCCGTGGACAACTGATCTGTAGACGGCTGGTTGAGTTTGCTGAGGAGGGCTTCGCGGTCTCCAGCAAGGGCTGCAAGAGCGGGATCAGTTTCGAACGATATGGCAGATTGCTGGTGTGAAAGATAGAACGGTGTTGGCTTACTGTCTGCGGGCTGGGCATCTGCTGCGGAAACCTGGGGCTGGGTCTCAGCCTTAGTAACGGGTTCCTTGTGAGCAAGAGCGGCTACACCGGCACCAGCAAGGGCGACAGCGGCAACGCCAGCAGCGCCAGCACCAAGAATTTCGGCACTGATGCCAGTATCCTTGGCAGAAGCTTCCTCAGAAGCGGGAGCAGCGGTCTCTTCCTGCTTGGTTTCAACATCAGTGGTGGAGGGCTGAATGGACTCCTTCACATCGGATGTCTCAGCCACGACCTCGGGCTCCTCTGCGCTGACAGTCGGCTCAGGAATAGCCACAACTTCGGCCTCGACGGTTTCGACCTTCGAGGGTTCCTCAGTTGCAACAACGGTCTCCTCAACAGGAGCAGACTGTTCTGGGACGGGCTCCTCGACCTTGGCAGTCTCCTGTGCGGGCTCTTCAACAACCTCAGCAACAACTGGTGCTTCGGCTGCGGCCTCTTCGGCAACGACGGCGGGCTGCTCAATAGCAACTTCCTCAACCGCGGTGGTCTCAGGCTCGAGCTCCTTAGTAGACTCCTCCACTGGAGCTGCCTCGGGAATTTGCTCCACGGGGGCAGCAGCTTCAATAGGCTCCTCGACCTTAGCAGGCTCTGCGACGACCTGTTCCTCCACAACTGGAGCCTCAACAACTTCAGTAGCTTGGATGGTGGGCTCGACAGTGGCAGGCTCCTTCACATCCTCAACCTTCTCAGTAGCTGGTGCCTCAGTGGCAGGTTCTTCGACAGCGGGTGCAACCTCAGGAGTCTGTTCGGAAACAGGCTCAGCAGTGGGCTCGGCCGCAGTTTCGATAACAGCAACTGGCTCATCGATGGTCTTTTCCTCGACAGCGGGAGTTTCAGCAACAGCGGGCTCGGCGATAACAGCCTCAACCTCAGCCACAGGCTCAGGAGCAGCAGCTTCAACAACCTCTGCCGCAGTGACTGGCTCCTCGATGGCCTTGTCTTCAACAGCAGCAGTTTCAGCAACAGCGGGCTCAGCGATAACAGCCTCGACTTCAGCCACAGGCTCAGGGGTGGCAGCAACTTCAACAGTCTCTGCAACAGTCACAGGCTCGTCCACGATCTTCTCTTCAGCGGCAATAGGCTCGGCGTCTTGGGAAACAGGCTCCTCGACAGCGACAGCAGTCTCAGTCTGTTCAGCAACAACTGGCTCAGCAACGGCTTCAACCTCGGGTTGCTTCTCCTCGACCTTCTCGGCCTCGTCGGCAGTAGCATCAGCAACAGCAGGAGCATCAGTGGAAGCCTTGATAGGCTCCTCGACAGCAATTTCCTTAGCAGCCTCTTCAACAGGAGCGTCTGCAACGACGGGGGCGTCCTCGACAACCGGCTCTGGAGCGGAGGTCTCAGCAACGGGCTCCTCAACAGCCTTGTCAGCGACGGGCTCCTCGGTAGTCTGCTCAGTTACTTCCTCGGCCTTGGTGGCCTCTGGCTGCTCATCGGCAACTTCCTTGGCGGTCTCAGCGGGGATAGCCTCAGTAGGAGCGGCGTTTTCCTCGACGATAGCGGCAGCAGCCTCGGGGACAGCGGGGGTCTCCTCGGGAGTCAAATCCTTAGCAATTTCAGCCACAGGCTCCTCCACAACTGGTTCCTCTGCGGTAACCTTTTCGGTGGTCTCTTGGACAGACTCGACCTCAGTAGGCTCCTGGGCCTTCTCAGTAGTGGCCTCCTCGGCGACAACGGCAGCAGGCTCTTCAACTGCTTCAGCAGCGGGCTCGGTGGCGGTAGTCTCCTTAGCAGCATCGACAGTCTGCTCGGGAACAGGTTCAGCAACCTCAGCCTCCTTGACTGGCTCAGCAGCCAATTCTTCAGTGGCAGTCTGCTCAACGGGGGCCTCCTCGACGACCTCCTTGGTGGGCTCAGAGATGACTTCCTCCTTGGGCTCGGAAACCTCGACAGCTGGCTCCACGGCAGCGGCCTCTGTGGCAATCTCGGGAACGGTCGCGGTGGTGTCAGCGCTGTTCTCGGCCTCTGCCTCAACAGCCGGTTCTTCGACCGCCTTCTCGGTCACTGGCTCCTCGACAGGCGTGGACTCTTCCACAGCGGGAGTCTCTTCAACAACAGGCTCTGCGACGGTTTCAGGGACAGCCTCGACAGTCTTGGGTTCTTCCACGGCAGCTTCAGCGGCGGGAGTCTCCTCAACAACAGGTTCAGCGACGGTTTCGGCAACAGCCTCGACGGGCTTAGACTCTTCCGTGGCGGATTCAGCGATGGGCTTCTCCTCGGTGATAGGCTCAGCAACCTCCTCGGCCTTGGATTCCTCGACTGCGGGTGTCTCCTGGACGGGTTCGGGAGCAGCCTCGACAGACTCGGCCTCCTCAACGGGCTTAGATTCTTCGACGATAGGCTCTGCGACGGTTTCGGGGGCGGCCTCGACGGCCTTCTCCTCGGTAGCAGGCTTCTCCTCAGTGGTGGGCTCGGCAACCTCGGCGGCCTTAGATTCCTCGACGACGGCTTCGACTGCGGGTGTCTCCTGAACGATCTCGGGAACAGCCTCGACAGCCTTCTCTTCAGCGGCAGGCTCAGCAACCTCCTCAACCTTGGATTCGGCCACGGCGGGAGTCTCTTCGACGATAGGCTCTGCGACAGCTTCGGCGGTCTTCTCTTCCGTGGCGGCTTCAGCGGCAGGCTCAGCAACCTCCTCAGCCTTGGATTCTTCGACGGCCGGAGTCTCTACGACGGGCTCTGCAACAGCCTCAGGAGCGGCCTCGACAACCTTTTCTTCAGTGGCAGGCTTCTCCTCGGTGACTGGCTCAGCAACCTCGACCTTGGGTTCTTCGACGGCCGGAGTCTCTTCGACAGGCTCCGCGGCAGCCACAGGGGCGGCCTCGACAACCTTTTCTTCGGTGGCAGGCTCAGCAACCTCCTCAGTCTTAGATTCTTCCACGACAGGAGTCTCTTCGACGGCAGGCTCTGCGACAGTTTCAGAAATGGCCTCGACAGGCTTGGATTCTTCCACAACAGCTTCAGCAGCGGGGGTCTCCTCAGCGACAGTCTCAGGGACGGCCTCAGCGGCCTTCTCTTCTGTAGCGGCTTCGGTGGCAGGCTTCGATTCCTCAACGGCGGGAGTCTCCTGGACGATTTCAGGAACAGCCTCCTCGGTCTTGGATTCTTCAGCAGCGGGGGCTTCAGAAACGGCCTCGACAGCCTTCTCTTCAGCGGCAGGCTCAGCAACCTCCTCAGCCTTAGATTCTTCGACGGCCGGAGTCTCTACGACGGGCTCTGCAACAGCCTCAGGGGCGGCCTCGACAACCTTCTCTTCAGTGGCAGGCTTCTCCTCGGTGACTGGCTCAGCAACCTCGACCTTGGGTTCTTCGACGGCAGGGGTCTCCTGGGCGATATCAGGAACAGCCTCCTCAACCTTGGATTCGGCCACGGCGGGAGTCTCTTCGACGATAGGCTCTGCGACAGCTTCGGCGGTCTTTTCTTCCGTGGCGGCTTCAGTGGTGGGCTCAGCGACTTCCTCGGCAACCTTGGATTCTTCGACGGCGGGCGCCTCCTGGGCGACTTCAGGAACGACCTTGGTGGTCTTTTCTTCCACAGCAGCTTCAGGAACAGCCTCCTCGGCCTTAGATTCTGCGACGACCTCGGGGATAGCCTCGATGGGCTTTTCTTCGGTGGCGGCTTCAGCGGTGGGCTCTGCAACCTCCTCAGCAGCCTTGGATTCTTCGACGGCGGGCGCCTCCTGGGCGACTTCAGGAACAGCTTCCACGGCCTTCGATTCTTCCACAGCAGTCTCAGCGGCGGGAGTCTCTTCCTTGGCGGCTTCAGTAGTTTCAGGAACAACCTCGGTGGCCTTTTCTTCCACAGCAGCTTCAGGAACAGCCTCGACGGTCTTTTCTTCCACAGCAGCTTCGGTGGTTTCAGGAACGGCCTCGGTGGTCTTTTCTTCCACAGCAGTCTCAGTGGCGGGAGTCTCTTCCTTGGCGGCTTCAGTAGTTTCAGGAACAACCTCGGTGGCCTTGGGTTCTTCCACGGCGGCTTCGGCGGGCTCAGCGGCAGTTTCGGGAACGGCCTCGGTAGCCTTTTCTTCGGCAATAGGCTTCTCCTCGGCGATAGGCTCAGCAACCTCGTCGGCGATCTTGGTTTCTTCCACAGCGGGGGTCTCTTCGACGATCGGCTCGGCGGCGACTTCAGGGACGGCCTCAACGATCGTGGGCTCTTCTGTGGTGGGCTTAGCAACCTCTTCCACGGGCTTAGATTCTTCGACGATAGGCTCTGCGGCAGTTTCCGGAACGGCCTCAGTCTTCGATTCTTCTGTGATGGGCTCGGCGACGGGCTCGGCAACCTCGGGTTCTGCAGTGGTTGATTCAGCTGCAGGCTTCTCTTCGGCCACTACTTCGGCAACTGGCTCTGCAGCAGCTTCAGCCTCCTTAGGAGCTTCGACTGGCGCTGATTCCTCCACTGCAGGCTCTGCAGTTTGGGTTTCGGAAACTGCGACTGGAGACTCTGGAATTTGTTCGGCAGCAATGGAGCTAATGCTCTCCTGTTTCTTTTGCTGCTTCTTCTTGGCCTTCTTGGCCTTCTTCTTTTCCGCGGCGGTCAATGGGACCTCGGGTTGGGTTGAATCTTTGGATTGTTGTGTGGAGTCGGGCTCAACCAAGGTAGAGGTTGATTCGCTCAGATCCTCTGAAATAGGCTCAACTGGTGCATCTTTGGGGAGCACATTGCTTTCCGGGAGAAGGGGCTCTTGCACGCTGGCCATGGTTTATTTTCGTTTCAAATTCGTAATGTCGTAAAAAGATGATGGGAGGGTATTAGGGAGATGGTTTTTTCACAATTTGACCAGCAAAGATTTAACGCTAGATTTCGTGTACAGAAAACACAAGCTCACAGAGCAATAGGGTAATGGATTATTGTGATGGAAGAGGGGAAAAAGGGAAAAAAAAAATCTCAGCCCAAGTACAAAAAACCTCTGACGGCACAGCTCAGAGAGTGGGGAAACAGTTGGCATAGTGACCATATACATTACACCTTTCCTCTTTAGTCATTTCGTCTTTCACTTGGAGCATCTTTCAAGCTTGACGCCCAATGGCTGTTCGTACTTTTTGGCCTCTTTCATCCGCATCTCCACTTTCAATATGCGGTGAAGCTGTATCGCCGAGGTTTATTGTTTGGCTTTTTTTTTGCTTCTTCTTCTCTTGAACATGTGCGACCGTACGATGGACATGATTCTACTTCTAAGTATCTTTTTTTTCTGCTCTGGTTGCACAGGAATCCCAAAGGCAACGCTGTCAATTGGCCAAAAAAAAAGAAATTGGGCGCAAAAAAACGCAGACCCAATTGATAAACAAGCGCCAATAGGCAGTCCGCAAGGTTCTTATCCACCTGTCATATGGTTTCTGAGTCATTATTTGCAGTGATCTCCCAAAAAAATAATATGCTATAAGTTATGGTGGAGGTTCAATTTTCAATAGTCTCCCCATCCGTGGATTGGCTGATGTTCCGGCTTTTTTTTTTTTCCTTGGGGCCCATATATGCGGAACATCACGGATCTCCATATTATACGCAGTACTCCGTACTATTTCTACAATTCCTACTCCGTCCAAAGCACAACATATTCCGGTACTATTTGGGGAATCCATTTCTCAAAACAATGAAAGCTCGTGCTTCACACTAGTAGCTCTCGTGCATTGCGTGCTGCGTGCGACCTCCCTAAGCTTGGACCCTCCCACAGAAGCCGCATTTCCGGCTCAAAAGACCATTGCTGCAGGAATCTGCACTAAACTGAGATTTCCTGCAGGTTACAGAAATACTGGACTTCCGTAACTCCGTTCCACCGACTTTCATTTATCGTGAACCTAGGAAGCAGATATACAACATACATAACTAGGTACGCCCTGGGCGGTGTGGTCGGCTTCCCGGCCCCGGGGCGGAATCCGCGGGACAGCCGTGGAGGGCAATTTAATCAAAAGCTATTATGGTCATCTCATGTTCTCCTAACTCGTATAGCCAGGAGCCAGATGTGGAAACTCTCGGATCATCTAGCTCAATGTAGCTAAAAGGAACCTACTCCGAACTCCGTAATTGCTCTTGAAATTGAGCTAGAATTGGGTAGGAATTACCAGAGTGGCTGACAGATAAGGATTGTTATGATAGACATGGACCAGGTAATGGCTTAGCGCAAGGTAGTGGCTTGCAATTGACTTTTCCTTTGGTGCTCAATGCTTCATGGCTGGACTCTGCAGGCGGTTTGTCTGGCGTGATTGTTGTTCAGTATCAGTCTCACTCCTTTGCTTAATTTCAACGTCTCTTCATCTCTTCACAGTCAATGCACAGAGGCGGAAGAGTACAGGGGGCAAAAGCGGGGTAAGAGCTTGTATAAGATGTTTGTCTTGCTTCAAAGACCCATACACTTACTACACTACTAGCAAGTGTCTCTATGTCGGCCAATATCGACATATTGAGCAAAAAGTCATCAATCAATGTCCATGTCTCTACCAAACCAACATAAATTAGGGCTTTCCTTGTGATATTACGTGTTTATTATGTAAGTGGTGACTTCCCATCTTGGCAGGTGCCCATGTGCCCACCTGGGCAGGTGCGATGCAGCTAGAGCATCAAGGTGATCTTCACCTTGACAACATGAATGTTCTTACACAGTGCAAATAATAATGGACGACTGCTATTGTCTATCAAATCAGCAAATATTTGAGATTTACCTGGCCATACTGAAAACAACTCCACGACCCAAACCTATTGTTACAACATACAGCCTTATTTCTCCGTGACCGGGGTATGTTCCGAATAACAAAGTACGCTATGAAATCTATCTTCCTCGGAGTAAACGATAGCCCCACCTTATATGCCTACAGGATTCTCCTTAAAATCAAGAAGAGCATCTAAAGTAAAATTCCGAAACAGAATGCCTCGAATGCTTGAAGGATGGATGACCTATCGAAACTTAACGATTTTGGAAAGTGCGGCTCCGAAACTCGCTGGGTCGCTGAGTCGCAGTGTTGTCATTGAAAGGGAATGAAATTAAAAAATAAAAAAAGTCATCGCCCGGAGGCGATCCGGCAACTTGAGATCAAACGGCACTCAAGCTGAGGATGGACAGGGATCCATGTGGCATTGCGCCAATGTCACCAACGACAACCGCTAGGCCAGATGCCTGCCCATCCACTCATTCATGCTGCCAGTGCCATTTCTCATACTGAACGTGAAGTAAAAATCAGACATGCGACGTACACTCCAATGCTACTTTCCCCTTAAGCCGTTCAGCCAGGCTATATAAACTCCGTTTGTCGTGCACATTTTGGCCCACAATGTCATCAAACGGCGGTTTGGCATCAGTCACACTCCAATCGGAGCCCTAATACCCATAAGGAGGACGATCTGACTGGGCATTCATCTCAACATGCCGACGTTCCCTTAGACTCGTTTGCATCTGAGCTCACGTTCCACTCGCACATTCATACCATAAAATAGGCACATCCAGGATACCCGGGATCAAGCTGTGCTTTTGAGAGTAGCGGCAAGGTATCTTCATGTCCCTTGTATGTATGCTTGACGATCAAGGACTCAGGGGAATTTCTGATCGTTCTGAGGGACGATGAAAACCGTCTCGCTCATGGTATGAAGGTATAGAGTATTTCGGCTGTGATCTTATCAATATGAGGCTATCATGCCCGCATTATTCGCGGTAGTTTTTGACAGACCATCATTTGTCACAGAGCGAGGTTGCCCTTTCGCTATCCTTCATGATTTTCAAGATAGAATGGAGGCATTAGACATCAATCTGGTGAATTTTAGACGTAGTGTAGGTATTCCCGAACTTGCAAAGCGGTTTACCATGATTGTAGTAGAGGAAAGGACTTACCGACGAGCATAAAAGAAGAAACCTGACTGACAAAGAGGATCGGTCCTCAGTTGAGATATCAATGTCACCAAAGTATCAGTCGTGGTTGGATATGGTGGAAATGAATGAAGTCCGGTATCTCCGAGAGCTTGAGGGTTAAATAGCCCCTTAAACTCCATTAATCCTATCCATGCTTTGATCTCCAAGGCAACGGTGAAATCAGTGCCATTACGCACCAAAATATACAAGTCAAATCTTTTTGAGTTGGCTCTTATTGAAGATTACGTAGACACCTTAAGAAAAAGTATATCATGTAAGAGAGTATCCTCATTCTCCCCCCCCCCCCCCCCNCCATAAAGGTACCTAAATCAACTGAATCAAACTATTAGACCATAAGTTTTCCATTTGACACTACAACAAGAATAGTCTACCCTATATATGGCCTTGTGAAATCGACTAAAGAGTGACGGATAGGCAGAATTCACCCTTTTAATCGATGAAGATTCCCTCCAAGCCACTTGATTGTGGCGCTAAACCCAAATAGGCAAGGCTAACCAGAAATGGAAACCCAAAATGTCTGTGGGGTAGTTCAGGCACCAGGTACCCGTTCTCCCCTCATCCCCACTCTCCGGATAGGTACGGAGCTGGTAGGTATCTATATAGGGGTAATTAATATTCTCCGAATATCGAGGAAAGTTGAAGAGGGTTATATATTAAGTGTGATACAGAGTAGAAAGGGGTTAATGGGGTGTTCCACAAGTCAAAAGCCCCACACCCAATAAACTCAACATGGGATGGACGAAGTCCAGGCAGCAGAGTTAATCACAATAGTAAGTGTATAATAGTGGACTATAACATTATCTCACTGCCTACAACATGTGTGAATGGACGTACATACATAGCCCTGAAGCAGATCAGCCCTATCCGTGGTGGGTCCTAGCGCTCAGCCCTACGAGAGTTTTGGTTTACACTTTCTCTCTCTCTACACCGATATCTCGAGATCTCCCTATTTTATTCTTGTATCCTACACATAAGCATATCACTTCTTGCAAAAGAGAGTAGCCATCTAATCCTCTACATCTGGCCGTCTGACGTGAGAATGACCTGCTGTCCAAACCTGCCGTGATTGGTCAGAGTCAATTATTTTGGTCAATCAACACTAAAATCACGACATCGCCAGTACCGAAGTATATGGGCATTCAGCCCTATGGTACGGGCCTCATGGACACAATATGGCTTGTCTTACTAGCCATTCCCCTTTTCTTCTTCCTTCTTCAGATCCTCTTCACTCTAGCAATCTGGAGAGCCGCCAGGTTTGACCCGCCAGACTACGAAGAACCGGAAAAGACCCGACGTAATAATGGCGGAGACTATCTCGACTCGAGTCGGCCACGCTTTCGCAAAGCTTTTACAAATTGACTTAAGCCCAACACCTCCCCCACTTAGAGATGAGACCAGAATGTACGGCTATTACGAGCACGAACCCACTGTGGGTGACTGGTTTCGAGGTCATACACCCACCGCTCCTCAAATTCGTCGTTACATCTGGAGCCTATTCCCTTTTCTCCATTGGATCTGGTATTACAACGTGCAATGGCTGATTGGGGATCTCGTGGCAGGTGAGAAGCCCCCAGTACAACAAGGATATACAGCAGACTGAACCCTCTGGACAGGAATCACTGTTGGCGCCGTGGTCATTCCACAGGGTATGGCATACGCTGAACTAGCCAAGCTGCCTCCGGAATACGGCCTGTACTCGTCATTCATGGGGGTCCTGATTTATTGGTTCTTTGCGACGTCCAAGGACATCACTATAGGTGTAAGAACGATTGCTCCTTTTCTTCAGGTAGAAAAGCTAACACTCTCAGCCTGTTGCGGTCATGTCTACGCTCATGGGTTCAATCATTATCAGGGTTCAAGCCGTTCATCCCGAAATACCTCCGCCGGTCCTTGCTTCCGCTCTGGCAATCATTTGCGGTGCAATCGTATTGTTCCTCGGGTTGCTTCGTCTTGGTTTCATCGTCGACTTTATCCCTCTTCCTGCTATCTCTGCTTTCATGACTGGGTCCGCGATCAATGTTTGTGCTGGCCAAGTGAAAACGGTTCTCGGAGAGAAAGCTCATTTCTCAACCCGTGGGGCAACCTACAAGATCATCATTGATACGCTAAAGCATATTCCATCCACTCGGATGGACGCTGCTATGGGCCTCACAGCATTGGCGATGCTATATGGCATACGGTCTGCTTGCAACTATGGAACGAGGAAGAAGCCCCACAAGGCTAAACTGTTTTTCTTTTTGTCCACATTGCGCACTGCCTTTGTCGTTCTTTTCTACACGATGATCAGCGCTGCGGTTAACCTCCATCAACGCAATCACCCTGCGTTCAAGCTACTCGGCAATGTTCCTCGGGGGTTCAAGGCCGCAGGAGTCCCCAAAATAGATGTTCCAATCATCAAGGCATTTCTTAGTGAGCTCCCTGCCGCTGTGATTGTTTTGTTGATTGAGCACATTGCTATCTCGAAATCATTCGGTCGTGTCAACAATTATACCATCGACCCATCGCAGGAGTTTATTGCGATCGGCATATCAAACCTACTAGGTCCGTTCTTGGGTGCATACCCAGCTACAGGCTCATTCTCGCGAACTGCTATCAAAGCAAAGTGCGGCGTACGGACTCCTCTAGCAGGTGTGATCACTGCCGTTGTCGTCCTTCTTGCCATATATGCGCTGCCAGCGCTATTCTTCTTCATTCCCAAATCGTCCCTGTCAGCTGTGATCATCCACGCAGTGGGTGATCTTGTTACACCACCTCATATCACCTATCGATTCTGGCGTGTATCTCCAATTGACGCACTCATCTTCTTCATGGGCGTTATCGTGATCATATTCTCAACCATCGAGACCGGAATCTACTGCACAATCGGCGTATCACTAGCAGTGCTCCTCTTCCGACTCGCCAAAGCCCGAGGCCAGTTCCTCGGCTACATCCAGGTTCATTCAGTCGTGGGTGATCATATCCTCAACTCACCCCAGGAAGACCCAAATACAGAATTCGACGATGATGCCGAGAGATCCCGAAGAATCTACCTCCCAACCGAACATGAAGGTGGCACAAATCCCCGAGTCAAGATCCACCAGCCAGCCCCAGGAATATTCATTTACAGAGTCTCCGAGGGATTCAACTACCCCAATGCAAACCACTACACAGACCACCTAGTAAGCCACATCTTCAAAGAAACCCGACGCACAAATCCACAAGCATGGGAAACAACAGGGGACAGACCCTGGAACGACCCGGGTCCAACCCGCGCCGAACGCAAAATCCTCATGGCAGAGGAAGCACCCACTTCCCCACTCCCAACTCTCCGCGCCATAATCCTCGATTTCGCCACCGTCAACAACGTAGACGTGACATCCGTGCAGAACCTCATCGATGTCCGTAATCAACTAGACCGCTGGGCATCCCCAGATACCGCGCAGTGGCACTTTGCGAATATCCACAACCGATGGACGAAGCGTGCTCTCTCAGCGGCTGGGTTCGGGTTCCCCGTCGTCTCAGACGGATCAGGTCCTCGATGGCAGAGGTCCATCTTTAACGTTGCGGAGATCTTGGATGGCAGTCTACACGGTTCAGTGGCCCAATCTCAGATCGGAGAGTCGGAGGACTGGTCGAAGGATGTGGAGGCCGGCCTTAAGGTTCAGCAGAGCAGTGCGTCCTCGTCGGTTATGGGTGTCTCCGAGGATGATATCCAGGTTGTGCGGACTGATCAGAGGGAGGCGAAGGTTAACACTCATCGTCGCCTCGGTCGATCTGGTGTTGGTACTGGTATGGCTGCTGTTGATGGAATTAATCGGCCTTTCTTCCATGTGGATTTGACTAGTGCTCTGAAGAGTGCTATGGCTGATTTGTAGGGATGCAGCTGGCATGACAATCGTCCTTGGATGGGTATATCGCTGGATGGCTGGTTTGCTTTATTTACTACACTTGCCTCTTCTCCTTAACTTGCTTTAAACTACTTGGGGATCATCTTCATTTTAGTGGACTCTGAATCAAATGAACAAGACTAAATAGGTCTCACTTTTTTTTAATCAATTCAATATCGACAAGAATAATCGGCCACTTATGCGGCCTTGTGATGTCTTTTTTATAGATATTTTCCACCTTATTGGTGTTGTAGCTAGAATACAGGCGGGAAAAGGCTTGAACTGTGAAGAAGACTTTTCTACTAGCCAGGAATTGATTTCAAGTCAAAACTTTTAAGCGACTCTGATAGCACTTTCGGAATACCAAATAAACAAGTCATCTGTGCCCTCTCCACCATAGCTTCTTTAGCTTTTTATTCACCGCAACTCTGCCAATAATTCCCTCTACGCCTCAAGACTGGCGGTGTCCGATCTCGATTGTGTAGATCGAAGACTAGTCCTAATTGCGTATAGCTGGTGGATGCTGACGATCTTATCTGTGTTTGTGGCTGAAGAAGGGTCACCGGGTGAAAGGCCTCTCCGAGACACAAATTACCTACAATCAATAGTAAAGTAGGATAAATAATCCATCTGTTAAAGATCATCATTTGATTGCGAGAATTATGCATACTCCATGTGCCCCGGAACCATGGTAGTTGGTGATTAACAGGACCGAGGTCAAACAACCCATTCATTTTATATCACACCTCAAGAGAGCTGCATAGAGGAGTAGTACTAGCGATCAGTTCATATCCTAGGATGCGTCAGTTTCATCTCCCTGAAAAGATGATCCCATCCTAGAAGATAGAAAAGGCATACTCGGAATACCCTCGGTATCCGATATATCCGATGTATCCGTCGAGCAACAGCTCACGCATCCCTCTACGCGAACACGATACAAGTACTCGATGCTTCTACATATCAACACGGCCAGTCCACAACTACAGTATTTTCTACTACACCATCTCGCTCCACACCTGGATCCTCACTACCCGGTCCTCTCGCCTAAGTCGAAATTTGCCGGCCTGGTGCACAGCGTATCCGCAGCGTCGAGGAATAGACGTAGATATGACAGCGGGAAAAATCGAAGTCTACAATGTACACAAGAACCGGTCTAAACAGTGCAAGCACGCCTCTTATCTGCGTCTGGGGCGGGTGTAGTGCAGCTCGATGACCGAGTGTCTCAGACGGCGTAACCAATATGTATGATGCTGCGCGAGTCTTGGGTGGTCGTTTATGCAGAACTGGATCGAGGGTGAAACAGGTTTTGTTCCTGGTGCTGCAGTGCCCAGTGCGTATGCTATGCCGGCTCAGGGTGCGATGCAGAGCTGGGGGTCAGACTGCGTTGATCGAGGGACGTGTGTAGTCGGTGCGAGGGTTGGTGCTTTCGGGCAGATCCGGGAGGACGTCGAAGGAGCGCGTCTTGGTGCGGTAGATGTTGTTCTTGTTCCTGGCGGATGATATACCGCGGTTCATGGTGTTTCTCGTTCGACGCGCGTTGGGTTATGAGAGCACGTTTGATGGGTGATTTGGGTACTGCGCGGGGCTTTGAATCCCTGTGGGCGGATATATATTGACTGGAAAACTGCTGTGAGATTAGGTATGCGCTGTCCAGCGCATTAGCTGTGACAGGTAGCGCTGGCGCTAGGCTCGTGATTGCATGTGTCTGTGCCGAGGGCGTGAGTGCGGTTCAAGGAAGAGGTACGAGGTCTAACAGCCGGGGGGGAAACAATTAGTCTTATATTGTATGTTTGAATTGAGAGAGTGGGTATTTAAGAAAGAAACTAGACTATGGATACTGTGTGTGTCTTATGCCATTACGGCAATACTGCGTACACGAGTATACAGACGCTGAGGCTATACTTTGTACGGGGTATATGCCAACTGGCCTCATGACCTCACGGCAGGTCAATGATGAGTTGATGAGTCGCCGAGTCTTGCCAATTACCATACCGTATTTTGGTATTTTACCCGATTACACCCGGCACCGGAGCCCCTTATCTTCACGCTTCTATACCAGCGCTCTCTCTCTCTGCTCAAAGCTTCTTTTTTTGACTCAATTGACATTCTCAATTACGATTCCATTTTCTGGTAAAAAGGATTGTCCTCAATCCCCATATCAATGGCCTAGATAGCTCCAGGTAAGGAAAAACGCGTAACGGCTGCACCCTGAATCGAGCTTGTGTGGGTCCCGCCAAGCTGCGATCAGCCGAAATTGCCAAAAATCGAATTTCCGAAATACAAAGAGCCTCTGGTTAGCCCGTTTGGGATGGTGTAATTTGCCCGTGAAAATTTTTGCTGGAGGTAGGTCTGTCTATATAAGGGTCTCCAGCCCCGTTGAAATGAGAGGGAGTTGAATGACACTTTACCGCATTACGCTGAACGTTCTGTAATCCCCTTTAGGGCAATTCGGTAAGACCAGATTTCACTACGATAGTCGGGTCATGGCGGGTCAGAAATCCAGCCTAAGTGGACCGGCGAAAGCAAGGACACGACAACCCGGATTTTTGGTTATTTTTTTTCTCTTTTTTTTTTCCCTGACTTCTTTTTCCCATCATCTGTGTTCACCCCCTGCTATGAATTTATATAAGAATCGTACACCATCTGCAGGTCCTATGCATAGTTTTTGCTTCCCTCGGCAAGCCATCTACGAGAGACTGATGGTGTTCGGGGTACCGGATCCGTTCAGAATTACGTATTTTCCAAATGTGACCACTCGGTGAGGTGGATTCCCGAGGGACGAAGGGGGAGACAATATCCACTTAATCCACATTATTTGGCTCCTTTCAGCCGATGGTTGCCCAGTAACTCCGTAGTTGGTGGACCTGGAATCCGAGTCGGGCCGGTTTGGGCGAGGCCGGGAACGAATCCAAGAAGCAAGGTGGATCCAAGAGGATTATGATTGGTTCCTAGAAGCTTGGAGGTGGATCGATCCACTAAATTGGAGCATGCTTAAGATCCACCGCAAGGGCGGAATTGGGATTTATTTTATTATTTTATCCGGATTTGTTTTTTATTATTGTCTTCACCTCGTAATTTTTATTTTTATCCCTTTGTTCGGACTTCTAATTCAACAATTGACATACGTATGTCCAAACAAAAATTGTATCAGAAGCACTATGTTAAAACTCCCCCTGCAAAGTGAAGGGTCATCTTTTTCCTTATGCAGGGGATATTCTGATAGATAGTCAAGACCCATAGACCCTCGACGAATGAAAACCAGTGGACCCAGTTGGCACAATACCCGATTGATTCCGACAGGTAGCAATACGCGGTAAGAATGGAAAAAAACAAGACCCAAACCGACCAAAACCGACTAAAACACAGCAATACCACCCCCAGCATTCCTAAACAGTGTGATTTGCGTATGAAATACTCCGGAGTCCACGCACAACCTAGGGCTTTTTTTTTACCTTACACATACACTAAGACCGACTAGGAGGCGGACGGGCGAAAATTTGGCCGTAGAGTATTTATGTCCTAGTGAGTGCCGTCTCCCGTAGTTTCCCAGCTTTTTCTCCCTGAAAAGTCCATCTCTCTCCTCTTTCCTTCTTTCTCCTCTCTTCCACCCACGCTATAATTCTATAACCCATTCATCACAATGGCCGCCACTCGTGTCTTCACCTCCCGCATGGCCTCCGTCATGGCCCAGACCTCCAAGGTCGCCCGCCCTGCTGCCCGCTTCCAGCTCAACGCTGCCACCAAGCGCACCTTCACCCAGAAGGCCCCCGCCTTCGGTGCCCCCAAGCGCATCCAGTCGCCCACCCTCCTCCAGGCCAAGGCCTTCCAGACTGCCGCCCGCCGCCAGTACTCCTCCGAGGTCGCCTCCGCCATGGTTGAGGTCTCCAAGAACATCGGTATGGGTTCCGCTGCCATCGGTCTCGGTGGTGCCGGTATCGGTATCGGTCTCGTCTTCGCCGCTCTCCTCATGAGTGTCTCCCGCAACCCTGCTCTCCGTGGCCAGCTCTTCTCCTACGCCATTCTCGGCTTTGCCTTCGTCGAGGCCATGGGTCTCTTCGATCTCATGGTTGCCATGATGTGCAAGTACGTCTAAATTATCAACTCGGGTTTTCGGATTCTTGGAAAAATGTCATCAAAACAAGGATTTTGGGTTTTTTGAGAGAATCTCTTTTTCCGCCGGGGAGGGTATTTGGTCGTGATGTATTACCATGTACTACTTTCAGCGTCATCTACAACACTTTTCTTTCTGTACATATAGAGTCCTATATGGCCCATCGACCATCCAACCTATCAAAGAGCCAAACGAAAAACTCTGTGTGTTGCGTCTGACGGCCGTATAATATCCTCTTTTTCCTTCTTCTCTAGATTTTCACCTTCCCCACGGGGGCGAATGGGTGAAATATGCACGTATGGGAGCTTCACGAGCTATCTCTTGCTCGAAAGCTCAGAAACTCCACGTAGACAAAAAAAGCTACAAAGCTTACAATCCCGGGGGGATCCTAGCTCGATCTTCAAAATAAACAGCTCCTGATCCGTTTTGGCGCTTATTTTATCCCCGTCCTAGCGGATGTTGCTACGGGTCCTGCAGTATTTGACCCGCTCTTCAACCAGCAACTACGCCACAATTACCGCCCATTGGCCTACAATATACGGTGAGAGTAGGCTAGAGATGGTTCATAAGACCATTGAGCTATTTTACGGCAAATCACCACTGCTGGCAGACCTCAATTGAGCTGGAGAGCATCGAACGCAAAATTCTTAGCTCCCGGGCCTCGGGAACGGCTTTCCCGTAGTCAGCTGACTCAGCTTGTGACCTCAACCTCGGGATTTCAGGGCAGCCACGGAGGTCGTGTTTCTGCATGCAGCATGCAGGGCTTGAAGAGCGAAGCAAGTCATTTTTCACTGTGAGCTAGGTGTCTTGTGAATTTACTATGACTTCGGGTTGAGGACTCGAATGCTCTGATGTTCGGCAACTTCCCCGTTTATATCCACGAACCCGGTCTAGTCCGCTTTCGGTTAGTGTCAATATCAAATTGTAGTATGTACGGAGTATAGCTTGGTGATATTGAACGATACAAATATGTAAGGCATCTTTATTTCTGGTGGGTTCATAGGGATATCTTACGTTGGTGGTGTTCTCAAACCCTGGTACTATGAATATCGTCCAATTGAACAATATATACTCCGTACAATGCCTCTTGTCAAGGGTTCATCCAATATATAAATACATCGAGATGAGGTCTAGCAACTTTGAATTTTTTTTCTTCCTCTTTTTTCTAGTTTAACTCGATACAGCAAATTCTAGAATATAACTCATATTAATCATCAAAGGGATTTATCACTGCAAATATCTTACCAATGCTTGAAAAGCAATGCACGTGCCGAGGAGACACGCGACTCATCGCGTCAACACATCTGGCCAACATACTCACACTCCAATTGGAAGGAACAAGATCAAGTGCATCAAAAAAATGCTCCATATTGAACGATATAAACATGAAAATTGTTAACAGAAAAAAAAAAAAAACATCACAGAAAATCGACTCCAGACATGCCATAACCGCTTGATGAAACTGATGAAACGCTGATGGGGAATATGTATCACCAGGACTCGACAAAAGAAATAACCCCGAAGTGTAAGTGCACGAAAGCAAACAAAAAATCAAAGAAGTGAACAAAACACACCAGCTAGAAGATTTCCAGATCCTCAAACTCAACCACCAACCCATCCGCCGAACCCGTCGGCAAAGAGGCATCCAGCGTCATCCCATGCATGGCATCCCACATAGTCCCACCACGCGACAACCCCATCGGCCGACTCGCATAAACCCCAACATGCACAAACTTATCCTCAACCCCATAAAAGAACCAGGTCACCTCGCGCAACTTCTTCCACGAATTCCCCACCGCACCAGGCGACAGAGCGAACGGCGACGCCGACGGAACCTGGTACCAAATCCACAGCGCATAGCCGACACGCTCGAGCTTGATGCGTAGTGAGTGGATCGCTAATCCGGCCTGAGCCGACTGCGCCAACGGCGACAAACACCAGTCCGCGCCATCGGCCGTCGCGCTCACCGACGACGCGTTCACTGTCCCCGATGAGAATTCCATTCCGGCTTTCACCCATTTGCAGGGTGAGCGCGGGCCGTTGCGGAAGGTCGGTGGTCCGTCGACTTCCGAGGAGAAGGATTGTGGTGCGGCGCCGGCGAATATCACTAGTCCGCCTTGGTCCCATTCCATTTCCCAGTCTGCGCTCACGGTCACCTCCGCTACGACGAAGGCGTGGCGGAGGGATGTGAAGACAATTGGGGCTGTGGAGGTTTCACCGTTAGGTGGTTTGCGCCATAGGTCTGTGTTTGGGCCCGCTCGAAGTGTGAAATATTCCATGCATTGGGGTAGTTCGAATGTCGGTGGGAGGTTTAGGGCCGTGAAGGTTGATCCATCCGGAGGCATTTTTTGGGAAATTTTGATCTTTTTGAGATTCTTGAATTGGGGTTTCGTGTGCTCTTAATAAGTGAAAGAGAAAGGAAATATTTGTAGAGTCACACTGGGTGGTTTCTCGAAAATAGGAACACCCCGGATGAGATGCAGTACTCTTAATTCCTGCAATGACGCTAGGGTCATAACATTTGCTTCTAAAGTTTATGTAGATGCAATAATCCGAGCAGAGCAAACTATGCACGATGAGCAGAATGCAATAAAAAAAGAAAAAAAGAAAAAAAAAGTAACCCCAGAACTGTTGGGATATGATGCAGTCGAGAATTGGGATACGCCGAATGCGGGTTGCGCCAGACCTGGAAATGGGAACACCGAAAAAAGCAAAAGGAAAGTGAAGAAAAAGAGAAAAAAGAAGATGAGTGAAATAAATTAATGGCTTGAACTACGGCGTTCGTAGTACTTATATAGTGAGGATAAGTGTGGGCTTCCCCCTAATGGATTTCAGGGGACGATCTTCCCAGGTCCCGCCTGGGAATGCCCCTATCGAAGAAGCAGAGCCAGAGCATTGGAGACTCAAACCGAGCTGTTGGGCTCACTGGGGGCACTAGAGTTGTGTATTTATGGACGGATTTGACAATTTCTTTGAGGGAGACCCTCCAGAAGCGTGCTTGCATCGCTTCGGCGACAGATGGGCCGCGGGCTAGTTCTCAAGTGGCGGGTCATTATGCATCTGCGGAGGATCCATCACGATGTGACGGAGCTTCTGAGAGGAGAATCAAAGGTCCATTTAGGCCCAAAGGACCCGAGGGGCACACGAAACAAGGAATAGGGCGAATGTGTGCAGTTGACACTTGTCAGAGCTGAAAGAAAGAACACGCAGTTGGTAATCATATCCACACCTGGGAGAGAATTATACTTCAACTTATCGAGGATCGATCGGAACAATGCAGGACGCATGAACTGGGTGGAACTCAGATTCGGGGAGCTGAGAATTGTCTGGGATCTTCCTTGGTCGGTGGTTTGACAGGTTACAGGGAAAATAGGCAAATAGGCTTCAGGTTTTGATTTCATTGCTCTCTGCAGACCTCACCCACGCGGTTTCGCTCTCCACTTATGTATTCTGCACGAGGCTGAAGAGGGTAATTGTGGATGTTCCATGGGGAATCCCGGTGGATTAGATGTAAGAAGTAAGCTATAATACGGCTATAATTTAAGACATAATAAGATGTAATATAAGCGTTAAAATGCTTCTTCCCCCACATCTATAAACCATATCTTTATTCTTCACCTACTCTGTCCTGTTTCGTGCAAAATGAAGCAAAATGTACAGATCAGCTGACATGTTTCTTTTAATAGACCGCCAAGGCTTTAGCCTGTGATCGACTTTCTTTCTCCTGCTTTCCAACTCATTTAACGGTGATGTGTTGGCATCGGGCGCAACTGACCTGGGTTCTCATGTCTCTCTCTGCCTAACTCCAGTTCCATATTATTCGCCCTTTCTCCCCCTTGGATTCCAAATCTCAAAGTCTACTTTGCCCCACGCTAGCATGCACTGATCCACGGAGTACTTCTTACTCCTTCCGTAGACGAATATGCACGGGGCGAAGTGCAGGTTCCAAAAGGGGGCTAAAATGCGAGAACCCCCCAAAATCAATCCAAAATCAAGCCAAAATCAACAGGGCGAAGTCAACTCGTATTTTGTTCTGAAGCCCTGTGCCTTCCAAGGCTAAGTAAGAGCTTGGGCCAATCAATCCGCCACATGGATATCTTGGCTTCGTATTTGAAGACCCTTAAGCCTCAATCCAAGCTAGTGTACCCCGTATGGAGGAATTTTTTAAGCCCCCTGATCCATTTACTTAAATGGCGTCCATTTCATAAAGGCTGGGGAACTACTGAGATTCCTCAGAGATAAACAGACTAAATTGAAAGAAATGGCGCCTCGACGCGGCGGAGGGTTTTCCTCGAGCTACTATGGCGACAATAATCAATGGAGCGATATGACCTGGTTGTCACTGGATAACTACCGGGGAAAGTCTTTCTTTCTCACCCAGTTTGCTTTTGATATCCTCTCTCTTCTTGCATTCATCGTCTTCTTCATCTGGGCATGTAGGATCAGGGATCGCAGTCTTCCGCTGAAGGGACTCATTTGCGCCCTGACTTCCTTTATATGGTATGCGGAAAGACCTGGAACAAAATAAACAATTCGCTAACCGATGGATCACTCGCTAGCTCCCAAATGAGCATCATCGCTTGGGAAGCCCTGTATGTCGCCGGGGCGGAGGTGACAATGTACTATCTGATTAGCCTGATGCTCTGGGACTTCTTCAGAGTCATGGCAATCTGTTTCACCTTCTATGTCTTCTGGAACCTCATCCATAGCTCCCTGGGGCTTATCAATGCCTCCGGCAAGCCCCATGTGGCAGTGTCCATCGTCCATTACCTCTTCCTTATTATTATCTTCGTCCTCTCTTTTGCCGAATGGGGCTTGTGCGTTGGTTCGTACGTGAGAAGTGTGACTTCCACGTACGACGAGACTTTACAATTGATCTGGACACATGTGAATGGTGCGACTGACATTCTCTGTTGGGCGTTTTCCATGGAGATCCTCGCCTGGATAATTTTTGTTGTTGTCAAGGCTGGCAACCATGTATTTGTATCGAAGGTGAGTCCCATCCCAACACATACTCTCTATAGAGCACGCATTTACTGACTGGCCATTTTCAGATGCCTGCTGTGGCAATCATCACCGCCGCCACCGCCTGGTTCGCAGTGTTTGCTGTCGCGGCCATCATTTACATTCGCTATACCCTGGTATATGGCGATTATTATTCATGGCCAATATACCTTAACGCCGTGGCAACAATTCTGAAGTTCGTATTCTGGGTCGGCACTTACACGGGCATTCTCCTGTGCTGTGCGAAATGGCATAAGCTTGATGACGAGCAGAAGTATCGGGTGCCTCAGTACCAGTCTCGGTACCCTCCTGATCAATTCCCACCTCGATATCTTGCTCAGTATCCCGAAGGGCAAAACCCTCCGATTCAACAGCAGCCATATAGTGTTGCTCCTTACCTGGATCATTCGGCACAGCCTCAGACTCATCCGCACCACGTCTCGCCCCAGCAAGGTTAAGGCTAAGCTCGGATTTAGTTGAAATGTACTGGTTGATATTTCCTCATGTTTTGATATTGTGAGAGTTTCCATTCACAGTGGTACTCTCTTATAATGTATATACCAATGATCTAATGTTGATACCCAATGCGATGCGAATGATAGCAATGCAAACGTTTTTGTATAGAATATTTTACATTTTACATTTCATATCTCTAATAAGCGTCAGATTAATATACAGGAAACTAAAAAATAACAATAAACCAGTAAATGACACTCATAAAACACGAAGAAGCAAGTAGACAAACGTCTTGGCAAGTCACCAGGCGGTGGCGCAAACCCGCGATAACATCATCTCCATTTTCGCCGTCAAGCTTTCTCTCAATCAACGACTTCTCCTGACACATCTCACGCCGCAAAAAATGGTCTGCTCAAAATGCCAAAAGAAGCTCAAAGCTACCGAGCTCGCCACACCCGGCGTCAAGCGCAAGAACGACATGTACTACGGCTCGCCGTCTAGTACACTCGGTGGAGGCGCAGACAAGGGAAAGGCGAAGGCGACGTTAGGCGCTACTGGAATCGGAAAGGTATGTTACAAATTTACCGTTGGATACTATGGATTAAAATAAATTGTTATTCTTGATGAGTTTTATACTGACATCCCCTCCCAGAGCAAACTCCTCAGCGCGAAAGCGAAGAATCCTTATGCGGCTTATGCTTCGTCTTGTGATAACTGCAAGGTGAAGACCGAACAGGGGAAGAAGTTTTGCCAGCGATGCGCTTATCAGAGGAATGGTATGTTATTCTATTCTTTTCTCTTGGCTTTGTTGCGAATGAAATGCTGATATCGATACTAGCCTGTGCCATGTGCGGCAAGAATCTGGCGGGGAAGTCAGCCAAGGACCAGCCTATTGTTCAGGGACAGAAGTTCAACATGGCGTGAGATGCTTGTGTTAGATCTGGACCGTTGCGCATTTTTCTTTTCTATCTTGATTCACTATGTACATGGCATGGCGTTTTGGGGGCGTTGATGATACCGCGGAATCGAAGATTAATATCAATGTCAACATTGGAATGAAATGAATTTGATTTGACAGTGTAAGAAAATTCTAGTTATACATGGCATGCGCAATAAGAGTATATGCAATGCGCCACCAATGGTGCGCTATAGTATCGGAACAAGTATGCCTTTTCATCTCTGAAGAACCTTGAACCTCGCGTTCTCCTTCTCTTCCAGCTCCCCTCAGCTGCCTCCCGGGTATCAACCTCTTACCGGTCGGCCAGCATGTTCTTGATGTTGCTGTAGTATTGCGTGTTCAGGTATTGCGCGAGCTCCTCCTTGGCGAGCCACTTGAAGTCCTTGATGCCCTGGGTGTTGACGGACAGATCGACCTGGCCGGCCATCATACGAGACTTCAAGAAGAAGATCTTGCTACCGGCAACCTCGACCTCGGTTGCATTGTCTGCCTTCTTCGAGCGGCGGGGGTTGAATGAGTGCCATCCGACCGGGTGGAAACCGACCATCCAGGTGTTCATGTTGACACCGGCGGACTGGGCGAGGGTGCGTTCAGCAGCCTAGGAGAGAAATAGTATGTTAGTATAATTTCCAGACTCAATGTGGTTTGAACACAAGTTATAGTACTCACCAAGCGAAGGGTCTCGCCCGACTCCACCGGCGAGCTGGGGAACTTCCAGTGTCCCTCCTTAGACTGAACAAGGAGATAGAGAGTGCGGGAAAGCAAACGATCGAGACTCTTTTGGTCGTTCTTCTTGTCTGCCTCCGTGATCCGAGGGTATGGGCGAGGGATTTCCTCCTTTTTGCTGGTATCTTGGGAAGTCGCATTGGCAGTGGATTCTGCGTCCTGCACAAGAGCCTCAACCTGGTGTTCAGGCTCAGACTCCTTTGCTCCTAGCAAGAGCTCGTCGTTCCATGCATCGCTATCGTACGCGTTGTAAGTTCCGATATCACGCGCGGCAGTCCGGCGCTCCTGGATCTTCTTCTTCCAGTCTTCGTCGGCTGGTGTTCCACGCTTGAAGTAGAAATATTTCGTAAAGGGGAGAGCCAGACGCTCGTTCAGACGCTTCTGGTAGAAAAAGAACGCTTTCTCGAACGGTTCGAGTTCACGGGTGATTTGGGGAGGGCGGGAGAGGACTACACCCGCGTTGATGATGTAGGCTGGCTTCACGGCTGGGTCGGCCGCTGTTGATGCGGAGGTCGATTCGATTGCTGGTGCTGCGGAGGAATAGTTGCGGCGGCCAATGGTCTCTTGACAGCTTCTGCACACGCCGGAGTCGATTATTGATGGCCCTGCGCGCGGAGTCAGTTATTTGGGACCTGGATAATTCGGGGAATATTCAATTGGACATACGCAGTAGCGAGGCTACGCGCCGTGCACCAGTAGATCCTGACGACATGTTCAAGGGTGGAATGGCAATGTGTTTGGGGCTGATCGGTGTCTGGTCTCCCCGAGAAAAAGATCCAACCAGGTCACGTTGTCGCCAGGCCCGATTGGGCTTAGTCACCGCCCGGGCAGTTTAAATTTCAAAATTCGACTTGCCCTTTTCTTCTCTTCTCCAAGCATCTCTTATCATCACTGCGTCCAGTTCTCTACGGCCGGTTGATCATTTAAAGGTGCTCAGAGTGAGCTCCTCCTGAGGTCGCGGCCAATTTTCGCTAGCGGTACCTTCTTTATAAATCAAGGCGTACTGTTAGATAGCTGCCGCGAACATCCCATTTAGTCTGATGGTTATGTGCTTAGATAGAAATCCATTTTTTTACCATTTTTCACCTTTACTTCTCTCGCTTCTCGCTCCTCTGTATTCAATCTCTTTTCCTGGCAAGTATTCTCTTTCCCCCGGATCATAAGTTCCCACCTGCCCTCATATCTCCACCAGCAGCTCTTCCTTCTTAGGCTCTTCCCTTCCTAGTTGCACCATCCTCTCCTGTGTACCGAACACCCGCAGTATGTTCCCGTAGGTATCCCAGAAGACATCACCGAGACGCGGCAGCAATTTACCCTGGCTGACTAGGCGAGCTATGCGCCCAGAACTGACGTCGGCCAGGGATGTGCCAGCTCGAGCAATCTGGGCTGGTTGAATCGTCGGAGTAGTCTCAGTGTCAACGTCAAAGAAGTTGCTGAATTCACTTCTGGGAACAGGCTGATTGCTAGGCTGTGCCATGATACCGGCAACCAAACTGGGGACCGTGGTCGTCTGTGGCCGGGGTTTGACTGTCGGCTGTGAAGGGCTGCGCTGTATATCGCCTGCCAGTTTGATGAAGGCCATGGCAGCAAGCATGCTATCGTATCCTGCCTCGTGGGTGCGCGTACGGAATTTGTACTTCGAAAAGCGAGGGTCCATCTCTGGAAAACGGTTAGCTGTGCTCGCTTGTTGTGAAGGATATAACTCATGCCCTACCTATCCTGGGGCTTTCTATTCCGGCTAATGTGGCGTTGAGCTCTTCGAGCGAAGACATCGGGTTTAGAGAGCCGCAGCCATGAGTGGCCAAGTACTTGGTATCCGCTAGCACGGGGAATAGATCATGGATGACGGTCTGAAACTCAGCGAGAGTATTCGGCAACGGGCCTAGGAAGCATCTGTAGAAGAAGAGCAGATCGCAGAACATGTTGTGACCGACTAGAACCGGTCTGTTCTCCTTAAGCCGGTTCTTCACCTTGTCTGACAACTGCTGGATCCCGAAAGTCGGCTGCTCGATTATCTTCATCAGAGGATGGAAAGTGTCAGTTTCAAGCTCTTCTAGGCTTCCACCCACAAGTGCTTCTGCGATCCAGCGGAACCCGATATGCTTTCGGACTCGTTCTTTTTTGACCTTCAGTTTCGTTTCGAAGGTATACTGCTCATTGCACGGGTCCCGCAATTCGATCTGGACGAACGTTGATGCACCCCGCGACGTTAAGTTGGGATACTCGTCGCTGATAAGGTGGTGCACCAGCCATTTCTGCATGCTGCTCAACCCGGTAGGGATGGGGCCTGGAATAAGCTGCACACTGCTGGGTGGTGGGATGTTGAGCCACTCACGGCGTTTCTAAACATGTCAATTGATTTGCTCAGATGAAAGTTTGATATAACGTCTTACCTCGCCCTGTGCCAGCCACTCATTGACACTGATTCGAACGGCTTCAAGGAACTCCAGAGATTCATGGTCGTCTTTTTTGATATCCGCAACTTGGACGGGATTTCGCGACTGACATTTCTCCGTAGCCCTTCTGATTGCCAGTTTTTCTTCCTCTCGAGACAGGTATCGAACACCGAACGTGCACATATGGTCAATGCTGAAGTGGTTCGCGAGCAAGAATTCCATTGCTGCTCATGGAGGTATTAGCAGTATGCTCAACATTCGTCGTAGATATCGGACATACAGCGGCTTCCAAATGTCCAGTCCCGATTCACATCCATCTCATGCTGAGTGATTGGACTCAGATTTATGTTGTATGGCTTCAGGGTGTAGGTGGCTGTAGATAGTTAGTGAGATAAGTCTTCAATTTGGGTTAATTGTGTACCATTTTCCTTGTCTTCATGACAAGTGGTCAGCCCAACTTGGAGAATCTGGTACCGCTCTGCGGCCGCCTTGGTTTCCACATATCGTTCCTGCACAGTCTGAGGCCGAGACTGTGGTGTATGTGGTTTGAAAACCACCCCGGACAGTTCGAAGTCTATGGACACGAAGCAGCTGGTGGAGATATCGTTGAGGATGGAGGGGAGGCAATCGGGGAAGGTGACAGCTGTGACATCCATGTTGGTTTGAAGTTGAGAACGGTATAAAAGTATGAGCTTAGTGAATGAAAATAAGAGTGAAAAGGAGAGAGTTGCTGATTAGCTTTGTTGAAGTCTTGATTGCTGAGAGCTGAAAGGAGAGCACATGTATGCTTTGGGAAGGCAGGTATCCGAGTTTCATTAATCAGAAAGAGTCCTGCTCTCGCAAATTGTAGAAAGGGCCATCTGATCGAAATTAAGATGTTGACAAAGTTTGCTGGTCTACTTGGCCGTTAAGTCTCATAGATCGAAGTTGTGATAGGAGGAAAATAAGAAGAGAGAGAGAGAGTTGAAGAAATAGTGATACAATAGAAGATCTCGAAGCATTTAAATGTCATTAATCCCTGGAGGATCAACACCGACTTTACTTCACTATGGATGATGTAGCGAAGATATATGCTTTTATCAATGACTTCGTAGCAAATTGTCGAAATACACTGTCTATCCCTTTAGAGATACCGCATATAGCTTCATAAGATGCAAAATCTAAATTAGCCCTGAGGGTTCCCTCAGTTGGGAGTGCATGGATGACCGATACAACAACCTAGTGATATTGTATGTTGCCCTAATGTCCAATTGGAACGGAACTAGAGGCCGTTAGTCGTAAATCCAGCCTGCAATGCATTAACCGAAACATTTGGGAGAGTGGCCTAGAGTGGTCAATTTCCAGAGCTAAGTATATCTTGTCACCTTTTTATAAATCAATGTAAAATCAAATATAAATTCGGAAGTGATAGAAGTGATTGAAGTTATAAACACGAGATGTCATAGATCTCACAGGCCAGTCCCGTGACCAACCCCGGACTTGGACGAGCCGAGGGAAAACGAAAGCCGATCATAACCCCGACACGTCTTGGATGGTTTCTCTTTTATAATTACTCCTTTTACTTCTCCTACTACTTTTTGAAAGATCAATATTGCTATTTTGATATATCGGCCTCCGCAATGGCCAACGGACCCCCAATGTCGTCTCACTCTCACGCCGCATCCTCAGCTTCCCCCACAAAGTTGTGCTCCAAGACATACAAGAAAGCCTCCCAACTTTACCTCACACGACGCTTACCAGAAGCTCTCGCAAACCTCCAACCGATTATTACCCCCTCAGCTCCAGAGGACCAGCACACAAATGGCGACAACTCAACACCGGTTGCGCCGATCGCCACGGCCGCCGGCACGTGGAGGATCAAGGTGTGGAACCTCTACATCACCCTCCTCAGCGCAATAGTCGATCTCGGCGCAGAGGAGGGAAAGAAGCAATTTGGCCAGAAGGAATGGAAAGCAATTGCCTCGCAAGTCAGAGAAGGTGCAATCTGGGAGACTGTGGTCGAGGTCGGGTACCAAGGCCACGAGGGTTCGGTGGATGCCGAAGTGGTCTACAACCTGTTAGTATTTGACCCCACCCCCGCTGGCCCAAATTGGGTTACTAACAACGCGATGATAGTGCTACCCTACTTCTCACCCACTCCTCTTCGCAATCCCTTAACCAACAGCGCCTCGAGACCTATCTCTCCTCCTACGGACAACCCAACCTCGACCTTACGGATCGTCTCCAGGATGCATCTGATGATTACGAGCAGCGCCCTATGCGCACGACAAGCGGGGCCGATACCCCGAAAGATCTAACCGCCAGAGTAAAGATCATCGAGCTCTTTACTTTGCACGTCCTCCCCCGCAATGACGAGTGGGAATACTCGACCGAATTCATCAATTTGAGCGAAGTCCTCGATGATGAACGCAAAGATCTCTTCCTACAGACCCTCGAAGGCCTGAAGGAAGAGAAGGAGCGGGGTGAAATGCGCGCAGTCGAATTACAGCGAGCCAAAGACGCGGAGCTGGAACGGCAACGAGAGGATGAACGTCGCGAAGCCGAAGAAGCAGCGGCAGCCGCTGCGCGACTACAGTCCAATGGGCATAAGCGCAATACCAGCGAAGTCGACTACGGAATTGAGAAAAACCGCTCAAATGGTTCTCCCAAAGGCAAAGGAGCCAGACAATCGACAGACAAGTCGCCAAATGGCAAGTCACGAACTTCTCTCTCATCTGGCTCCAAAAATGTCAAGAAGCAGGACAAGGTCGAACCCCGGGGTCGCCCGACTCGGGCCGTGGCTACTGGACTGCGCAATGTCTTCCGTCACATTATCCAGACTGTGTCTGGGAATCCCATGTCAATAGTGCGCACCCTACTTTTCGTGATCGGCATTTTGATGGCGATAAGCCGGCAGGGTGTGCGTGATCGCCTCCGACGGGTTACAGGCGGTGCTTGGCAGAAGGTCAAAGCTACGGCTGGAATGGGTGTCAAAGTGAGCTATATTTGAGATATAGGCTACTACGATCTCTACGCACATTGCATGGTTATCATGTATATTTTTTCTTGATCAAGTTGGCCTCCCAAATTTCTTGGAGGTTGTTTTTGCATACATGTATCTTTTGTGATTCCCTTTGTGATTCTCTACGTTCATGTATTCTATGCATACATACCAGATCGCCACCAGGTGTGGTTGAATTCACTCTTATCTGAGTCCGATTTTTCGTTTGTTTTAGCTAGGAATTTCCCCAGATAACCTTGGCAAAGTGCCTTGGCTCATTGACCATTACGTTCATTCCACTGCCGATCAAAGACAGTAAGAGACCGTTGAGCTGTGAAATATTAGCATATAACCTAGCTATTCAATATATCCCCAAATAGGAGAATTGAATACTCACCTGAAGGAACAACATCCAACGCCTTGATAGAGACATTGAGAGGCTGATTGAGCATATAAACAGCAGCTTCAGCAACATCATTCGCAATAAGCGGCCTGCCAACACTACCATCAGCAAATATCTCGATAGAATAAACTGCAAAAGAAAAACTCACGTATATCCATCTAAAAACTCATCATATTGTGCCTGGTCATGCCCAATCCGCTGAGCATGGAAATGTCCCGCAACCACACCAGGCCTCAACGCCAACACCCGGATATTAGTCCCATTCAACTCATTCCGCAACGAATTAGTGAACGCTTCTTGCGCCGCTTTGTTAGAATGGTAGACTGCCTCGCCTGTGAAAGGTGGCACTTCTAGACCCGTGACGGAAGTGATGTTTATGATTGTTCCTGCTTTGCGCGAAAGCATACTGCGGTTCAGCACAGAGTGGGCCACGTACATTGGGCCGTTGACATTTGTTGAGATCATTGTTTGGATGTCTGATATTTTGAGGTTGTGGAAGGCATTTGGTGCGCCGATGGCGAGTCCAGCCTTGGAATTTGTTAGTGGATGTCTATAAGAGGGGGTTCCTAATTGGGGATTTAGGGTTTGCGCGTACGTTATTGATGAGGATGTCGATGCCACCGAGTTCTTTGACCGATGAATCGACAGCTGCATCGACTTCTTCGTAGTTTCCTACATCGGCTGTTCGGTAGATCACTTTGATCTGAGGGTAGTGCTTTCTTAACTCGGCTGTGAGTTTGGCTAGTTTGTCCTGGGTATCATGTATGTCAGTTTTTATCTTCGAGGGTCCTTGGCGGACGTGATATAATACTTACCTCGGAGCGGGAGAGAAGAATCAAATTTGCGCCTGCTTTGGCTAGGGCTCTTGCTGTTGCTTCACCGATGCCCATTGAGGCTCCGGTCTATAGAAGAAGTTTGATATTAGAATTGGTTTGTGATCGTGGGCAGTCCGCTTACAATGAGGGCGGTCTGTCCGCTTAGGGTCATTTTGACAGATGTAGTTATATCAAGGTAAGGCTTTGTAATAGAGAATAACGGAAGAAATAGTATTGATATATGATGGAAGCTGGATAGTTCCTCCCCTCGGATTATAAATCAATCTATGCATCTGCAGGTGGACGTCATCCCGGAGAGGGTATACCGGGCCCACTTACCTTTAGGGCTCCTCTTTAGGCATTTATTGCCCGCACTGATACCACATCACTCTGACCATCATATTTAATGAGCCTAATAGGGCTGTAAATTATGGTTAGCGAGAATAACAGCTGGACATAGGTTGGAAGCTACTCTGGACCTGGCTATGAATTCAGTTGGTTGGTCAAATTGTGCGTCGGTGCTGTCACAAGGTTGAACTTGTAGACCATGGTGGTTTAATCCTCGACCTGCTTTGTAATTGAGCCACTATGTTGAGCACAATCTGCAGTTCAGCCTGTGCTAGTGTCTATATCATCTTTGCCCAAGGTGAATAGATAGCATGACTTTCTAGAGGCTGGGGAATGAAGAATACACACTCTTTGTAGAAACAATGTCATGAAAGTCAAACAAAGAAAAAGTGGATAATGCGCAATCTATTTGTTGCCATGGTTGTTCAGAATTCATGAGCAATTGTATCAACATGCTCAGGTTTGGCTATAAGTACGGCATGCACCACACACATAGACACACCCTTGTAAACTCCCCGTCCTTTTGGATTTCATCAAAGAGAAAAAAAAGTAACTTTCTCTTGACTTCCAGGACTATCGTGATCGACGAATCTTTACAAAATGAAGGGCAAGAAACGCGCCCTGAAGGGTAAAACTGAAGAAGGTGACAAGAACCATGTTCTGAAGGATGCACTTGAAGAGGATGGCAAGGAACACGCCCTGAAGGATGAAGTTGAAGAAGAAGATGATGATGATGACAAGAAAAAGGTTCTCAAGGATGAAACCCAAGGGGAGGTATTGGAACATCATGACCATCCCAAGGGCAAGGCGCTTGAGCAGAAAAGGTCACCCTGCATACGGTGCTTTCAACGCATGAAAAAATATCCCAACCACGTGTGTGTTATTGTATCAGGCGCCCTCAGATGTGAATATTGTCGTTCAGTTAAAACAGTCTGCCAAAAGGTAAGTGACTAGACGGTGAATCTGCCGAATAGGTTGATCTGACGATATCCTCTACAGCTGCCATACGCGACTCGGATCGAGGCTATCAGAGCACTCTCTGCGCACCCTATGAAACGAAGAGCTGCCCTTATAAAGGTAGCTGCACATCGGATACATCGCCATGTCCTTAGACATGACGCTAGATCGAATTATGGAGATTCTGATAACACTGATATACCGCCATGCCTTCCCTCTTACCATACTCCCATGACAAATGATCTGAGAAATTATGACATCCAAGCTATGGAGGCTGTTTGCGATGATGTGCAGGCTGTGTTGAATCGTACTCAATGGGAAGTCGAGATGCTTACTGACCAGATGATGGAGCTAGAGCCTAAGTCAAAGACCAAGCTGGAGATCGAGGAAAAACAGGAAGATTTGTCTGCTTGGTTGTAGGAGCTTCTTTGTGTTATCACGCGTGTACGGAATTTTGATGGTGACTTTCATTTCTTGTCGAGAATCTATGCTAGTCCATGATATTTGAAATTTCATTAAGTTTTGCTGGAAGTGGCTCATACTTTGAGCAAGGTCGTCTTAGAACAGAATGATAGTGTTTTAACAAAATGCGCGTACAACATTGAAAATTGAATTGGATTGTACATATGGCGTTAGGTGGCTGGTTCTACCTCTTGCATATCTGTGTTTTTACCTAGGTATTTATGGAATAAGTCTAACAGGCAGATGCTTTATCACCAAAATAAAGAAGGGGGAAAAAATCCAAGGGTCGGTCTAAAAAGCTTTCATCGCCACAGAGGAATCGAAAACCAAATAATCTATTCTAAAGGGTATCAAACAGTCGTATGTTCATGAACACGTCCAGCGTGATCCCCAGGTGAAACCTCCGTCATACCAACCTCAACATCATCTCCCGTGCTGTTATCCAAATCCTCTTTCTCAATGATTCTAGCATGCCACCACCGAAACAACTGAACGAAGAAATGCGCCACGCAAATTTGCTCCGTAGTATAGAGCAACACCGGCACCGATGTCTTCGCTTTCAGGAAGAGATCAACTGGCTGCCACATTGCGTAGAGCAGTGGGATACCAAGTGCAGTGCTCTTCGCTGGTCCACAAAAGCACACTGCAATGGTTTCCTCTGGAGACATGCGTTTGAATATGGGCTTGGACCAGCGCCGAGAGCTGAAAATTCGTGGTGGTCTTGAGCAGAAGAAGCATACTGCTGTTAAGGTGATGTAGAGTATCATGTTGAACAGGATCACGAAGACTATGCTCTGCGTGGAAAGGGTTTGGAGGGCTCCTGTTGCAAAGCAAGAGGAAAATGTGGCCCTAATATTTAGGAATGCTGGGTTAGAAAAAAGAGGACCAAGGATTTCGTATAAATAGCTCGTGGTACTCACCAAATCAACAATAACAAGCAGAAAGTAGCCATCTTAGGCAGCTTGGTCTTCTGCATGACCGATGCAGTGCGATCAGGCCAAGTCCACCTCACTAGCTGCCCAATAAACAGCGGCAGTAACACACTGAGCCCCAGTTGTTGGAAAACCTCCTTATACATACTCCCCAAATTCCCACCCCCAAACCGCCAGGGATCAAAGACCGCCATCTTGGGTATCAAAGTAATAGTCCAAGCAGCCGTAACAAACGGGCCGAGAATATTAGCCAACAAGACCTCCACCAAAGCAGCCGCATCATCTCCGCCCGCAGACCTCGTCATAACAACATTGGACGCAATCGTCGTCGGAATACAAGCAGTAAAGATATAGCCCGCCAGCACAGCACGATCAATCTTCTCCCCAGGATCTGCAGTGAGGATAATATGCACGATGGCCAGCACCACGGCGGGAATGAACAGAAACGAAATGACCTGCACGATCAAGTGAAGGCGCCAATTTAGGGCATGTGAGATAAGCTTCTGGCGCGGGATGCTCAGGCCGGAGATTAGGAAAATTATCGCGATCACGCCGTACATGATACTGTACTCGGAGCGGATGGTGCCGCCTTGCTTGGCAACGTTCGGGAAGCAGTATGCCAGGGCGCAAACGATGCCGATCCCGATTATGAGCCATTGGTGGAGGATTAGACTTGCGATGCGTTTCAGGGCTCGCTGCCACCGCGGCGGGGTGGTGTCTGGGGCTGTTTCCATTTTCTCTTTCTTTGTTTAAACTAGAAACGAGGACATGGATATTATACCTCTGTGGATAATCTAGCTTCTATAATGCGAGTAGATCTTGTAGGGGTATGTAGGGGATATGTAGGGAATTTGAAAATTGCGTAATCGGCTTTAGTCCGATCCTTCGGAGTGATAGCGCGTACAACATACAGGAATCATCACATCATCTGTTTGAAGCTCTAAGTACATAGGACTATGACAAGTTATATTGCAGAATCCATTCTTGGCGACATGTGATGGATCTTTTGCATCTTTGTATATCAAATCTGCAAGTTCAGAACGGGGGCAACGAATTCGGGTTGCCGATCTTATCACTCGGGATGTGATATGCGATGCACGTGCAGGTACTGGGAGTCGATCTTGAGACATATAGCATGCCAACACTGTTGATCTCATATCCTGTACAACGTATACTCCGTACTTCTTTCGCACTATAGGTAGTTCTCTTGTACAATGCAAGGCTCATTTAGATCAACCAGGAGTTCGGTAAAACGTTCATCCGAATGACGGCTCTATCAACGTCACCACATGCACGGGAGTAACACCTGGGCATATGTGCATTTCTATAAGAATCGACAAACCCCGGACTATTAAGACCAGGTTTAGCCAAGCCTAAGCCCCACGTTCAACCTTCGAATACTTTAATCATCCATCTGACTCAGAACGTCCCATGACCTCTCTGAACATGGACCTCGGCTGAGAGGAGCTCTAGCGTTGGCCCGAGATCACCCGCAAATAGCCAGCGGATTTCGCTACTTTCCTCCGAAGTTCAGGCCCCGGACTGTAGTAATTTAGCTCCCTGGAAATATTCGGTGTTTTCTAGACTGGTATGGTCTTCGGGTATATGGCTGCGTGTAAGAGAATGTACATGTAGTTGGGCAAGGCACGGGCATTATATACGTTTTTTTTTTACATTGTACAATCTAATCTCAAAATAAAGTATAAGTATACAATCACAAGCCTGTCAAAACTATGACGACAGTTTGAAAAAGGCATGTGAAATCAGATCTTGGAGATCTGGGGTGATTCATTCCGCGCTGGATAGAGAGCCGCCCTTGTTACCGAAGGCCTCGGGATTATCTAGCCTTAACACGTTGTACTCGGTACAGATAGGACATAATTATTATATAGAACATCTCCCTCGGCAAGTCATTTAGTCTACTACCTCTTTTCTCTTCTCTTTCTTCTCCGTTCTTCTCATTTGTGCGAGGTCATATATACTTCCGCTCGTCCAGCTTCCTCCGCTTCCCCGTCATAGCCTCCCCACAAAATCTGGCACTGCCGCCACTTCACCTGAACCATATACCCTTGGAACTTCAGCTTTCTTTTTCTTTGAAAGATTAAAGATCTTTGCAATTGATCTTTCGATCTTTTTCCGAGACTCCAGATATACCCTCTTTTTCCAATTGCAGGTCGTTTCTACTTATTCCCCGGGATTGTATACTTCCGCTTCTCCGCAATTTCGGCTTTCCCTTGCGACAATCGGAAGATCTGCGTAACTCGATTTCCGAGACGGCCAATTGAAGAATTTCTGTGAAATCTTGAACAAAAGTGCAAATTCTCTGCACATATACCACATATTGAAACAATGTCCGCCAAAACTGCCAATCAGAAGCGCACATCGCCCGCGGTCAACTTGATCGGTAGAGTAGACTCCCCCTTTTGGGATGAACAGCTGTTGACTTTTGCCTGATTAGCTGGTGGTGGTGCCGGTATGATGGAGGCCCTCGTGTGCCATCCGCTAGACACAATCAAGGTCCGCATGCAGCTTTCAAGGAGAGCCACAGCACCTGGGGTGAGTTTGAAAGAATTCCATTTGATAGTTGAAGCCATTGCTAACCATGTTCGCTGGATCAGGCTAAGCCGCGCGGGTTCGTGGCCACCGGTGCTCAAATCGTGCAAAAGGAGACTGCTCTGGGTCTGTACAAGGGTCTTGGTGCCGTGCTGGGCGGTATCATCCCGAAGATGGCCATCCGATTCACCTCATACGAGTCATATAAGGGCATGCTGGCCGATAAGCAGACAGGCGCCGTGACCAGCAAAGCCACCTTCCTGGGTACGTGAAGCTTTGTGAACAAACCGAAAGATGTACAACGGAGAGCTAACATCCCACAGCTGGTCTCGCCGCCGGTGTTACCGAAGCCGTGGCCATTGTCAACCCTATGGAAGTCATCAAAATTCGTCTGCAGGCCCAGCACCACAGTCTGGCTGACCCCCTGGATACCCCGAAGTACCGCAGTGCCCCGCACGCTTTGTTCACCGTGATCAAGGAAGAAGGCTTCAGCGTTCTGTACCGCGGTGTCTCCCTGACAGCCCTCCGACAAGGAACCAACCAAGCTGCCAACTTCACCGCATACACGGAACTGAAGGCTGGCCTGCAGCGCTGGCAACCAGAATACAGCAACAGCCAGCTGCCCGCTTACCAGACCACCTTGATTGGTCTGATCTCCGGTGCCGTCGGCCCCTTCTCCAACGCTCCCATTGACACCATCAAGACCCGTCTTCAGAAGACCCGTGCTGAGCCCGGTCAGTCTGCTGTCTCCCGTATCATGGTCATCGCCAAGGATATGTTCAAGACGGAGGGCGCTCGCGCTTTCTACAAGGGTATTACTCCCCGTGTGATGCGTGTTGCTCCCGGTCAAGCTGTCACTTTCACTGTGTATGAGTTCCTTAAGGGTAAACTGGAGGGCTCTAACTGGGCTTTCGTTGGTGGCAATTTTGAGGAGTAAATGTGCCAAAATTTCTTGTTCTTCTGGAAAGCATTGTGATACCTGACCTGGCATGGTCTGTTTCGCGCATTGGACTGTCTTAGACAGAGCTGTTCAACTGCAAGCCGGTTAAAACGGCTCTTTTTTTGTAAATATTTTGTGCTTTGCATTAGTTCTTTTCTATACCACTTTGTCTGGTGCACCTTGGGAGCTGAATAGAGAATATTCAAAAGCTTTTGAAGAGTCGTTCGCCAGCGTAGTTAGGTGTTTATTGGTCCATGAATGGCCCGGTGGTTGTAGATAAACCAGTTAGTGATGCTTGTGTAACGATGTAACGACCACACAAGAACATATTCCTGTCGAGTTGAGATGATGATGAATTGTTTCTTTTTTCTGTGATATAGACTTGGATGTAGAAAGGTCAAAATAAAGCCAGCCTTGACGGCTGACATGTCATCGGCCCCTCATTCACCGCTTCCCCCCTCCCCCTCATAAACAACAAACAACCAACCCAGCTGCATCCCAAAGTGTAGCATCATGCAGTCAGGAATTACAGGTATGATATTCGAATACCATGAACTTTGAACCAAAATCCCGTTGAACTTAACACTAACAAACCACTCAGTCTCCTCGGAGCTGCACGATGCATTCGCCCGCTTCAACTCCGACTCCTCAACCTTCTGTCTGCCGGTAACCATCACGGCAGAGACCCTGACACCGCTGGCCCCAATCTCCTTCCAGGGCAGCCCCTCTGAAAACGCCTTCTTTTCAGCCCTCCCCCAGCTGTCCTCCATCCTTCAACCTAAAACCCCCATCTACCTCCTCCTCCGGCGGCCATCGACTGGCTCAACCGCCGCACTTATTGCTTTGACCTACATCCCGTCTAATGCGCCCGTGCGAGCAAAGACACTCTTTGCATCGACTCGCTCAACCCTGTCCCGCGAGCTGGGCACGGAGAAGTTCGCTTCTACCGTATTTGCTACCGAGGAAGACGAGATCCTGGGCCAGGATGCGTGGCGTGAGCGTGATGGCGAGGGTCCCAATGCTATTTCTCGCGAAGATATGATGGGTGAGAAGGAGAGGGAGCTGGAGGCTGTTCGTAAGGCCGAGGCTGAGGCACGGAGTGGCACCCCCGGGAGGGATATTGGTATTGGTGGCACTTTTAGACCTGCCTCTGGCTCTGGGATGAGGGTTTCTATGCCGGTTGAAGATGATGCTAAGGCTGCGCTGAGGGATCTGCAGGATGGTGGGTTGGTACAACTGGTAAGTCATTACCCTGGGCTGTGGTCATTATTTGAGAGGGCTGGTCTAGTTCTAGACTAGATACCACTTGAAGAAATGGGCAGTGTGGATGGGATATGTGAGACTCGAGGCTAATATGAAGCAGACCGTTGATGTCCGCACGGAGAAGATCCTCTTGGCCGATTCCCAATCTGGAGTCGAGGCCAACTCTGTCGCCACACACATTTCCTCCTCTTCCCCTCGCTATTCTTTCTATCATTACCCCGGATCCGATGTCATCATCTTCGTGTACACTTGTCCTACTGGATCTTCGATCAAGGAGCGTATGGTTCATGCCAGCTCGCGGAGAAACGCCATCGCGGCTGCTGAGCAGGAAGGACTCAAGATCGAGAAAAAGGTATGCACGCCCCGTGTTGTGGATGGTCGTAGTTGTTTGGTCGCTTGGATACTTACAAATAGCAGATTGAGGCCTATGGCCCTGATGAGATCACTGGCGATCGTTTGCAAGAGGAAGTCACCCCGCCACGAGACCAGGGTTCTGCGCGAGGATTTGCCAGACCTCGTCGCCCTGGCCGGTAAATCACTATTGTATAGATAGCTATGTTCTTGGTGAGGCCAGAAAGCCTCAGCGGGCATCGATCCGATAGGTGTAGTAAATATAGCAGCACTGTGCTAGACTCTCGCCAAGTTATTTACAGAAACTTGGTAACTGCTTGCTCCGGCGAGACTAATAAAGGTAGAATTAGATCTGGGGCAGAGCATTGATCACATCCTCAGAAACCTTCTTCGAGGCGCCGGATAACTTTGGCCATGGCTAGACTGAAGGACCTGGCCCACTTTTCCAATGCGTGCAATGTAGCACTCTGAATTATTGCTTGATGTAGGGTTTATGAGCACCAGGAAGAATTATTGGACGTCACTAGTACCGGACATATAACTGGTGATTCCCTGGTTGATTTGATGTACTCAACTTGGTGATGTTCTGACTTGTTGAATTAACTTGGGATAAAGCGTTGGATAAGTGGAATGGTCATGTTAGTTATATGAATAGAATGCATATTGCCTCACAGTACCTAATGAGTTCCAAGATAAATCTCACATACACATAACTATCCAAAGCAACAAAGAAAACTCCAGGGTATTTGTCGGTGTCGGCCTAAAGAACTAGAGCCAACTCACCACATAATTTGACACAAAAAAGGTCGACTACAGTCGACTACAAGCTAATAAATCACAGTATCCTCGTTATCCTCAACAACCTCGCCTCCGTCATCATCTCGGTGAGCATCATGCTGATCTTGAACCGCACTTTCCTCCGCGTTAGCAGTGGTTTCATCCGTTTTAGCTAGATCCGGGGTTTGGTCATTAATATCTACACCCACCGTGTCCGGAGCACCCTGAGCCGTTTCCTTAGACTTTGAATCTGTCGGATCTGCCTCGTGCTCTGGAGCTGATGGCTGGTCAGGATGATCATCTGTTTTCTGCTGCTCCTCTGACTTTTGTGGTTGTTCTTCGCCTGCCAGTTGTTTTGTTTCAGCCTGGGTTGGCTGTGTTGGTTTTGCTTCAACCTGGGTTGGCTGTTTGGGTGCAAATGCCTCTGGTGGATATCGGGCTTCGAACTCGGCGACTTCTCGCGCAATAGTCGCCTCTGCTTCTTCGATCTGCTGTTTTATCGCTGCGTCGTCACCAGTCCGGGGTTGCCATGGTTTGTAATACTATCATTGATTAGCTGATGGTCACTATATATGGATGGGAGAGCATTAACTCACCAGAGCCGGCTTGGCCTGTGTCTTGTGGAAATGTGCCAGGGCAAGCATATTCGAATGCCGTGTTTGCATCTGAAAATTAAGAAAAGTCAGTAAAAAACTTTCATCACTATATACCTGAGTGGTATGCAAGCGAATAGAACATGAACATACCGCTTCTCGCTCATACAACGGCGTTTCCCTTCTCCGAATCTCATCACGCTGTTCCTTGCGCCGTTTCTTCAATTCGCCGTACTCAGCATCTTGCGACTTCAACTTCTCTTGCTGCTTCTTTTCAATATCAGCGCGCCGCCTCTGTGCAGCGGAACTTGAGCTTTGCGAAAGAGTACCAAGCAGCCCCCCGAATAACCGCTGGCCCCGCTTGCGATCCTCGTCGCGACCCCCGCGCGGCCGCGTAAGCTTCGTTCCTACAGACTCATCTGTCGTAGGTGGAGGGGATGATGGTCGACGCCGCTGAGATTGCGGGGAGGTATTGTCTGTAGAGCTGAGTCGTCGGCGCTTAGTGTCGTATTCCGCAGTTGAAGACTTCCGTCGCTTGGCTGTCAACTCCGGAGACTGCTGGATAGTGTCCTGGCTAGGCACAGCTACTGCTGAAGCGAGTGTCTCAGGGCTGTCAAAATAACATGCAAGTTAGCTAGAGCGTTCCAATTACAATGCTTGCGCGTGGGTTGCACGGTAAGAAGGAAACCATACCCTTCGGACATCTTAGTCGGCAAACAACGCTGCTTATAAGAAATAAACAAATTATGGAGAGAAACGAGCGACGTAATAAGTTCTGAAATGTGTCAAATATTGGAGTTGAGGTTAAGAGGCGCAAAATAATAAGGCGACACGATGCTTAGAATCACACTGCTTAGTATCACGTGCACAGACCACTTAGCCTTGGTTCACCGTCGGCTTCTCTTCTCTTACCTTCTCTCACGCTTATTCTCTTCTCACCTCCCAGCGAGCGCAAAACCATACCTCATTCCACTTTCTGCAGCTTTAATCTTCTTATTTTCTTGTTACATCACTCAAATCACAATGTCTCGTCACCACCCCGACCTCGTCATGTGCCGCAAGCAACCCGGCATCTCTATCGGCCGTCTGTGCGACAAATGCGACGGAAAATGCCCCGTCTGCGATTCCTACGTGCGCCCAACGACCCTGGTCCGCATCTGCGACGAGTGCTCCTTCGGAAACTACCAGAACAAGTGTGTCGTCTGCGGCGGCGAGGGCATCAGTGATGCGTTCTACTGCTTTGAATGTACGCGCCTTGAGAAGGACCGCGATGGATGTCCCAAGATCATCAATCTGGGAAGTTCGAGGACCGATCTGTTCTATCAAAAGAAAAGTTTCAGGAATCAATGATCTTGGCTTGTGGCTTGTGGCTTGGTGTCCAAGTGGAGGGGAGTCAAGCATGAGTCTGGCGGGTTCACAATTCTCAGCCTATTTCAGCCTAGCGACGACGAAAATGAATCTACGCTTTCCAAATGTGAGCACGTGCAATACATTTTGTCGGCGGGCTATCTAAAACTGCTTCGGCTGGGTTCATTCGGTGCCGTCTGCCTGCACTGAGTCGGCGAGTGGGAGGAGATCAGCCAACACGTGGGCCTGGATATAAACCAACGAAATTCCCCTGTTAACTGGCCCGCTTTGGTAGCATTGTGAAACGCTACCTCCAAAAAAAATTCGCAGACATGGCGGCAGCGTGCCCTTGAATATCAGACCCCGAGGATCTGCGAATACTGTGCAGATGAGTTGACGAACTCAGGACCAGCGGAGGATCTAGGTGGAGCAGCTTGACTGGCAAGGACCTCTGCAGGGTTCGTGATTGACGCATCTAGGGTCTCGCTCGTGTTTTGTCGATTGCCCAGACGAGTATGGCATGACCCAAGCCCCAAATATGGGGCTTTGAGGCCTCATGCGCAGATCCTCCTTTGGAAAATTTATTATTTTTTAGTCTTATTCCCCAAGGAGCGTGTGGTTTCAATTTTAATTCTCATTCTGAACAAAACCATACTTGTTTCCGTGCATACAATTAGCCAGCAGCCGCGATGGCTTCCATTTATAAAGTAAATTACTGTGTTCATTTCTTTGGTAATATCATGGCAAATCCATATACTCCGTAGTTTCTCGCAAATCTCTTAGGGGCCTTTGTTTAACACGCCCTATATACGTTTACTAATTAATATCCTGGCCCGGAAAGGGATTTCCATCCACTTTCCCTCTTGCCCACTATCCAATATCATATTGCCTTCTTCAACCAATATTCAAAAATTATATCTTTCGATACTTTTTTTGATGACGTTCCCAGGACCTATCCACACAGTAGGAAAAAATGCCGAGGGAAGCAAGCAGATATTCACGTTCATAACACGTTCATTGTATACAGGACTAGTAAACCACAGGAGAGAAGGTGTACATTCCCAATTTCTTCAGTAAAATCCTTGGATTACCCACTGCAATCATCCCAGGTATGGCTTCTTGTTATTGGCTTTGACAATCTTTGTTGATTCTATTAAATAGTGGGCCACATTCCATTCACTTCCAGAGTCACGAAGCGCATTGAATATTTACCAGTTGTTGCGGGGCTGATTGGGGTCCTTCCCCTTATATGTGTCATGCTAATAGTTGGAAAGGTATGGACGAAGTCATTATCCGAGTCTCCAGAGATGCGCTCGAAAAGGTAGGCTTCCCGACGAACGTCCCTCCAGGACGCTTAGCTTTCGATCTAGGTGATACACCGCTAGTTACCTCTAGAGAGGATTTATGAAATCAAGATTTCGCACTAAACATTCTGTCGCCGCATCAAGCTGCGGATTGTAGTTGTCCCCGCAGCCTGGAATAGATATATAGCACTTTTCCCGAAAGGAAGAGACTTAACTCCTGAACCTAAATTGTTTACTTAATCGTGGATCTGACAACTTCTTTGGAAGTTTATCACTTCAAAAGATCCAATTTAACCGTAGTCATGTCCCTTCATACCTGCGAGGCAGCACACTCCTAACTCATTCCGATCTCGAGTAAAAGGAGGCCTCACCATGTCTAGCCGAGAACAAGAACTCTCTACAAGACCCCGTCTTTCTATACACAGATCATCTTAACCCTTCTGCCATGGGCTGGCGACAATTTTTCAGCTTCTTACATGCCAAACAGTCTCATGACGACCCGGAAATCAAAGATCGCGAGATGCAAATCCTAGATTAAGCGTCTTGTTATTTCGAAGATGTGTTAAGCATGTTGAGGGAACGTCAAACACCAAGTGGCCCAACGTGCGCAAACCAAGCTGATCGTGCATATGTTGATCAAATTGTTGCTCGAGTTTACAAGAACTATCAGCTGCTGCACACTGAAGCAAGAAAACTGGACATACATTGTGCTGGCTCTAGCTCTATCACGATGAATAGCATTAGCATTCATGACGCCAAAGAGAGCATCAACCAGGCTGAAAGAGTGAGAGTTCTCACGTTTCTAGCATATCTTTTTCTCCCATTTAGCTTCATTGCTGCTGTGTTTGGTATGAATGTGTTGGAATTTACCACGCCCAATCCCCCAATCTGGTTATTTTTTTGCTATTTGATGCCCTATCACCATGATTTGTGCTTTGATTCCTATTTGGTTTGACACGCTGGAATATGTATCTTGTCGTTGGAAAGGAATCATGTTGATATTTCAGGACCTCAATTTGCGAAAATAATTTGAGCAGCCTTTTTTTCAATTAATCAAACAACATCGATGGACATCATCCGCTTTGTTATCACAGTACTCCGTACGGAGTATACTTTGTAGTATACGTTCTGTGGAGCCCCACCCCGAGTGCTCCGTATTCTCCGATGCCAATTCTCCGATGCCCATTTTGGGTCTGCAATCCGCGTTCTCCTCGTACATCTCACTCTCCGCACCCTCCGTATGCTCCAACGCGAACAGCTCTCAATCTGGGATTCTCCATAGGTGTTGCAACAGCAGACGATTTCAAACTAGTCCATTTCTGTAGGATATGTTGTTCCGACTGGCGGCCTGCGAATCTTGCAGAAAAGCAAAGTTAGCTTGTGATCATAAGCAACCAGCTTGCACCCGTTGTGAAAGCAGAGCAGGCATCTGCATATATCGGAGTTCGCCTTTCAAAAGGAAAGCGGAGTGCTCTCCTTCGGGCAACCAATCTTCACCGTATGTGTTGCAACCTATCCTATGGTTTTCTTTATGCCCCGTTCTCCTTTTATAAAATCGGGCTCCTATTTCAATCGTTAACATTCTTCCGATAGTCGGCGGTCTGCTGTACAATCGTCTGTACGAGTAGCCCCTTACAAACCTCCGTATCCAAATCCTGGATACCTAGGATCATCAAGTCACGTTACAATTTTCAATCATATCTCTCCAGAAGACTACCATGGACCTGACACAACTCATACATCGCATACACGTGATTGCCCTACAGATACCATGATATTGATGCATTCTCAGCACTTTGGAGATGACAACCCGTTGATACAAGGAGCTGAGCTTCTCAAGTTGGTTCTGACGACTTTTTCTTTAAGCACAATGAAAGATTTTGTTATGTTTTGGCTGTCGACCGGTGCGAATCTAGCTTTAGCTGAGCCTTTCACCGAGCAGTGCGCCAAAGATATCGATATCCTCTTTGCTTCGTTCTACGACGAGGAAAACGGTTATACGGTATATGCTCAGCGGCTTCTACAGAACTCACGCCTTCGTTTAAACATCGATGAATTGTCCAACATATCAAACTTTTCTGCGCAATTTCTAGGTCAAAATTTTCGATGGGAGACTCTAGGCTTTTTCTTCTGCGCTGTCTGTCGCGCTACTATTGACTTGCCCTTTTTCCCATTATTATATGCCAACGATAGCAATCGAATCGCTCTAAGGAGGTTATCCACAAAGCTCATTGACATTGCTTTGAGCAACGTTCTTTTATTGGATGGCTTAAATGATCTCCAACTTATCTTACAATTCGAGAGTTTTATTGTACATTCACATGTTGATGGAGTTCACAGTGAGTTTTCTTCCTCATTTCCATACCTGCAAGCACCTAAAATAATTAGGTCACCACTCATGGAGCAGACTTGGAGATGTCATATCTTCAATGTTTGCTCTGGGATACCACGATAATATCGAAAAAACCAAACCACGCATACCCCATTTTCTTACAGAAATACGAAAAGCAGCTTACGCCACTGTCTATTCCGCCGACAAGAATGTTGCTATATTTTTGGGTCGGCCACCGCGCATGAGCAAACGGTTCACTCATTTTCAATTGCCTTTGAATCAAACAAGCCCCGGACCAAATCCGATTCCATACCTTAACGGCGACGTTATTCAGTGGAATCAAGATACCCCATGCAGCTATAGAGCAGAGCTACGTTGGTCTGCTCTTTGCGCGTCATTGAAAGAGGATATTCTGGAGTTACTTCGAACAAGAAACTCTGAAACATATATCGAGAGAGCCAGGTATGTAGAAAAGGTCTTTTCTCGAATAAAGCTCATCGCTGACCAGTGAGATAAAACAGTGTTATCCAAAGGAATGCCGAAGCTCAGTGGAATGCTCTTCCGCCCCATTTCAAACTCCAGTGTAACTTGAAAGCATGCGCTGGAACCCCATTCGAGCGAGATTTCCTCGCCGGTACTCGACTCAATCATCTGCACGTGTTATTTTTGTTGCGCTTACTCTTCCTTGATACCGTGGCCGAGCCTGATGTTGCTATCATTGACATATCAGAGCAAATGCTCAGCCTCGTAGTGGATACCATGCTTCTGCGAGACCAGCTCGTCAATTCTGGAACTGGACTTGTCTGGAAGGTAAACAACTTGCTATTGGCGTTCATGTCCAACATATTCAGCTATTTAAAATACCAAATAATAGAACTAATGGATATTAGCTAATTGATCTTAGGTCGCACATTATGGTCTTCCAGCCGCTGGAATGATATTACTGTCAATGCTCAAACAGCAATCCTCCCAAACAACAGGAAAGCATTTTATGCCAAAAGCCCTTCTAGATTTGGGTATTTTTGCAGCACAGGTTCAGGCTGGAAGCATCGTGAGGCCAGGTGACCCCACCTATGCATTGATATACAAGGCTACGCAAACCATTGAAAAGTTCCTTGACTCGATGCACCGTGAAGCGGCACAGCCTCCAACCGAAGTAACATCTCAGATGGAGGGAAACGATGATTGGGCTGCATTATTTGATCAAGATGTATTTGACTTTGAGACTGCCTTTTGGCAAAACTTGGCGGGCCATCCATTATTCATGGTACCGGAAGATCCCATGTCAGATTGAGGCTACACAAAATGTGAGGTTATAAAAGACAAGAATCTTCAGCCGCTTGTCCGGCCTTGTGACGCCTTTGTGGGTTGCCTTTTTAGATGTCTTTTTTTCATAGATATTTCCACCCTTATTGTGTTTCCTAATATAGACATCCCCAAGTCTGTTGCAAGAATTATTCTATTCTGCCTTTTGAAAGAATCCTCCTGATTAGGTTACATTACATCTTAAAACAATACAGTTTTGATATTAAACTTACTCCGTGGGGGAGTACCCCACAGCATTAACTATGGGGTACATGTACGTAAAGATCACCGTGCATATGTGCCTTGATGCCTAGAGGGTTACATCACATCAGTATATCACATCAGTACATCACAGCAGTACCCACCTCATCCAACCTCATCCAACCTCCCCCACAGCCCTACAGCCGTGCTAGTCCACGGCCCGGCGCGAGGGGCGCGTGCCAGTCTTTTGGGCCAATGATAACATCTTCCCCCCTCCATTCTGCATTCCTAAAGCGTATGTCTCGTAGATCTGGAAATCATTACTCATTTCAGCACTGAAGATGCAAGGCCCCCCACCATTCTTGTTCACAAACACGAGTCAAACGTTCAGCATGTCAAGTATTGGGAGGCTGATCTGCAACCCCGAACCTTCTGCACGTGTTATCACTGTACGAGGTGGTACAATCATCAATGAGGCAAATGCCTCACGAATAGGATTATACCAACCAACAAGCTGAACATCCTTGACTACGTAAACTAGAGTTCCTATTGAGTAACTCGATAATCATTCGGCTACAGCCCCCAATGATGACTGCATTGGAAATTGTGATCATGTCTGTTCCCTCTTCTACAGGTATCAGGATAATTTCTATATAACACAGCTCCTCGAAGCCCCAATTTACAAGATACCAATCTCATCAAGACCAATTCGACCTGACATCATCTGATCCATCTTTCCAGTCGTCTCTCGACCAAGTCTCCAAATTATTCACCATGCAGATCACCAAGATTGCTCTTTTCCTGTTCGCTGCCATGGGCGCAGTTGCTAGCCCCATCGAAGCTGAAGCCGAGTCTGGCATCAATGCTAGAGCCGAGAATGGTGCCAACGTTCTGTACACCGGAGTGAGTTTTATGGAATAAATCCCCACAGGGAAATGAAGCTAAATACTCGGAACAACTCTCCAGCAATGCTTCAAAAAGGACAACATTTGCAAGTACAAAGTCAATGGAAAGCAAAATATCGCCAAGTGCCCTAGCGCCGCCAACAAGAGGGTATTTTCTTCTTTATACTAGTAAACTGACCTCAGCTAATCATGATATTTCTCTTTCCAGTGCGAGAAGGATAAGAACAAGTGCACATTTGATTCTTACGACAGAAAGGTCACCTGTGACTTCCGCAAGTAAACTTATTTCAAGTGGCTGTTTTTAGCTATTCTTCTTGCCGGGAATTGTGAGATGCCGCATGATTCTCTTTCTGAAACTCGCGCCAAGAAGGGCTGGGAATAACCATTGTGGGGTTTATTTTGGATTGATACATGGGATACATATGTGATGTGCATCCTCAGTATCTCACTTTTCTGTGATTTTTTGCTATGACCACACTCATTTAGTGTGTAGCTCGATATTTTTGCTCATTGGGTAAATGGTTCTTTCAACAATTACCAGAACCCAGAATATATCTATCTCATCTGAATTATGAAAGTAGTACAATTGTAGCTTATTAGTACATCTTGGGAATTACAGCAGACATGCGAAGGGCTGCATTGGAAGAGAAGAGTAATATGGAGCTTGGGAACTAAAGTAAGGGTAAAGCTAAGAAAAAAGGAGAGAGATTTAATTGACATCTTCCTTTGCATCTTCCTCGGGGCCTTCCTTCGCTATTTTGCTTATTCTGCGCTTTCCTTTGACTCTTCATTCTCCGTGGCTTCGCTCTTCAAAAGATCCTTCAGGCAAAGCAGATGCTTGTCCTGATGCAAGGCATCTCCACCGTTCTGGTATGCCCTCAAAACTTCAGAGTTTCGCTCCTCGACTATGCCGACCATGTAGTCAATGGCATCGGTGGCGTACTCTGCTAAGATTTCCTCTTTGGCCTCTTTGGCCTCCTCCTGGATTTCATGGAGGCGCTTGATCCAGTACAAGTATCTCCATGGCGAGAATCCAGTGGGCGATCGCTTTCCAAACTCCGACTCGATAAACTTCGCGCCACCCTGACTGAAGGTACTAGGACAATCGCTCCAATAGACCTCAGAGAGCAGAATCAGATTGTGACCAGCGTGACGGAACCAAGCCACGGCAGCTGGCAGCAAGTGATAAATTTCAAGCTGATTCATACGTCGCATTGGATCTTCATCATCTGACCCCTCCCCGCTGCGAAGTCCCTGTCTCTCCTCAAACAAATTGCGGAAGAGAACCAGGGCAATCTGGCATAGCCTATCATTTCCGACGCGAGTTGATGCTAGTTTAGCAAGGAACGTCGCCAAATTGAGTCGGTGAGTTCCCGACATCGTCGGGAAGTCGCTGTTCCAAAAGTTGGTCATGTCGGTGGCCAAGAAGGGTAGATCGTTCCATAGTGTGCTACCTTCGGCAGTTCGTGCGATACTAACGCCGTGATTTCCCCGCACAGGCCGAGTCAGCGGTCCTATTCCTTGGATGCGGATGATGTCGAGCACAAGACCTTCGTGATCGGGTGTCTCGTACGAGATATTCCGACCGAGCTGGTAGTACATATACCACATAGAATGAATTTCATCTTCGAAGGAATCCACACCATCTCCAACGTCGCAGTATCGGGAGTTGATGAAGGAGGTTCGGTTACTGAAGGCCGCGTCTCGAAGCTCCTTGAGTTCTCCTCGAGCTATGGACTGACGCGTGCTCTCCTGGTCTGTCTGACGAACCTCTGATGTGGTGGAATGAGACGTGCCTCGTGGCGAAGGACTGAGCAGCGAATCACGGAGATCATACATTATGTGGTGTCGATGGTGTTGATTGATAGATTGGTTTTTAATAATGAGGAAGATGAATGAAGATGGAAGAGAAGTGGTTGGTAGAACCCCACGGGGTCTTATATTGCGGGGAAAGTTAAACCGGGGGAGAACGAGGGATTTCTCTCAGGGGAAACTCTAGGCAGCAGGGCTGACAGTCTGTATCTGAATCCTTCATGCATGCGCTGTTCGAGGGGTTTCTTTGTCTCTTGTCAATCAAATAGCAGGGTCCTGCCTCTGAAATTTCAGAATTGGATGTATCCAATGCACTCAGGCTTGATGGAATGTTAGGCTCCAGCTAACTATGGTTCTTATGGTCTGTGATTGAAGTGTGTAACCCCATATTCTTGAAAGCCTTTTCCGGGGAATGTGATATATCACTCCAAGGCCAGACCCCTGAGACCCCCGTGTCCCAAACGGCGATAATGGAATATTATTGAAAGGCTCAGATTATTGTTCCTCAATATTGTGGCCCTTTAATTTTAGCAGAGACCATATTGAAATGCCCTATGATTGAAAATGAGGAGGCTGTTTCTGGCGCTAGGAACTGTCCTTTTCGGCGTCATTTTTACAGGTCCTTATATTTAAGTAGGTATTAGACCATGGTAGCAAAAATATAATCTTTTAATGTAATCCTTTAGATAGTTACCGATATTCCTAAACGCTAGGTACGAAGAACCCTTGTACGAGCCCAATGCCCGGTTTTTTACTCTTGGCTTTTTGCCACTTGCTTAAACCTGTACTCTACTCCGCAAAAAGAGTTGAAATTTCTAACTCGGTTGTTCAATTGTAAATATCACACGACCCTATCTATATCTGTTTAACATGAACCCAATGAGAATTCTTTCCTCAGTGCATTTGCGAAAATTCTGACACCTGCATCAAGATCTTTCTCTGATGCTGCAGCAAACGTGATTCGGAAATGAAGCCCATCATCGTGCTTGTTGACCGAGAAAAAAGAGCCTTTTGTAACTTGTACCCCATCCTTGAATGCTGCTTTGACAACTCTATCTTCCACGTCCAAAATTTGGAGCCTGATATTTGTCTGCTCGTTTTGTTGAACCAAAGGGTGCTTGTGCCAATCGACCTTGATCCAAAAGAACATACCGTAGTCTGGCGACACCCAGCTACATATCTCCTTTGGTAAATATTGGTTGCATGCTTTCAGCAAGATGTTTAAACGTTCGCAATATCTCTGGGATAGACTTCCAAGCCATTTGAAAAAGCCTTCATGCCCCCAACTCTGCTCAACAAGTTTCCAAAGCATCAACTGAGACGGCCCGCTAACTGCAATGGTGCTGACTTCTTGATAGGCAATAAATTTGTTGATGATTTGAGCACTGGCGGTGACCCATCCCGCCCGGAGTCCAGGCGCAAGGATTTTAGAGGTCGAATCAAGTCGTACGACCCGGCCCGTCCGATCGATGGAAAGGTAGGAGGGAATCAAGCTTGCGAGAAACTTGGATGAAGAGTTTCCTTCCCCGGCCTTATTCCCGTTTTCAGCGGGCTCGTTGGTTCGAGATGGCCTATAATCCCCTCCCAATCGCAGAAAATAGTAGGGGTCATCCTCGATAATGATCAAGTTGTGCCTCTCAGCTATGTCGTATATAGCCAGCTTTCTCTCCAAGGATTGTGTTGCTCCTGTGGGGTTCTGTCCGGAAGGAACAGTATAAAAGGCTTTCGGTTTTGGGCTCTGGGATGACAGATCATCCCAAGTGCTTAGTACACGCTCCAGCTCCTCGGGTATTGGGCCCTGGGCATCCATTGGAATACCCCGGGATTTGATACCTATCAATGCAGCCGCTTCCAAGGCTCCTGGGTAGGTGTATTCCTCTGTCAGGAGGGTGTCGCCACGGTCACAAAATATCCGGAAAGCGACTTCAAATGCCGCCGTGGAGCCACACGAAAGGAATAACCTCCAGTCCGAGTAAGGGGGATCATGCACGATCTCTGTATGTTCTGTGAAAAAGCGCACAAGTGGCGGTGACCCAGCAGAATAGCCGTAGTTCAGGGCAGTGGACAGATTGTAGATGTCATCTAGCTTGTTGACTGTCTGCGAGTTTGTCCCAACATTATTACCGAATTCAGGTGAAATACCATTGAAAGTAATGGAATTCCATGGGTAATAATCAGCTGTTGGTCTGCCGGTCCCGAGTGCAATCAAATCATGATTCCCTGTTGTACTTGCCGACTGCCTCAACGCTGAACCACCGAAGTGTCGGCTTTCCTCGCTGAAGACCCCCTTCAATTCTCTTGACGTGGGTTTTGCATGCGCTTCGGGGGATTTGAATGAATCTGAAGATACACGTGCAGAAATAGTGGTTGGTAGAGGCGTGGAAGCCGCACGGAGGGATTCAATATCTGAGATGGATAGAGGCATATTGTACAGCCTTCAGGAAAAAAATAAGTTCAATTATTTACCTCAGTGGAAAATGGGGGAAACCAACTAAATGATATTTATGGCATTGGTTTGAAAAGAGAGACAAGATAGGGCTCACTCGGAGAGGACGGCGAAAAGATAATAACATCTTAAGTGCCGAAACGGAGATAGCCACAAGGGCTCTGTGATTGGCTCGGACAAGCCTAAGACCATTTACTTTCCCTAGTGATCATCTAAATAGCAGAGTAGTAAATAGACAATGTAGGGGCCATGTCGTATATTCGGATCGGACTAATCGGATCGGCGTAAGGATTAGTCGGGGTGGAGTTATTAGGCCAGAGTAGGGAGAACTTAGGTCATAGTAGTTAGACCTACGGAGTAGATAGGCATTAGTCACAATGCGATATAATCCATTCAGAGGACTATAGAACAAAATTTGTTCCCTTTCGATATAAATATGATCCTATTACTTAACTTTGACTGGCTTACTGTGTTCTGGCAAGTTCAATACACCTACCTACCTCTATGATCCGCTGAACGATTGACTACCTCTTGACCCCGACCTGAGCCTCTTTTTGTCTTCGCTTCCCAGGGAAACAGAATAGGATTTTTGGCTAGCCATTGTACGGAGACTTTTTGTTTGACCTTATTGTCCTCTTTTGTGGATTTTGCCGTTGCTACTCACGCCACCATGACTCGAAACACATCCTCAGAAGACTCAATCAAAACTGCGGACTACCTTTTCACCAGACTCTGCCAGCTGGGCATTCGTTCTGTGTTTGGTGTTCCGGGTGATTACAATCTGCGCCTATTGGACTTTGTGGAGCCAGCTGGACTACATTGGGTTGGAAATTGCAATGAGTTAAATGCAGCGTATGCCGCCGACGGCTACGCGCGAATCAATGGACTCGGCGCTCTAATCACTACCTTTGGTGTTGGCGAACTCTCGGCTCTTAACGGTATTGCTGGAGCATATGCCGAAAAGACCGCCGTCATTCATATTGTGGGCTCACCTGCCCGAAATATCCAGCAATCACGGTCCTTGATGCATCACACTTTAGCCGATGGGGACTACCGTCATTTTGCTGCCATCTCGTCCCATGTGACAACTTCGCAGGTAAACTTGATGGATTCTCGCATGGCTCCTGAAAAGATTGACTGGGCACTGAAACAAGCCATCATTTATGGTCGACCCGTGTACATCGAAGTTCCCGACGATATGCCCGACGTTTTTGTCTCAGCATCGGGTCTCAAAAATCCCATTGCAATCCCCTCTGCTCCGCGGGCCAATCATGAGTCACAGCTTGAAACCCGAATTCTCAGTCGGATGTATGAAGCTCAACGCCCACTCATCCTTGTTGATGGAGAGAGCAGACATCTCAAAATCCTCGAGCTGATCGATCAATTGGTCAAATCGAGCGGTTGGCCAACCTGGACAACAATCTTCGGAAAGAGCTTGGTTAATGAACAATTACCGAATGTTTACGGTATTTATTCCGGTAGTCTAGGCGTTCCAGAGTGGAAGGATTACGTTGACTCGGCGGATCTGATCCTCAACTTCGGACCTCACCACACCGACACAAACTCGCAGTCATTCAGCACAATTGCAAGAAAGGAGGTCACTATCACTTTTTCCGAGAGCACTGTTCAAGTTGACAACGATGTCTACCGCGATGTCTCGAGCTCTTTCCTTTCCCGATTACTGAAAGACATCGATTATGCTCGCCTCTCTAGGCCCACCGAACCTGCAAAGTTAGATGTTTCCGTACAACCTGAAATGAGTGATTTGATTGTGCAAAAAAGCTTCTGGCATTATATCAATCTGTTCATCCACGAAGGTGATCTCATCCTAACCGAAACTGGTACCGCGGCACATGGAGGGCGCAATTTCAAATTGCCTCCCAACACGCGCTTGCTTACCGCGGTGACCTGGTTATCCATCGGATATATGCTCCCTGCAGCACTAGGTGCCGCTCTTGCCCAGCGGGAGCTGAGAGAAGGGAATGATTCTCGTGCGATCCTATTCATAGGTGATGGAAGCCTGCAAATGACAGCACAAGAGATCAGCACCATCATCAAGGAGAAGTTAGATATTATTATCTTCATCATTAACAACGCTGGTTATACTATCGAGCGCGCTATACACGGGAGAAACCAGGCATATAACGATATTATGCCCTGGAACCATAGTCACATTCTCAGCATGTTTGGGGCAGATACAAGTCATGCAGCGAAGAATATGTTCTCTGCACGAACCTATGCTGAGCTTGAAACTGCTTTGACTTCTGAGGAAATTCAGCGAGGACATGGTTTGAGAGTCGTTGAAGTTTTCATGGAACGAGAGGATGTTCAAGGTGCGTTGTTGAAGTTGTTGAACAAGCAGATTGCCAGCGAACAAAATTAGAGCAAGCTGTGTAAATAGACTTATCATCAAATACGCTTTGCACATCTTAAGCTATGCCTATGTATATTTTATTCTAGTTGAAACGCTAATAATGGGATTATCTAAAACCATATCTCAGAAGACTGCATACATTGCGTTGAATAATATACTGGTTACAGAAGTAATATACCAACCAGCATGTAAAACTTTGGGATGAATCTTTTACAAAGGAGTGATACTTTGCAGTATGGAAATTAAATTATAAAACTGTCCAATCTCTTCATACCTGGAAATGAAGCCATATTTATAGCTTCACTTCCATCCCTGTAGATTCTCACCAACTAATATAGTTTATATGGCGGAATGTGTGATAGAGGCGTCAAACTGCATCGACGCCGCTGATCTCGATTCTGTAGGAATTCTGCATTCTTGGCGTATAGGGCTTGTATGCATGAAGCGACGTATGCATAAAATCAATTAGGGTTGAACGTTGAAAGGATCCAGGTGGATATTAATTATGAAGAATTAACTGCTAGCGTGCCGAGGCACAACTGGGAGGGGCTCGGTATACCGTCTCTCCGACATCCTCTCCTAGGCTAGTTTCATGCATGATTATATATCATTTATTATTCTGAAATCTATTTAATGCCGACTTGTATCAGTCCTGAGTTACATACATATTCAGAGACTTTGCGAGGTAGCCCGTGAGTCACACAGAATCTGGTACTTTGAAGCTTGGACTCTAAAAAAGGTGTCCACAAATCTTCAAGTTCTCCACGCAACATAAATCCCCCTTTCCTTGCAGACCGAGCTTGAAAACATAACCATAACTGCCTGAATCAACTCGTCATGCCCGTCGACAAGATCCAAGCATCGGGCGACTCCCGCATCGAGTACAAGACCGCTACACTCAACGGCCACAACTACTGTGAGCATACCACACTTCAAAGCAGAGTTTATACTTTGCAGTCATTTATATGGAATAGATCCAAACTGACGATTTGCAGCTTACATTCTCAGCCAGCCTAAATCAGGACAATACAAGGCCACCGTCTTCCTGGTAAGCGGCTAGCTCAATAGAAAAAGCCACACACATTGACATATATTCTCCATAGATCCATGGCTTCCCCGATATCTCCATGGGATGGCGGTATCAGATTCCCATGCTCGTAGACCTGGGCCTGCGGGTGGTAGCCCCTGACTGTCTCGGATATGGACGAACAGTGAGTATCTCCACCTCCACCCTATTATGGGAATTATCATTTAACAACAATCCAACAAGGACGCCCCGGACGATTTCACCCCATATGCCCACAAAAGTTGCGCAGCGGACATCAAGGCCCTAGCAACCCATCTAGGCGAAACCCAAATCATCCTAGGTGGACATGACTGGCAAGCACACCCCGAAAAAACCTACTTTCCCAGAAGAGCACAGCTAATATAAAAAACAGGGGCGCAGCACTCGCCTACCGCATTGCCCTCTGGCATCCGGAGCTAGTAAGCCACCTATTCACGGTCTGCGTGCCTTTCCCGCAACCCATGGCCAAGTATATTTCCACTGAAGACCTTGTCCGTACCTTGACACCGCACTTCGGATACCAGCTCCAGTTGAAGAGCGGGGAAGTGGAGAAGGCTATTCAGTCTAAGGATGAGATTCGTCAGTTTTTGCTTGCGCCTTATGGGGGTCGCACGGAGGCGGGCGAGTCTGGGTTTGATGTCACTAAGGGTATCTTGCTTGATAAAATTGGCCAGTTGAAGCCTTCGCCGTTGTTGAGCGAGGAGGTAAGTTAGGTTTATTTGATTTTGGTATTGAGGTTTTTATGCTGACTTTCTCCAGGAGTTGGAGTTCTATACGAATGAGTTTGCTCGCAGTGGCGTTCATGGGCCACGTATGGTTCCTTCCGAATTCGTTGGTTAGGATTTTGCTGATTATTTTCATAGTTAACTGGTACCGTACTCGTGAGGTTAACTATCAAGATGAGCTTGCTATTCTCGACCGCCAGATCCAGGTTCCTACGCTGTTTATCCAGGCGCTGAGGGATGAGGCTCTGCCGCCTCATTTGGGCAAGGCTATGCCGCAGCAGTTCCCGCAACTGACCCTGAAGCAGGTCGATACCTCGCACTGGGCTCTGTGGGAGAAGCCTGAGGAGGTCAATGAGATTATTGGAACTTGGTTGAAGGACCATTCTGTTGCTGATGGAAGGTCTGACAAGCTCTGACTGTAGCCACAGTAGGTATCGTGGCATATTGAAAAAGAATGATTGATTGATTGATTATTGCCAAAGTACGTATCTCATATCGTCAAAGTATTAAGAATATGCGCTGCATCACAAGTCGCAAGCAGTTGCTTGAGCCAGCATAATTGCACATGGCTGGGACTCGCCCGCAACCCATGAAGCTATTTAGTACTGGAACACCTTAGTCTCAATTTTGCAGCCGACCTTCTCCAAGCGGTCCACGTAGTCCTGGCCCAGCGTAGCGGGAGTAACAATGCCACCACGCGAGACCTTCTTGATCTTCTCCTCCTCGTTAAGAACAACCATCGCAGCCTCAGCCAGCAACAGTCCAGTGAATGGGTACATACCGCCGTGGTAAGTAATCTTACCGAAAACGCGCTGTGGTGAAGCACTGTCCGCAGTAGCGATGGCATGGTACTCGAGCCGGTCATTTGCCGAGTCCTCTCTGCGCGGGCCAGTGCCAGGAGCAAAGACGAACTTTTGCACCAGCCAGCGCACCGGCGGCAGCGCAAGCAGCGAGACTACAACCAAGAAGCCGACGTGGACAGCGACACCAATTAAGGCATTACGGACTGACAGGAACTGACGGAAGAAGAAATTCTGCCCGTACAGCTCTGGCATCAGGCTGCTGCTGCGGTGCACGATGCTCATGTCGCAGACACCGGACGGGGAGGTCGTCACAGTACCCAGGTCGGGAATTGAGCGGACGCCGAAGAGCTTTTCTAGGATTGATTCGCCGGGGATGTTCTTTGGTGGCGGGGATGCTGCCAAGGAGAAAGGGGTCATTGTCTTGGACAGCTCAGACATTGAGAACCCGTCGAAGATGGTTAGAATAGTACTCAAGGTGCCGCCGCTAGGACCGGAGGATCTGTTGTGAATGGATTAGAGATGCGCTTCTCTGTGGAGATAAAATTACATACTTCATTTCCTTGATGGTGCTGTTGATTTGGCGGGTTGAAGATGAGAGGTCCTCTCGGACTCGCTTAACCAGAGACCATGCCAGCAGATCAGCAGGGGCACTTTCAACACCAGTACAAGGGATTATCTGTCTGCAATTAGCATGAATATATCTGAAAGAAACTGATTGCAGAACGAACGATAGCGCCATTAGCCTTGGCAGTCTCGTGGTACTTGTCGATGATCACCTTGATCCAGGGTGTTTCTCCAGTACTGTAAGGATCAGCAAGTGTTCAAATGACTTAGACAAATACAAAGCGAAGACTTACACATCCACGTAGTGAGTTCCATTGACAGCACATGCCTCGACAACTGGGGTCGAGTACAAATGGTATGGACCCACACAATTGATAACCAGCCGTGTTTTCTGGGCAAGTTCATTGAGCTCGGTGGAGTTCAGTTGAACGACCAGGACATCTAGGATCACACCAGAATGAGCATTGAGATACCAGGAGCCGTATAAAAACTGTATCGCAAGGTTATGTACCTGGGTCCAGACGATCTGAGTTAAGAGCCTTCAGTTCCTGAGCAATAGGCTCCATTTTCTGCGCGGATCGACCGGCGATAGCCCATTTCAGATCGGTAGGAAGGTTCTGCACAATGTGCTCTGCGCAGAATCGGCCAGTATAGCCAGTTGGACCCAGCAAAACCAGGTCATACTGTCGGTTGGAAGTCATGGCGATTGGGTTGATGGGTTTGGAGTCTATGATGTAGTTTTGTAGAACAAGGGAGCTTTCGGCAAATCACAATCACCTCGGCACGCTTCAAGATGCCGTGTGGGTTGGAAAGGGGAGCAAGCGGGATAGCCACGAAAGAGTTCTTGAAGCTTTACGTAGGACTAGACGCAAATGTTACACAATTGAGATTTTACCTCGACCTGGGAACTGCAAATGTTTATATTTCATGGCCGATAAAAATCACGTGACCGGATAGATTGATTAGCCCGAGAAAAGGAGACTGGGGGCGACTGGTCTCGAACATAATCAGGGCCGAATTAAAATAGACATCCCATATAAAATATACAATATTGCACGAAGTCATTCATTTTGGATTATATAGAGAGGAAATTGGACATGTAATCAGACACCTGAAATAGAAGGCATCAAATACCAAGAATTCTCACAAAAAAATCCAAAAGTGCAACATCAAATCAAACAAATTCTTGGAAATTTAACCAAAATCATCTCCACCAACACCGTCATCGTCTCAATCTGTGGACCTTGTGGACCTTCGAAACACCAAGTAAGCATTGGAAACCTGAGGCCATCAGCAATCCTGACATAAGCCCACTAACTCAAAATGGTCAGGTGATCGCACGAAGCCAAGAGCCCTAAGCGAGAATCCACAGCACAACCCGCCCTCATTCAAAGCGTCTTTTTTGGTCTCCTGTTGAATACCCATCTTCATCCTCTACTCCAGCCAAGATGACGAAGCGCACCAAGAGTATGTGCCTCTTTCTCAAATTCAACACACTGCAAACCGAATTGCTCAATGCTAACTATTTTCCACAGAGGTCGGCATCACCGGTAAATATGGTACCAGGTATGACATTCGCCCAATTCGCGCCTACACGACTGTGATTTCCTCGAGACACACGGACCCATAGCCGAATACTCTTCCACGACGACAACGGATTCTAACAATTTCCCAACAGATACGGTGCCTCCCTGCGTAAGCAGGTGAAGAAGATGGAAGTCACCCAGCACGCCCGCTACGTCTGCACTTTCTGCGGAAAGAACACCGTCAAGCGCAAGGCTGTCGGTATCTGGGAGTGCAAGGGCTGCGACAAGACTGTTGCCGGTGGTGCTTACACCGTCTCGTAAGTCGCCCACTATCGCAAGGAACGACACTGGTGATCCGACCCGGGGATCGACCTGGGTTGGGCGCACACAGTTGCGATCCACAGCGCACAACCAGGAAAGATTTACTGACAGTTCCATTTCCAATAGCACCCCCGCTGCCGCTGCCACCCGCTCCACCATCCGTCGTCTGCGTGAGATCGCTGAGGTCTAAATGGGAGGATTGTGTGGTTTCATTTCTCTTTTACGGTTACGTCTGAATACCAAAAATGAATGAAAAAATTCGGGATTACGAATTCTTGTTGCAATCCGCTTCGCGCCCGAGTATACCGTATATCGATGTGACTGGTTTCCAAAGTTCGCCTCGGTAGCTGCCTACCTGATAGACAATTCACCCGTCAATCCAAGATTCTCAACCTGATTCCTTCGACGTTCTGCGACCGTGTGAATCATATGGATGAACTGCAGATCTGCAAGTCTGCAAATCTGTGGTCTTTTTGTGGTTTCTCAGGCGCTGGACAGTCACGTAGACTCATCAAGGCATGGGTGGATCTTGGTTTTGGAGGTCACCTGGCTTTAGCGTACTGTCTGAGTTGTCCAACTGCGCTCCGGACTATATCTTCATTCGTACTTTCTACGTGCACCCGAACATTTACACTAGGTGCCTGGCACACTCCGACCCACCTGATATCTCCCCGACTGACACGATACTGGTCGCCGGTTGATGATGGAAATCTTACACGATGACTAAGGTGGAAACTGTCCAAGGCCGCCCAGGTGTGATTCGGGTTTCAGCTAAAAATATGGGCGCCTAACGTGGTCATTTTCGATTTTGTAGATCGGCCACCTTACCCTTCACTAGGGACTCTGTGTAGTTTGTGTTGTACAGGGACCTTGTTGGATAGTTGCAAATTGTCTATGACCATGACCAGATCTGCGGATCAGATACTCTTAGTAACCATCAGTCAACAAAAAGAAAATGTATAATTCTCAATATTTTCTCAATATAGTCATCGTAATACCAATATCCAAATAGTTCAAACCAATCCAGGGCATCGTGCATCATTCGCCTCCGTCACGTTCCTGCTTTGCGTTAGTCCGGTAATCCGGCCCACCTTCAAAAGGCGCTCCCCACACCTTTCTCGCTTCTACACTTCTCGAGAGTCGCTCTTTATGGACTTCGCCTTCTCTTATAAATCTGTCGCTCATGTCCGATACCTGTATTGTTTGTTTAGGAGACCTTGGTGAAGGAGCGGGTGATCCTCTTGAGCCTGTGAGCCTTGATTTGAAGGATGGCGACTTCAATGGGCTTGACTCTCAGATCGCTCAGCTACTTCCCTGTGGTCATGTCCTACATAATAATTGTTTAAAACCATGGGTTGAACGGGCAAACAGTTGTCCAATATGTCGGCGCAGTTTCAATATGGTGGAGTTGAGTGATAGTGTTGGAGGTATGACGCTTCCCCCTTCCTTTGACTTATAACATCGTTCCCTCTTGTTTCTGAGTGCTGACTATATTTGTTTCTTATAGGAACTGTTACTTCATCCTACGCTGTCCAGGACCGAACCCAAGTCGCCGAAGTTGACCCTTCTATGATTATAGAGTATGTGGAGGATGATTTGACCGATTTCCAACCATGTACAATTTGCGGACAAGCCGACAACGAGGATGTTCTGCTCTTATGCGATGGATGTGATGGGCCTTCCCATTTATACTGCCTAGGTTTGGATGAGATCCCCTCGGGGTCATGGTACTGCCAACAATGCGAGGAACTACGTGCTCTGGGACCGGCTCCCGAGGTATCGGCGCGGCCGTCTCGAGCGATCGAGCAGCGGAGTCGACGAACTAGGGCTCAACAGAGACGACTACAGAATCGAACCCAGACGAATTCTCTACATTGGGCACGGGTCTGGCAGTCCGTCTGGGATCATCTGAATCTCGATCTTGATTTCCCCTTCGATGACGATCGATCTGCCGAACGTGCGATGCAACAACGCCGTCGCGAGGAAGCCAACCAGCGCGAATTTCAAGCCTGGCAACGCCGCTTTGAGATCGCTGAGCGACAAGGTGGTGGCAGTCGGTTTCGCGATACGGCATCTCTATTTGATCTTGATCATGCCCGACCATCGCGACCTCGGGTGCCTAGGGTTCCGACACCGGAGCCCGAATCCTTGGAGGAGATGCGGGCTTGGAACGCCTTCGAGAGGGCTCGAGAGATCGAAAACAACCCGAGCGCAGCCAGGAAGCGCAAAGAGCCGACCATGTCGCCGTCCCCGGAGCCCACAGAACCGGAGCGCAAGTTGAAGCGTCCTCGAACGAGGAGGCCGCAGGAGCTCGCAGCTCGCGCACAACAAACTCAAAATGGTGAATCATCCAGAGCTGCGAGCTCCAATGTACGACCAAGTGGTGACAATCCAACCGGACCAAGTTTCCTGTCATCATTATTGAAGGAAGTCGAAGACGCACCGAGTCATTCATATGGACCTTCCGCTTCGACATCTGTCGCTCCTGCCGACCACCCATCTCCCGGTCCCTCTTCCCCCTCAATTTCTCCTGCCTCGTCCCGTTATTCTTCCCCTCTCCTCTCAGCGGCCACACCGCCACCTTTCTCGCGAAACCGCGCCATCTCCCCTCTTCAACTATCCTCCCCTGCCCAACCCTCATCTCCCCCTTTCTCTCCCGAAGTGTCATCGGGTAGTCCATCAAATGGCGCTAAAGAAGACAAACCACAACGTCAGCCCGGCCGTCCTCGCTCTCGCATCCCCCAACGAGCACTGTGTTTCGGAGCCTCCCGCTCACCCGACTCATCCCCCACTCGAGCTGGTCCATCCCTAGCCCTCAAAGCCGATATACAGAAAATGGTGGGCACTGGATTAAAGCCCCACTATAAGAAAAAGACCATCTCGAAAGAGCAATATACAAACATCAACCGGTCCATCTCTCGCATGCTCTATGAGCGGGTCGGCGATAAGGAAACGCTTGAGCCGGATGAACGCACCAATCTCGAAACAGAGGCCAAGCATGAAGTGCAGAATACAATTGACGCACTGAAAATTAAGAGCAAAGATAAGCAGAAACAGCCCATGGTGGCGACTGACACAGACGGTGATCTATAATGACTATACCACGAACTCTCCCCGGCATTTAATGGCGTTTCTTCTCATCTCAGCGAATCATACTCTTTGGCGGAATTGGCTGGAATGTACAACTGGCGTTTGATACTTGCAGGCTGTCCTCTTCCTCTTCTTCTTCTTCTCCTTCTTCTTCTTCTCCTTCCGCAAGCATTTCTGTTAAACCCCTTTTGTTCGTAACACCCTGCGTCGATAGGAGTGTTATTGTGTTTTCCTTTTTGCGTGGGGCCAGACAGACTATTTGCGTTTTCTTTGCTCCATATTGTGTCTAAATATCATTTATCTTCTGACCGTAGGAGGAGGTACCGCCACTCCTAGGTAGCCTCGCCATCTTTGGTTTATTGGGTCTTTTTTTCTCCTAGCCGGGGCTTCCGAGTTTACATATTTTAAAAGATAATTCTTCGGATAATCTCTGACGAATAATTTATAGGAAGAAAGCGACAACTCCTGATTCCATCGAGGATCGATCTGGCTGCACATACCTAGGTATATGGATAGATTTAAGAAAAGTATATATAGTAAGTGCAAAGGTGCTGTGACATTTGGGACAAAGCTGATTTTGAACAACAGTGTAATACCACCGGAGTGCGGTCTACAGAATATCGGAATTGAAGATTCTGATCAGAGTTGACAATTAGCAAGCAACAAGCTAACGAATCTACTCTCACACTCACCGTTCTATCAGTCAAATCGTCCTGGTGCCCATTTTCGTATCCCTCCGCAGCCCCAGACTGATCTCGCTTGCGATTTTCCCAAACGCACACAAACCGATAAGCAAGTGATACTAGCAACGAATGAGGCCAACAACAATAAATCCCAGCGCATAGCGAGGTGCATGATGATCATTGAAGATGAGCAGACCTGTGAAATTGCCTAATCAAATATCAACCCCAGCAAGACTAAACACCACAAGCAGACAACACGTACCCAGACAATACCCAATATAAAGCCCCGACGAAGCAATAGACCGCTTTGCATACCCAGTAGTATTGACAGACCATCTGCAATCTCATAGAAACAGCATATCCACCCCAGCAGCAGGCAAGATATTGCACGCAAAGAGCATACAACCGGTAGCGTTCAGCGGCAGAAGCAACAAGCAACAAGCAACAAGCAACAAGCGTAGTAATCATCCAACCACAAAATCCAATCCAAGACCTCATGCCATTCCCGTCAAACTCATACACCAAATACGGACCAAGAAGCTGGTGACTACCCACCAGGAGCCCCTGCAGCATAAACAGCAGCAGTGAATTTAGTGTGGCTAAGTGTGTCAAACCCGAACTAGTTGATAATGATAGGTGTGAACGTCGACACAGGTCCGTTGGCGATCATGCTCAGGAACGCAACGATGAAAATCAGCTAGAATCGTATGTCTGTTAGTAGTTCGCTCGTCTGACAGCTTTGGTAGTGTGCATTCCGCACGCCGAAGTTGTTAGATCGCAGTCTCGCGATCGTTCTCGCTCATTGAACCCGTATGCACGTACTGGGCCTGGTGGGAAGAGTAGGTAGTACTAGGCCCTAAAGTATGGCTATCGCGCCTGCTACGAAGTACATGTATTTCCAAGAGGATATTATGGACCTTAAGCGCCTCGTCATTGTGTCGTATGTCGATAGCAGAGAGCTTTTTGTATGTCTAGATGATCGGAGCTAGAGCTAGAACGCTTGGCTCTTACGGAGAGGTTATTATTCTCTGACCTGTCGGAGCCTGCCATTTTGGTATAGCTTTAGCCTATATAGTCAGTTAGGTGTGTTGGATAAGACTAAATGGGGTTAGGTGTTGAAAAGAGACGAACTCAGAAGAGAGTCTGGAGCTTTTATATCGAGTATCTGGGATTTAGAGTGCAATATTATAATAGGCTAATGCATTTTTAAATATAGGAAAACCGAGAGCTATCTGCTTGATTCTCTGGGTTGTCTATCTTACTAGATAAAAGCGGTAGTGGGTGGTAGCAATAACAAAGCTGTCTTTGTGGACACTTTTGATGATATCCTGCTTGTAATTGAGACTTTGGAAGTTGCAGGAGACAGATTGTAGGGAGAATGTATCTGTCATTGTTTCTCATGGCTCGACTGTGAGGAATGGAGCGGATCATTTCCCGATGAGTTTGTATTTGTGGAAGGAGAATGAAGGACCTTAAGTGGGCGTTTTTGAAGGATATATCTAACAGTATGTAGTATTGGAAGGAACAGCCCTAGAGGGGTTATATCATTTTATCTATAGAATGTCTTTTGATAGTCTTTTAGATGACTTGTTAAATATCTCTTTAGATAGATCATTATATAGATATCTTTCAGTGGGATGGTGACACTGCTGGATGGCAGTACTAGCTCACAATAATGTCTTGTTTGTTTATTCATAAGGTACGTAAACATCTAGTCCTCTCTAAATATAGCAAAATCTTCTATAGATAGTAAACCTTCAGTCACTCTTTCACATCAGTCGTAAATCCGTGCTGCATAAGAAACTCGTTGAGCTCCTTATCTTCTTTCTCCAAATCCAAATCTCCACTTTCGGGTAACAAGTAGTATACCATCATGCCGAGAATAGCGACGCCACCAGCCAAGTAGAATGTAGAGCTGTTACCAGCACGGTCCTGAAGAGGGGTAAAGCACTGAGTGCCAACAGCAGCACCCGTTCTACCGAAGGCTGTCGCGACACCATATCCCATGGACCGCATGGCAGTGGGGAAAGACTCGGAAGATATAAGCCCTATGGTAGCACCGGGTCCCATATGACCAAATGCTTGCAACAGACCGTACAGGACAACGAAGGCCGCAATGTTTTGAGAAAGCTTCGAGTACGTGCCACCGATAACGAAACCAAGCACAACATATCCAGCAAAGCCCAAAATTCCAGTCCAGCGACGTCCAATCGCATTAGTGAGCCAGGCCCCCAACAGAACACCGGGAACTGGCAAGGCCGCCAAAATGACCTGCCAAATAGCTGTCGTCCGGACATTGTGATCTTTAACCAAAGAGGAGATGATCGTGCTGGACATGATACTGTTGGGGAAATTGATGAAATCATACAAAAAGAAGGCGACCGATGTAGTCAATAGCCTCCACCAATAACGTCGTGCAAGAAGGAGACAAAGGCGCCACGACTTCCGCTGCCGCTTGAAATTAGAATAGTGGAACAGAGACGAGTCCACCATGAACAGTCTCAAAACTATAATTGAGACTGGGAGAAGAGTGGCGATGGAGTAAATGGCGTGGAAGGCGATGACAAGGTTATTGTCCGTGGCAATGAGTGTGATCAAATAGATTATCATCAAGATCGGACCGGCGAGTGTGGCCATCAAAGTCGTAAAAGACACAAACATTGGTCCTCTGTATTTGCGCATGATCTACTCCGTAAAAATCATGAGAATGTAGATCCAAGTGGGGGAGCGGCTAAATACTTACCCAGTCCGATTCTTCAATGCCAGCAGCAGCACTGGGAGGGTATTCACCTCCAACACCAAATCCAGCAATTCCACGAACTACAACAAAATACCACAGCATATTGCTCGAGGGATGCACCTGGAGAGCCAGTGTCGCCATCAAGGTACCGATTGCGACCAGGGAGGACGTGACGAGCAATCCGGCGCGCCGTGAAAACATATCAGAGGTATATCCGAAAACAACGACACCAAGGATCGCTCCGACGATGACTGAGTTGCTCATGCGAGTCTTCATGTCGGAAGAAAATTCATTAGCTCCAAGCACCTGCTTGAAGATAATATTTGTGGGATTGGCGAGGGTGTTTTGAAAGCCATCACTAAAGTTGGCGATGTACTGGGCGAATTAGTAGGCGAAGCTCGGGTCTGTCAATATCAGACTCACACAACTGATGATGGTGATATTACTCTGCCATCTGCTTGGACGATATGAATGTGTCACTTCCTCAACATCCCTACTGACAACAGTGTTTGCATTTTTCGTCTCATCTTGTGGAGGGTTGCACGAAACCCCGCTTTCAGCGGCCGCCATCTTTTAATTTGTGAGAGGGTAGTTAATCAATACTTTCTCACTACTTGAATGCAAAAGGAGACATGCCAGTCTTTATGATGTTGCCGACGCATAGAAGATAAAATAGATCTTCGGTGAACGTCCGAAGCTAGCCCGATCTACTTGTGTTTTTTTTTTGTCCGCGGAGATAAGCATTGTGGATTTGTGTCAAGCCTTGATCAAGATACGCTTCGCGCCCGTGATGGAACAAGGAGATTGGACCCGCAGGGTGAGCAGCGAGTCATTCGGCTTACGTAAGGATCAGGTGATGCCCAGCCCTGGAGGAATTGATGCTTATGTAACACCCAAAAAGCGGAAGGAAAGCCACGGGTAAAATCCAGTGTATCATCCATCTCGGCTTCATACAAGCGCATACCGGCTGTATGAATGTGGGTCTCTTCCCCGCAAATCCTCCATGCTCTATCAGCCATACTTCCGGCATTATCGGCCGAAGGCCGGTGCCCAGATGGAAAGTTAACCTATAGCCGCAATATAAGAATGACCATGTATTAATTCCTAGGGCGTAACACTCCAGGTGAATATTGCATCCATTTTGACAACTTCGAATACCACAAGTCACAACTCATCCTTGAATCATGGGCAGCATCGAACAACCAAACTTCTGCCAGAAGAACAAAGACCTCGACTACGATGTTCTTATCATTGGCGCCGGACTTTCCGGCATTTACTCCCTATATCGAATGCGACAATTAGGCCTGCGGACGAAAGTTTTGGAGGCCGGTGGAGGTGTAGGCGGAACGTGGTACTGGAATCGATACCCAGGCGCACGATTCGACTCTGAAAGCTATTCATACAATTTCTCATTCTCCCAAGAAGTCCTCGATGAGTGGAACTGGTCAGAACATTTTGCCTCGCAGCCCGAGACACTACGGTACTGCGAGTTTGTGTGCGACAAATTTGATCTCCGTCGAGACATGCAATTCGACACCCGTGTCGCTGCAGCACATTTCCAAGATGACACCAAGTCATGGCTTGTAACAGATGAAAAGGGAAAACAATACATCTCACGATTTGTGGTCACTTGTATTGGCATTTTGAACAACTACACCCTGCCCAATATCCCTGGAGTCCTGGACTACAAAGGCAAAGCCTTCCACACTGCCCGCTGGCCCGCAGAGCAAGTCGACTTTACGAACAAACGTGTCGCAGTCATCGGTACTGGCGCAACTGCCATCCAAGTAATCCAAGAAGTCTCGAAGACAGTAGGCCATCTGACCGTCTTCCAACGGACCCCGAACTGGAGCCTGCCTCTCCGGAACGCACCCCTCACCCCAGAAGAAATGAATGAAATCCGGTCCCGCTACCCGGAGATATTCCGCAAATGCGCAGAGTCCTGGCACTGCTTCATGCACGTACCAGACAAGCGAAGCACATTCGACCTAAACCCAGAAGACCGCGAGGCATTCTGGGAGGAACTCTACGCACAACGCGGCTTTGCAAAGTGGATGAGCAACTTCGGCGACATCAACACGAGCAAGGAGGCGAATGCACTGTTTAGCGAGTTTATCGCGAACAAGATCCGCGAGCGCGTGCATGACCCCGTCACGGCGGAGATTCTTATTCCGAAATGTCATGGTTTCGGGACTAAACGTGTGCCCATGGAAACGCGCTATTTTGAGGCGTATAACCAGCCCAATGTACGCTTGGTGGATGTCAAATCCAACCCTATAGAATGTGTCACCGAGTCTGGGATTAAGACGAAGGATGAATCCTTTGAGTTTGATATGATTGTTTATGCGACCGGGTTCGACGCAGTGACTGGGTCTTTCACGGCCATTGATTTCCGGGGTGTGGATGGTGTTAAGTTGAAGGATAGGTGGAGTGAGGGTCCACGTACGTTCTTGGGTCTGTTTGTTGAAAGCTTTCCCAACATGATGATGGTTATGGGACCGCATCAGATGTTTGGAAATATCCCCCGCAGCGTGGAGTATGCTGCGAGCTGGGTGGCACGGTTCATTGAGTTCTGTCGGGATCGGGGGATTACATTTGCTGGAGCTACCCAGCAGAGTGTCTTGGATTGGACGGAGCATGTTCATACGTGCGCGGTGGGATTACTTGCTAATGATGTCGATTCTTGGATGACTGGTGTCAACAAGAATCTGGCACACAAGCAGAAGAGAATCATTGCGCGATATCAGGGCCCAGCGCCTGGATATCGAAAGCGTGCCGAGGAGGTGGTCACGAGAGAATATCGGGATTTGGTACTTGAATGAGTTTTTATAAGCATTGTTAGGAAATACTTCTAAATCTACAGAATATGATTGATGGATAAACATTACCAGGCCATTGCAGCTAGTCTGGGAAATCTATAAAAACACTTATCTGGTCATAACCCGTTTGGAGACGACTGAGGCCTTCCTTACTTGTCCTTTCTTAGAAAGCAGTTAATAATGGCAGAACTACAATTGTTATCTCTCAGATTGTGATAATAGGTCACTATATATAAGACTGCGACATCGCCCATGGACGGGCGGGTGGGTAGTGCCCACGGGCCTTATGTAAGCGGGCGATAGGCACTATCAATACGCCCATAGACAGGCCCTACCCTTAGGGCCTATTATCTATGGATACCGTGGGCGCCCGTAGGCCTTTTTAGTAAGCAAAATTAGCGTAACACGTGATTTTTATTAACAGATTTCAAAATATTTCAACTAAATTTATATTTTTTATATATTTACAATCATAATTCCGGATTTTTAATAAGATATATATAAATATATATACTATAATTTACTATATATCTAATTTTTATATATATTTAAGACAACTTTATATAATAGTAGGTATCGTGGGTATGCCCGCTGTGGGCATACCCGTAGGCCTTAGGCGTTATAGACGGGCACTCGAAAATCTAAATAGCCCAAGGCCCACTGTGGACGGGCGATGGGTACCTCTTAGGTGCCTATGGACGGGCGATGTCGCAGTCTAGAACTAGGTTTAAGAATATAATATAAGTTTGTATAATAATATATTACTAAAAATTAATATTACTAAAAATTAATATTAAGAACTTTAGATATATAATTAGGATACTTAAAAATATAAGGTAAATCTATATAAATTATATATATTATAAGATTTACCTATTTGTCTTATTTGACAACCCTTAGGGTTACCCGCGGGTAACCCTCCGAGGGTCTAACCTCTAGGTAGACTACCCTTAGGGTCGGAAGGTTAGACCCTTAAACCGCCCTAGTGGCGGGGCGGTTCGAGGGTTGTGAGGGTCACCCGCAGGTCACTGCTAGGTCTAATCATACTTCGATATCGACAGATGTTCTACTCCGCGGCTGGTTCTTACAGTTGGAAATCTCTATCTCATACAAGTGAATCTATCCTCCGGCGTGCAGCTTATCAGATTATCATCAGATTATCATAGTATACCAGAATCAAGCAAAGGAATGAGATTAGCTATATAAGAATATTCTCCAAAGAGCGACATCCCCCCCCCCCCCCAAAAAAAAAAANGTACACAAGAAAAGCAAATATTCTGTCTTCAGCATGAGGCAGATTCTGTGGTGCTGGACCTTTTACTTTTCCGGGGAGAAAGCGATTTGCGGACTCGGCGACCAACCGACCTCAACCATTCACGCCCTCTACGTCCAACCTCTGGGCTGTCCAAAACGCGCTGCCGGTGGAAGGCCTCGGCATTTTGCAAGAACTCTTGGATGGCATTGGAGATACCACTGATCTCATGGTGGGGCTTATTGGCCTCCAGCAACGCTGCCACCAAATACTTGAAAGGGCGCATGAAAAGCGGGCCTTGATCGGGTAGGGTGGGGAATTGGAAACAGTGGTTTAATGGCAAGGCTACTGCCCGCCATCGTTGGTTGAACTCGGAGTCTGACATCGAGGTCTTCGCCCGTAATTCAAACATCCAGGAGTACCAATCCCACATGATGCACATCTCGTTTCTGGGCATCGGAAGCTCAAACATCTCAACAACAAAATCGGCGAGGAGTGCCATCTCCCACCTGAAACGAATCGTGGAGTAGATCTCAGCCTCGGACTCGGGGAATATGCCCAACTGGTAGAATCCGAAAAGAGTACCTCCCCAAGCCACCTCTCGGCCATGAGTCCAATCCCATGGACAAGTGGCATGGAACATCATCGCCATCTCCTTGATTCTGTGTTGCGCAATTAGAGCGGTCATGTTCTCGATGATCTCGCCGTCCGTAGCCGTGCGGACTCCGCCGGTTTTGTTTGGGTCGCTGACCGTGAATGTGGCATTTCCGGGAGCTTGGTTTCGAAGTAGGCGTATATCTTCCGGCCCAGTGTACGGATAGGACTTCATTTGTTTCCACCGACGCTCAAAGTGGGCTAGCGGGATGCCAGTTCGGCCTGTCCATGAGTATTCCCATCTATCATCCTGGGCACTAAATGTGAAATACTGCATGTCGCCTAGCCGGGTCACGCTATCTTGGCATGTATCCAGGATAGATTGGCAGAATGAGTTATAGCTTAGGGTTTGCTGATCATTCGGCTCCTCGGGTTGTAAACTCATTGGGTCACTAGCATTGCTAGATTCTCGAGAATCTAACAGAGGACTCGTAGCACTCGAAAGGGTCTGGAACAGGGTGCTCGCAAAAATTGACCCACAAGTCCGACCGACACTTAGTGAAGCACCCCACGCATTAGAAAGTGCGTTTTGAAGCTCTTCTTGCGGATCAATCTGGCGCTCACTAGCTGCTGCCATGCTAGTAATGTTTAATTCCGGAGTCGTAGCCCATCCTCCCGAGTAACAAGCGGTAGTAACCAGGGTGATACGGGCACCAGGTTCAAGGACGGCTTTTAGGGCGAGGATACTCAGTCCCTTTAATTGATCGCCATCGTTCAAACAGAGGTGGTAATTGGAGAGTCCGTGACAAAAGACAAGGAGGAGGAGTGGGGCGCCGGTTCGTTTAGCCAACTCGGAGGCTAGCCTTGCCTCCAGAAGAAAACGGTCAATCATTTCATTCGACCGA